CATACGAAACTCACCTTGCAGTCGGTTGCAAGATGCCCTCCGATCCTGAAGATCTCTCCATGTGATTCTGACGCCAAAGGTTGAAGTCGGCTTGGCAGCAGCAGCATTTCCAAAGACAGCAGACAGTTCAAAAGTTCACTAATCACTCACCACACAACCAAGAATGTTTTATCAACTCAAAATCCACAAAGATCAATAAAATAAATAAAATAAAAGTAATCCTTTGAATCTAATTCGCACTGTCACTTCAGTCCGTATCTAAACACACACTAAACAATTCACAAAATCACTTGCACTGAGTCCCGCACTTTGTATTTTCAATGTTCACAGGCGGCGCCGGTTTTTTGCGCTCACTAGGACCCCGATATTAACGGAATTTAAGTACGCGACGCGTGACTAGTTGCTCGACGCGCGGTCGCGGAACGACTGACTCCCCACTGAAAATGGCAGGGCGTTGGAGGCAGCGCTCGAGTGGGGGGGTCACCCCCCGGCGAGACTCCGCGCATGCGCACAGAAAACCCCGCATGCGCACAGAACAGAACTTTAGTTAATCCTCCTTTGGTGGGGACAGTCAAACCCCCAGAACTGCGCCCCTACTGTAGTCAATCCTCTTTGGTTAGGCACGTGCTAAACACATGGTGTTACTCCAATGCAAAAGAAATAGTGAATACTACTGAAATAATGACAGATTATGTTGTCTTCTCTTCAATTTATAGTTTTTTTTATCAATTAATTTCACATGCAACCAATATTTCTACGATAAAAAAACCAAGAGTTTATAAATTTATTGTGTTTACGTAAAGATTTTAAGGAAATTCAATAAAAATGAAGAATAAACCGGTTCGCCACAAAGAAACTAATACTTTCAAGGTAAGTATTCACTAGGTAACACTGAATTAATTGATAAATAATGACTCATTAATTTAATTACCTTCTTCTCGTTACTCAGTTTAAAAAATTCTCTGAACGAATATCAGAGATCGACGTAGATGTGTTTCATCGAGTTGTCCACAAGAACGAGGAGTTCTCAGATGACGAGGAATCACTGGAAACAAATTTCCACAAGACACTGCAGAAATGGAACGTCTTGAATCTTACAGAAGGCTACAAGAGCTTCAGAAAAGAAGTGCAACAGGTTGTGACTCTTCCTCAACTCCTGAAGCACAAGCAAGAGGTCATAGACTCCCTTACAAAATACTTGAAGATGAAGAACGCGGTATTCTTGCAACCCATTCTCGACTTAGTCGTGGCAGTCGCTAAAGACCTCCAGAGGGATTTCTACGAGCACTTTCCACACTTCCTCGCTATAATCATCGATCTCCTGTCCACTAAGGATCCAGATATCCTCGAGTACTCCTTCACAACCCTGGCGTACCTATTCAAATTTCTGTGGAGGTATCTTATAAAGAACATCGATAGAGCCTTTCAACTCCTTCTGCCACTTCTCGTGGACACCAAGCCAGAGTACGTAAATAATTTTGCCGCTGAGAGCTTTGCATTCGTGGCTAGGAAAGTCAGAGATCGAGATGCATTCTTGAAATTAGTATTTGAAGCCCTGAAGAAGACTCCGGATGGCACAGTTGGCTGTGGAAAACTTTTATTCGAAGTGATCTCTGGTATTTCCGGGCAGTTTCACTCCTGCGCTGAGGAGATGTTGACTCTGTACTTGAATGCATTAATTGACGACTCCATGGATGAGCAATTGGTTTACGATGTTGTCCAACAGGTTTTCACATGCATTACAAATTCAATAATTCCTAAAAACAGCCAAGTTCTATGGACCGTCATCTACAAGTTCCTCGACGATCACTCAACTAAGGAGAATGAAAAAAGAAAAATGATAACTCTGATCTTGAGGCTCTGTCGCCTGATTGTCAATCACAGAGGAGGCAGAATGTTGATCGACCCAGTAGAGATGAAGTCTAGACTTGTGAAGATAATCTCAGTTGATGATGATGAAGTCCTCAAGGAAGCTGTTGATATGTGCATCGACGTTCTCCTCGCCAGTAATTTAAAGTTAACTCAGGAGGTTTCCAGTGAATTTGCCTCTAGATTACTGTCAATCAAGAACAGGGGATTAGTGAGTTATATTGTGGAAAGTTTGGTCCATCACTCATCCTTTGAGACCTTGATTCTTCCAATGGCCCTCCAAAGAAGTGTCCTGAAGCAAGAATTTGGAAATAATGATTTGGAATTGTTCTCTAAAGTGGTCAATGCCAAAGCACCTCCCAGTCTCAATGGCATCAATTCTAAATTATGGAGAAAGATTAATCTAGATCTCAGAGGATTTCCTACAGCTATTGACTACCTCCATGATAAACTAGGAAATTGGACAGAGAAGAATGTGGACTATGAAGAATTACTACGGGTTGTTGTTATTATGCCTCATGTGACTCCTGTGAAGAATGCTTCGATCGAAAAATTAAAGGAGAATTTAATCTTCTTGTATGAGAAATTAATCGCAGAAGATTGCAGCGATCTCCCGACTTCTGAAATGGAGAAGAAAAACTTCGCGTTCCTATTGATGTTAGAATCAACAGTGCATCTATTGGACATCGAAGACTTCCAAAAATTCATAGCAGAATCGAAAATCAATATCCTGGAACTGATCAAAAAATACCCACAGTCTGTCAATATTTTAAATGCTGCAGATGTATTTTTCACGTACATCAAAAATTCCGAAATGAAAAATCTTTACCTAAACGAGGGCACCTTCGATGAGATAAATAAACACCTAGTGGAACAATTGGGTTCTCCCTACAGGAAAATTCGGTTAGCTGTATCTCACATTTACTCATTATTTTCCGAAGTAAAGGACTTATTCCTCCAGAAGACTGATGATGGTCTGAATGCTTTGGAAATCTTATTCGCTGGTGAAAGTGTCGAGACAACAGTTTATAATTACCGAGATCGTCTAATCCACCTGCAGGCGCTCACCTTTACCTCCAGGGCAGTGATGAATCTCAAACCAAAATACCAGAACTTCGCAGTGAGATTTCTGATAGGCAACTTGTATATAAATTTTTCACTCCTATGGGATCCAACAGCCAAAGCCATAGCTACTTTCGCCAGTGACAAGTGTCCCCACTTCTGGCCAATATTCCTACAGGAATTAAAAACCCCAAATCTTCCCACAACCCTCGAGACCCACGACAACATATTCACCTGTGAAATTCTCAATTCTCTAAATCAGAAATTATTGTCAATCGACAAACCTGATCTCCAGAATTACAAAATCCTCTTATGGAAATGCATGACGGAATTTCCAGAGTACGTTGAGATAAAAAATCGAGATGTGACAGTTCTTTTCATTGATTTCGTCGAGAATAAGATATTCAGGTCAAATTCAGAGACAGCACGATCATACAACATTTCAAAACGCGACAACTTTCAAGAGACGATAATAGAGGATAATATTTCAGAAGACGAGAATGAAGGGATGAAAGAGGGCGTTAAGCCTGATGCTTCAAAAAAATCGTCCTTTAAAAAGCTGGGAAGAACATCGGACTTTAAAATACTCCTCGCCCAGTTGAATATATTCTCCAAGGCCAGCAACCCCAAGATGCTGTACCGAGAGTCCGAGATGTACCAAATTTATCTGGAGCTCTTGACATCGAAGAGCATTGAGCTCCAGAAGGCAGTGCTGGACTGTCTCTCGTCCTACAAACACAAGTTCCTGACCCCCTACAGGGACCACTTGTACGGTCTCATCGAGGAGAAGAACTTGCGGAACGAACTGGCGCGATTCAAAATAGAACACGAAGAGGAGACCACTGGAATGATTCAGGAGGACCACCGAGAGGCCCTGATGCCAATCCTAATGAGACTGATATACGCAAAGATGATATCGAAGGGCACTGGAAGGGCAGCAGGAGCAGCCGGTGGTCTAGTTCGTCGCAAAATTATCCTGAGATTCTTGATGGGAGTAAAGGAACACGAAATGATGCTTTTCACGAAAATGGCGTTCAAGCCCTTCGAGAAATTCAACATCAGTCTCTCCCCAGAGGATGACCTAAAGGATCTCAAGGAATTGGTTACAGGCGTAATGAAAACTCTCAATTTATCCGACGTGATTCCTCCAAAACGCCTCCGATCGGCTGTCAATCTGCTGTCGATCATTATCGAGGAATTCGGAGCGAAAATGTCGGACAACCTTCTGCCGAGGCTCCTGGCCCTCCTTCTCTGCATTATGGCACATATCAGGGGTATTCTCGAACAATCGGATAATGTCTTGTCAGGGTTCGTCCCAATCATTAAGGATCTTAAAAACACATGCATCGGAATTCTCGCCAGATTTTTTGGGCACTTTGAGAATTATAAATGGACTGAGACAGAACTCGACGTGCTCTTCGATGTTGCTGTCTTCCCCTGGATTGAAAAACTTCCTGTTGAGGGTGTTCACAGCCCCACAGCTCTATTGAAACTGCTGTCCTCGTGGTGTCAGAACCCCAGGTACTTCTGCCTCCTCGTGAAGCATCAAGAAGGCAACACCAGCGTGTCTCCACTCTTCTTCGTCATCAAGCTTCTCCTGGGAGAAAAAACTCATCCATCAGTGATTAACACCATTTTAGACATGTTGGAAAAACTCTTGACCCTCCAGGATTATGGAGTTATCGCTGAGGACCAGATGGAGGTTGATGAAGTGAAGAGTCCCTTGAAGCCGAGAAATGTTCTGGAAGTTAATGCTGAATCACTACTCCCCGGAGTTCATATTAACTACGGATCGTCAATTCTTCTCTCCCACGTACCAGACATTCTGTTTTACATCCAGAGAAAATTCCAAAAGTCAAAGTATGGGGTGAACCGCACAGAGACGAGTATTCTCGCGAGAATTTCAGAGCTCAATTTGAATCCAGAGACGTCGAATTCCCTGGTATCACTGTCCTTGCCCATTCTGGTGAAGAGAGCGATGAAGGGAGAGGCCGAGGAGACGATTCTCGAGCTACTGACGACCATATCGAACCTCATGAACAATGTACAAAAGACACATGTTCACCTCAGAGCAATCCTCCCACTCTTTTCTTGTGTCAGCTCGTCAGCTGCCCGAAAACTCCTCCTCCAGTTGTTCAAGACGATTGTTTCCAAAGACTGTGACTCATTAGTCCCCAGGGACGTCATGTTGAAAACTGCTGATCTTCTGGGTGATCTGAATGCCACAGACCAGAGATGGATCGATCAGCCTGACTTCGAGAGAAGACTAGATGCATTCTCCGAAATTAAATCAGCGATTACTTCAGGGAATGACGAACAGTCCAGGATATTGACGATTGAGTTTGGAATTGCTGTGTTGTATTGCTGTTTTTACTTCCTCAAACGTGAGACTGATCTTTCTCTGAGGGACTCTGCAGGCCAGTGTCTGAATATCCTGGGGCCAGAACTGGCGAGAAGGAGTAAACAGAATAAAGTGGACAGAATGTTCCTCATTGAAGATACGATATTGAATTTAGTTAGAGTTGGCATCAGAAGCAAGAACGAGGCTGTCCGCCTGCGCTCTATATCTTTCCTTGGGGTGATGTCGATGGAGTGTCCAGATGTGCATCCCGTCCTCAGGGACTTGAATGCATTGACTGACAAGGTTGATCCTGAAGTAGATTTCTTTGAAAATCTGCAGCATCTACAGCTTCACAGGAAGGCAAGGGCTTTCTTGAAATTCTGCACAATGTCGAAGACCCTTGAGAGAGCTCCAAACTCCAAGACATTAACCCAATTTATCTTTCCATTGGCTTCCTCGTACCTCTGCAATGAATCCTTCGCTAATAAAAACAGTTTGGTCGATTCAGCGATTGAGACTGTAGGGGCTGTGTGTAGACTCCTGCCTTGGCATCAGTACGCAATTATCCTCAAGTACTATTTAGATAAATTGAGATCCTCAACGGAATTCCAGAAGCAGATTGTGAGGACTGTGATTGCCATTCTAGACGCTTTTCATTATGATTTATCTAAACTGAAGATAGTGGAAGATAAAATTAAAGCAGAAGAGAGGTCTGAAATTATTGCAGTTACTGCTGAACCCCGAGACCCAGAAGAGGATAACACTGGAGATGATATACCACATGTCGATGAGGAAATCAGAGAGCCTGAAGAGGCACTAGACGAAGCTCTGAACCAGCGAGGAGATAGTCCAGAGGATCGATCTCCAGAGGACGAGGATCAAACAGAACAAACGAAATTCGTTGAGAAACAAATAATTCTGTCTCCATACGCAGCCAAAGGTCTAGTCTTCGATATAACGAACACATTCCTTCCCCAGCTCCACCGTTCAATCCTCAGTAGGACCCATCACGAGATGAGTCACAAAGTCAATCGAAAACGAACAGGAGCGGAGAAGGAAGAAGAAGAACTGATGCGAGTTCCAATAGCTCTAGCCCTCGTCAAGCTTCTGCAGAAACTCCCTGACAAGATCCTGGATAAGAATCTTCCTGGAATTTTCATGAAACTCTGTACTTTCTTGAAGAGCAGATTGGAGTCTGTGAGACGAGCGACTCGAGAAATCCTCCAGAAGATCATGATTACCCTGGGCCCAGATTACCTCCACCATTTACTGAGGGAAATGAATTCTCTTTTAACTAGAGGGTTTCAGATCCACGTGCTCGCTTACACAATCCACGCAGTTCTAATTTCCATGAAGCCTTTCTTCAAGGAGACCCATGTGAACGAGAATCTTCAGAGCATTTTACAAGTCTGCAAAGTTGATTTGTTCGGTCTCAGTGCAGAGGAGAAAGACGTCGCGGGAGTGACTAAAAATACATCAGAAGCGAAATCCACCAAGAGTTTTGATATTTTCCACGTTCTGGGACAATTCATTACAGAATCTTGTTTGGTCGACCTTCTCCAGCCCCTCGTGTCAGTTCTCAACGATGCCAGATCCCACAAAACTGTCCACAAAGTTATGGAGTGCCTCAGACACGTGGTTCTGGGTCTAGCTGACAATATCTTCATTCAACCGAACAATCTCCTCATTTTTCTGTATGGTGTCGTCTCCAAGAATATTCCAGCCCTGGCTGCCAATAAATTAAAATCTTCTCAGGAGGAAAGATTGAAGAATAAACCTCAGATATCAGACTGCTTTATAATTCCAGCAGAACCGAAATCTAGAATGGGTCTGAAGGCTGCTGCAAAGACCTCCGGAGATACTAACGATCACATCCTTTTGGAATTCGCCCTGAAACTTCTCCACATTCTCCTGAAACGTGAGAAACTCAATGCATCTTTCAAACACTACTTGGATCCGTTTGTGTCAATTCTCAGAGATTGCCTGGACTCTCAACACGTGAAACTAAGTACTTTATCTCTTCAATGTCTCAATTGGGTGATAAAGATGGATCTGGATTCGGTTCGTTCTGAGATAAAACAAATCTGTGCTTCGATTTTCAAAATTCTGCACAAGTACGGAGCAGCTGGACTTAGTAAAGGTGACAACTTCGATCTCGTTATGGCGGCCTTCAAGACAATGTCCGTTCTGGTGAGAGATGTCAAGCATTTTAAAATGTCTGATGACCAAGTGAAAGCATTGATCCTCTACGCTGAGCAGGATCTGCACGACTACGAGAGGCAAGCCACTGCGTTCAATCTCTTGAAAGCAATCATCAGCAGAAAGTTAATAATTCCGGAAATGCACGAGGTCATGAGGAGAGTCGCTGCTTTGAGTGTCACATCTGATTCTGAGAATGTTCGACAGCAGGCAAGACACGTTTTCTACGCGTTCCTGATGGAATACCCCCTTGGCAAAGACCTTGAGAGGCATTTGACGTTCTATCTGAATCAGCTGAGCTACGAACTCCAGATGGGTAGGATGAGTGCCCTGAGTATGATCCTCAGTATAGTCACAGGATTTCCAGAAGTAATTCTTACTCAGCAGTCAGGCCTCATCTTCATCATGGTAGGGGCTAGACTGGTGAATGACGAGGATCCCGAGTGCAAGAAGCTCAGCGCCAAGTGCATCAGGGAAATCATCACCAGAGTCCCTCATAATCAGCGAGTAAAGCTTTTTGATATCGTTGTCACTTGGTTCAAGAATCCGAAGGTGTCTCTCCGCAGGCTGGCAGCTCAACTGTGTGGAATTTTTGTTTCTGTGGAGAAGGACTCGTTCGAGAGGAGACTTGAGGAGGTTCTCCCCCTGATTCTCAAGCAATTCAGGCCAGAGGATGTCGAGGACAATGCCCCGGGTGAATTTGTGAAGAGAAAGAGGAAGAAGAGAGTCTTTCGGGAGGATGTCAAGGACCCGGAGAGACTCAGGGATCACCATTTGTTTCAAGTACTGCAATTGACCCTGAAAATCTCTGCTAATTGCCCGAAATTTTTAAAAAGCGAAAAATACGTTGAGTCCATTCGATCGCTCGGGGAAAATAGTCAAGAATGCCTCGGACACCCTCATCTCTGGGTCAGGCTAGCAGCCACTCAGCAAATTGGGTTCATCCTGGCGGCACTTGATATTGACAGACTGTCACACTATTTTCAATTCAAGGTGTTTGAGCACACTGGAGAAATTGAGAGCAAGGGTTACATATACTCTTCGCCGGTCGAGACACTTAGGCGATTGAGTTTAGATCTACTTGCACAGCTGCAGCCTGAAATGGAGTTTGAAGAGCTGGCTGATCAGGTTGTGAAGAATCTTGTTTTCATTGCGAGGGTTATCAAAGCCTCGAATTGGACGAACGTGGAAACCGAGGGGGGCATCAAGGAAGAGGGAATTTCTCTGCTTTGGCTTGTTAAGAGGATTCGTAAGTGTGTTAATATGGAAGTGACACAGAATCCGAAATCTACGTGTGTGGTAAGACAATTTTCCACCTGTTTTGTATTTCATGAACAAAATGTCAAAATTCTTGATAGTATTCCTTATTCACTTTCTTATCAAAAATATTGAACAATTGAAGGGGCATAAGAGAAATTGTTTTTAAACGTGAAAAAAAATATGCCTTACGCAAACCTCTGATTTTCTATAATAAAAATTCAGTCGTAAAACACCGGTCTTTCTAAAACGTCTGGACTCTCATGAATACCTATAAAACAAGTCTATTGAAATTTTGTTTACATCCTTCAACTTTACCATTACTGCCTCGGTCTTCGTGCCTGTAAATCTCTCGTCGTAAATATCGTTGAGATCAATAGGCCTTTCCACTTGATATCTTTAAAATATATTATTTCCACAAGATGATTCATTCCCGTTGGTTCAATAAATCTCGGTTGCTCTACATTCTCGGAATATCTAATCAACTTTCTATCGAGAATGGACCTGTCGGCGTTGATTTACATGCCCAAATTTTACAACGCGAAATTTCCATATCCAATATTCTCAAGAAACTTTTTCAAAACTCTATCTTAATGAGATTACGACAAACTATCAGTAAATAGCTCAATATCAATTTACAAGTGACAGTAGGCATCGACTGTCAAATAACAGATGACATTTAGCATATGATCATTCAAAGACATTGCAATTTTCCTACGATTCTCCACTGGGAATTATCGCTCCTTTATTATGACCTATTAATTAAAAATTGCGCACGCGAAATTGTCGGCAATTCTTGCGCGATCTGACGACAATTGCCTGGTCACATGCCTTTTTTTATTGCAAAGAATGATGGAATACGAAAATTGGATGAAAAATGTTAGACACGTGTTTTTCTATGTTGAGAGAAAAATGAAAAAGCTATTGTTACGTATTAGATATTTTCTATTATTTGTAACTTGTCACTTTCTCATTATTTCCCAAGAAGGCAATACGTAACTAATATTTTTGATTGTCATTCAATTTTCAATGTGTGTGTATCGAAAGAACGATGATGATATGATGAAAATGAAAGGTCAAATATTGTAGATTAATTTCGGAGAATAACGACAGAATTCAGTGCCTCAATGAAAACGTATCTCTCCCTTTTAATTGACAGCGATCAGCCGCATTTAAATGGACAGCGGGTTTAGTAACAACAATTCCAGTGGATCCATATTTGAAATCCATTCTATTCCAACTAATGTCTCCACTAGTGAGAGAGATGATGACAACCGAAGAATCCAATGCTCCATTACGTCAGCTATCAAAAGAAGTGGGCAGAATGATTAAAAAGAGAATAGAAGATGATGAGTACTCGAAATTACTGGCGAAGGTTCAGCAGAAACTGGACGTTAAGCGGGCTGAGAGGAAAAAAATTCAGAATCAACAGGTGAATAAAATTTCGAAAAAATATCTCCATTAAAATAATTACATGTTCTAACGATTTAACTCCACTTGCAGTACGTCATCGATCCAGAATTGGCAGCGAAGAAGAAAATAGCCAAGCAACAGAAGAAAAAAGAGGCGAAAAAGAGAAAGAGGTGTGAAATTCAAGGGAAGAGAAGGCGCGATAAAAGACCGCGCAAGGAAGTCGATAATTTAACATAATTCTCACGGTCCATTCATGGACTAGAATAATTTCATGTGTAAATAATAAAATGTTTGAAAAATTTATGGAGAATGATACTGTATATTAATTGTAACTTCAGTATTCTAAGTACGGATGAGGAAATTAGAAATAAGCGGTAGCCACGTGGAGAGCCGAGCCGAATAAAATGTGGAGGGATGGGTCAAGCGCGAGGAGTGTTAACGGGAAAAGCCGACGCATCGTAATCGTCGGACAAGAGAAACGAATAGTTCTATCCGTTCTATCCCAGTATAACGAGTGGATTGCTCGCCAAAATTCCAACGTCTGTGGAAGCTATCGAAGAAGAAGATAATAACACCAGTTAAACGCAACGATTATGTTCATCTATACAATTTATCTAATAGTTTTATGTCTTATTCTGACAGTTATTAAACTCCGGCCAAAATTACTGGAGCCAACATCAGGTAGTAAATATTCAGTGTTCACTCGAATAATAGATTAAGCGATATTTGAACGCGTGCCAGCAAAATCGTTTATCCTACTTCAATGACTTTCTATTTCTCTCTTCATCTTTCGCTGTTACCTAGTGCGATTCGCTTCACACACGTGTGTAACCTGAGTGCTTTTTTAACGCTGTACTCAATGATACTCAAGGCTGTTAATCATGCGGTTTCCAATTTCTCACTCACTTCATCAGTCCAATTTCTTTTAACCATTCATTATGGTTACAACGTTCAATTACTGACGATTCATTGTGTAACGCTAAATTCCTAATTGCTAAATCCATATCATTCCCATTTACAAATTTACTATTGTCTTGGTTCATTAATTTTTCCTCGTTACAATTATTTGATTGCTTTTCCTCTGATGCAATGTAATGGGATTTTCCTCTATTTGAAGGAGGAAATATTCCGGGTCCATTTCCTTGGCCAGTGTTGGGTAATTTACGACTGGTGCGAAGATTGTGCAAAAAATTTGGTGGACAGCACAAGGCCTTTCTCGAACTCTCCAAGGATTACAACAGTAATATCATCAATTTACGTCTTGGACATTCGGATGTTGTCGTTGTATGTGGATATAAGGGTGTTGCAAAAATTTTGCGAGACGAGACATTTGATGCAAGACCGTGGAATGAATTTACGAAGATACGGAATATGGGATTGCGTAAAGGTGCAATGATCATTTAATTTTTGCTGTATTTCCGGAAGGTGTGGGAACAATAAACATGAAATTTTCCAGGAATTACGATGAATGAGGGTCCAGTATGGCGGGAAATGCGTTCGTGGTTAGTGAGATGTCTCAGGGACCTGGGATTTGGGCGTGTCGAGATGTCAGATAAGATTAGAGACGAATTAGTCATTATTCTTCAGCAATTAAAAGCCAAAGGAGGTGGGATTTTGAGAATGAACCCCATTGTCGCACCGGCTGTCATTAATGTGATTTGGAGTGTTGCAACGGGAAAACGAATTGAAGATGAAAAACGGTGAATCAGTCAATTGAATAAATTAACATATTTAGGTCGGCTCAGAAAAATTTTAAATTTCAAATCGAATAGTTTACGCGGGAAACTAACGAGTTTCTGAGCTGTGTTATCTTTGGTATTATTCGTTAATTAAAATTGACACTGCCATTTGAATTAATTTATTGAGTAGTTTAAGATATTTCCTTGATCTCATGGAACGTCGGGCAAAAGCTTTCGATATCGCTGGAGGAATGTTATCAGTATTTCCCTGGATAAGACATGTAGCACCAAAAAGCTCTGGATATGAACTACTAATGACCGTTAATGAGGAGCTTAAATTATTCCTGATGGTTTGTCATTTTTTTCGCCACGAGTTAATGAGCTACTCCATCCTCAAATGATTATTAACGGTTCAATAAAATCTCTACCGCAGGAAACCATAAATGAGCACAAAAAGACTTACACACCTGGTAAAGAGATGGATCTAATCCACATGTTTCTTGCGGAAATGTACAACGGAAAAGGTCCTGAAGCTGGTTTCACCGAGGATCAATTATTGATGATATTAATCGACTTGTTCATCGCTGGATCTCAGACAACAACAGTCACCTTAGACTTTATGTTTCTCTACATGACACTTCACCAAGATGTCCAGGAAAAGGTGCATCAAGAACTAGATTCTGTGATTAGCTTCGGGAGACTGCCGCAGCAGACGGATCGACCATTGTAAGTACTTCCGCATCACTAATCGATTATAATCGATTAATTCGATTAATTGACAAATTCAAAATGTTTTGAAAATCCACATGCAAATAAACCTTAGACGAATCATATAACAATTACAGCTAATTCGCGATGGATATCTAATAATTATATTTGGATGTATAATTATAGCGCCCTAATAGATTGTTATAAAGATTAGCAATTGCTATCAATTAATTGATCGGTTATCATGAAAATAAATTATAGACTTCCATACACTGAATCCGTCATGACTGAGTCCCAGAGATTACGTGTGGTCACTCCGATAATTGGCCCTCGACGAGCGTTAAATGATACAACACTCGAGGGCTATAAAATATCAAAAGGCACGTGCATTCTAATGAATATCTACAGCATACACACAAATCCCGAGGACTTTGACGATCCAGAGGTCTTTAAACCCGAAAGATTCATGGTGAATGGTGCACATGTGCCCCACAAGAAGTTGATATTTTTCGGTGGAGGTGAGTGGAAAAATGTAAAATTCTGCATGAAACAGTCTCTTCCAATAATATTGACGTTCCATCCATTTCAGTAGAAAATTATCTCGATTATTCCCCCCATTCAAATCTCGAATTGAAAAAAAAATGAAATTGAAGAAACAAAGAAATTGAATTCTATAATTTTTTTATTTGAATTTGATTTTTTAGAGATACAGAAGAGTCAAGTTACATGATTAAATTGGATAATTATGGTTTTCAGGTCACAGGCGTTGCCCGGGAGAGACTCTCGCAAGATCCGCAGTATTTCTACTGTTCACTGGAATTATGAGAAATTACAAATTACTTCCTGTCCCTGGGAAAGAGCTCGATGCAGAGCCACAGCCTGGACTCACGATATCCCCGAAACCGTATGAGGTACTCCTTGTGTCTCATTCGACGTAATTATTTCATCTTTATCTGCGATTACTTAGGGGCATTTAGTTAATGAATTATTTGGCAGGCTTATGAGCTATTTAATCACCCATGCAGAATTCAGACCCATTCAGAGTAATTGCTGGATATTAATCATGCTTTTCTTAAGAAATCGATTGACTAGATTGATTTGAATTGGAAAATTAACTGTATGTCGTTGTAAATGAAATTAATTGGATGAGATATGAAATAACTTTATCTCGTCCAGTCGTAGCTCACGATAGTCGTGTTAAAAAATCAAGGGGATGATTTATTTAAGAGATCATCCTTATGGCGAATGCATGGTATTGTAATTTTTTGAATCGTTGAATATATTTCTTTCACTCCTGTTATTCGTAACTTTATTGATGCGATTGCTTCCAAAGATGGTGAATTCATTAACACTCCGGTAACCAAATGTAAATGTAATTTTCCATTTTCATTCTCGCTTGCAACGGGGAGTTAATTTAATGAGATATGGCCGCGGTGACACAGTGAATCCATCAATTCCATCTAATATTGGGAGCCCTTGGTCTTCTGGCGTTTCTATGTCGAAATTATGGATTATTGAAGAGAAAAATATAAACAGCGACGCTCGGGCCAGTAGTTCTCCCAAACAGCGTCGTTTTCCTGTTCGTAAAAAAATTTAAAAAAATTCTGAAGACCATCTCGAATATCCAGAAATATTTCTAATATCGTCAAGATTAGCGCGATTTTTTAATTGCTAAGAATATTAAATTACCCAATCCGAACGGCGAAAATTCGCTCCTCCTCTTGAACTGCCCATTCTCATCCAAAAATCTGTCTGGCTTGAACTTCAACGGCTCTTCCCAGCACGTCTCATCGACATTAGTGCTGTGGTAATTGAATAAAACCACAGTACCCTAGAGAGTGAAAGAAAAAAAAAGAAAATAACGAAAAGAGGCAATGGTACAGACTGCATCAGGTGTTCGCGCACAATTGTCTTTTGTTAATAACAAATATTACCTTCGGAATGTTATAACCCTCGAGTGAAACTTTATCCATTGTCCTATGGGGTACCCCAAGTGGCGTGAGAACTAGAACTCTATGTGCCTGTCGTCATAAAGAAAAAAATGTCACTGTCACTATTCAGCAAAACAAAATCCACATTTATCACTCTTCATCTTAAACCTGAAACGTACATTAAAATGTATTTAAAGAAGCATCATCACCTCGGCTAGGAAAGCCTCTATTCGGGGCAATTGCGATGCGTGTTCGCAGCTGGGTTGTGCATCTGGGCCGACAATATCTTGCAGATCATTCTGCAGAGACTTTATCCACTCTGGATGATGAAGAGCAAGAGCAAAGATTGCGGTCAAGGAGTCTGTCGTTGTTTTTGATCCCGCCATAAATAAATCCAAGCAAAGAACTATCAGTTCCTCCCCTGTTCAAGGTAAAAAGAAAAAAAACATTCATTTTGGAAAGTGGAGAATAATCACAGAAATACTCGCTAATACCGCTGATTCCAAAGAAAGTTAAATGATCATAATAATTATTGTAAACATTTTTTTTTTCTGAGATGCTCATTAGAGAAAGTCAATGCATCATCAGGCAATAGGAAAATGAATTCATACGATCGTAAGAGTTTCCAGATTCAAGTAAAAACGCTTCGATAAAGTCTTTCGGCGGCTGATCCCGTCTCATCGTCTTGAGATGTTCATCAATTTCATTCCGAATAAATCCCCATAATTTATCATGCGTCTCCATTAAGCGATTGTAACCCGAGTAATTCGGAATGACAAATCGTAGGAAAGGGAGATGAGACAGAATACCGCCTAGAGTGTCACTAGACCTGTTGACAAATTTTTCATTAGCATTTTTGTTTGAAATGTGACAGACGATTGACGCTAATGATTAAATCAAGCTACCTGAAGGCTTCGTGCACGACTGATAATATGTGGTTGAGTCTGGAGTCGTCGTACGTAAATCTGTACCCAGCAATCATCATCCAAAGGGTATTGAGGACAGTGACATCGAAGATTTCCTGGAGCCTGAGGGGCTTTTGCAGCCTCTCAACTTCTCTCTGGAGATGAGTAACAAGAGCCTCTGCCTCGACCTCCAAGTAATTCTCCATTGTTTTCTGTCCAAAGCCAAACGACCGTAGATGTTTCATCGTAGACTTCCTGGTCTGGGCCCATGCGGGCCCGTCAATGAAAAGAACTCCCTTTCGTTTCCCAAAGGCTCTCACACGGAAGAAGAAACCATCTGGTCGACCATTGAATTCATCTCTCATTGCTGTCTTCTTTACCAATTCACTGCCGGAAATAACAACAAATTTCTGTCTCCCAAGCTTGATACCCACCACTGGTCCATACTTTTTTGACATCTCCTCCAAAACTGTATGAACATAGTAATACTTTTCCTTCAATTTATGAAATGCGGGAAATGCTCCAACCAGGGGATACCATGCGGGTCCTGCAACACAGCAAACAATCTTCAATGAGTTGAATTTGTACAATGTCGAGATTGTGAAAGTCTCATGTTAATTTTTCTCCTAGTCTTTGTTTTTTTTCATTTTATTTACCTGGTGGAAATTTCCGCGGTTTTACGCAATCGTGTGAGCACAACATCCAGACCACCAAGAATAGAATAAAACTCAGAAACAGCATCATTTGAAATAGAAAAACTGGTGATGTCGACGGGAACGATTTTTGTTAGAATTTGGTCCAAGTTGTCCTGACGATGTGGGTTTATATAGGAGCCCTTTCCACCACCCTCCTATTATCTGATCCTTTTCAACAGCTGGCTAGATGCATTTGGAATGGTAATCTAAATTTATGAATAGTGGTATATCCAAAAAAAGATCCTGAGAAGCGATGATCCATCGATAACCGGTCAGACCTGACCTAAGACGACCTCAGAGCCAAATATATTCTCAACTTCCTTATTCATAATTGTAGACGCGTCAATGAGACAGTTGCCGAGGTTTATTCATAGGTTTTAGTGTTGGATTTATTGTGCGCCCGGTTTATCATGATGAGCGGTTTGCCACCGCCGGATGTAATTAGCGTCTCGGTACTGTCAAGAAAGTAATTACGACAGGTTGTACACACCTGTGGATGACACACAGGCCTATACTTCGTAGTCACACTTTATGTGAAATAAGAGTGTAAAAATTGACGAACTGGAAAGTCCTGGTGTATTTTATTATTCAAGTTTATTTCCGCGTGGGAGCTGCGGTCTCTCCCCCTTTTCTTCTTATTATTTTTCTTGATTTTATCCGGAAAACAGAACAGGACAGATGAGAAATCCTGATTTAAACTTTATATTTATTCCATTTATTTTTGCATTTCACTTTTACTTTTCATAGTTTCTACGTGATGGGCCTTTTAAACGGCGTGTTTCTTCTATTCATTCGCAAATTTATAAACCCCAGGCGGCAATGAAATAGGCAAAGATAATCCAACCACACGTGGACTATAATTGATGAAGCATGTGTGGGTGACCAGTAGAATTGGTTTCTCGGTTACTTTCTCTGCAAAAGCCCCTCCAACTGTCTCAACCGTGCATACGTATACATATGGATCGTGTACTGCACTTTCTCCCAGTGGGGTTTGCCGGCAATTTCTTGCCTGAACATTTGTATCACACGCGACGAATAAGGATGTTAGTGAAAAAAGGAGAGAGATCTTCAACGTTTTTTTTTAACAAAAAAATACCATACTTTTATTCGCAACGGGCAGTATTCAACAATCATGACAACAATTAACGCTTTCGTATAAAAAAAAAAACAGAATTATAAAAAATAAATCAATAACATAAAAAAAACTGAGACAAACGCCAAGTAAAAATTGGGGTTCCATCTTGGAATAGCGTTTTTGTTGCGCTACTTAATCTCAAATTGAGTATGTATGTACATCGGCTTATATTACAGTACGTAATGAGTGTTCTTTGTACAAGCTCATGGGGTATTCAGTGTTTTCTCAACTAGCTGGAAATTTCCAGGTGGGCTGTTGATTTGACGCGGGTGGTACCAAATCATCAGTTATCGAGGCTAATTGGCTCGTTGCTTGCGATTCCTGGTGCAGTGATTGCTGCTGGAATGATTGCTGGGGCTGTTGCTGAACTAATGGTAACGGTTGACTCTGACGGGCTAATCTCTGTCGTTGGTCATCCGTTGCGCCATCGTCCTTGCGATCCTCCCATCCACCGTGTGGATGATGATGATCTTCAGCTGGGAACCACTCGCTTATCCAGACTGGCTTCCAGATCTTCTTCCAACCTGGCACCCAAATTTCTTTGGTCGCTGGTACTTGAATTTCCTTCCAAGCTTCTTTCCACGCGAGCTTTTTATCCGGTATCCACTCGAGTTTCTTTTCAGTGCGCCATATCTGCTTCCACGCTTCCTTCCACTCCAATTTCTTGTCGGCAACCCAAATCAGCTTTTTCCCTGGTTTCCATATCTGCTTCCACTCCTCTTTCCAAACGAGCTTCTTGTCTTCAACCCATATCTGTTTTTTAGCTGGTTTCCAAATTTGCTTCCACGCCTCCTTCCACTCCAATTTTTTGTCGGGTATCCATATCTGTTTTTTCGCGGGCTTCCAGTACTTCACCCAAATTGGCTTCCAGATTAATTTTTTCTTCCACAAGTCGTGGCTTGTGTACTCCCAGCCGTGTGGATCAGTCCCCAAATGCTGCTCTCCGGGTATTCCAACTTTAATCCATTCTGGTTTAAACTTCTTTTTCCAAGCTGGAACCTGAATTTCCTTCCACGCTGGCACCTGAATTTCACGCCAAACTGGCTTCCAAATTTTCTTCCAATCGGGTACTTGAATGTCCTTCCAAGCCGGCACTTTTATAGGCTGCCACAGTGGCTTATAAACTTTTTTCCAAGCTGGTACTTTGATTTCCTTCCAAACCGGCACTTTTATCTCCTTCCAGACGGGCTTCCAAATTTTCTTCCAGTCTGGTACTTGTATTTCCTTCCATACAGAGCGTTTTGTCGGCACCCAAATTGGCTTCCAAATTTTCTTCCATCCGGGCTTCCATATTTGCTTATGGGCTTTCTGCCAAATCTTCTTCCATCCAGGTTTCCATATCAATTTTTTCTTCCAGTATCCCTTCTCGTGGTGACCATCAGCCTCCGCTGACGGATCATATCTCTTCTGAATACCCTCAGTTCTGCGAATGAAATTCATGTAAACTCAGACACCTTGACCCATTCAAATCACATTACAATACTATAACGAGCCAATGACTTACTGTGCTTGACCCTGCCATTGTGGCTGCAGTGCCAACTGATTATTCTGGTCCAACGCTTTGCTGCACACAAGGGCGACTTGCAACAGTAGCGGAGCGATCACAACCTACATATAAACAATAAATAAATCGATCAATGAAATTAGCACATAAATAAATAGAAAAATAATAAATGAAACCATCACAGAGGACTGAACAATGATCGTTGAAGAACTCACCGCACATCTCAGGCGGATTCTCATAATTTCACTGGTGGCACCCGTTAGGGACCCCGGGTGCTAAAACTCTGTTCCCTAGCGCACAGGAAAACTCGCTTAACTTAGTCCAATAACCGGAACGTCGTGGTTATATAGGCACGGTTTGTCAGGTACTCCCCCAAATGGGTTATCCCCGTTGAAACCCCCCCAGCAGGTACCTGAGCATTTACGCAAAGACGAATCGGCATCGACCGAAGGAGGGCAATACCCAGTGTCAGTGTTACTGTCTTTCTTCACCAGTGATGGTGGTGGTGGTTGAAATCACTGGGTGACCGTAGGATGGGAAAAAGAAAAAAAAAACATGCTAACATGGTGGCGATGGTGGTGATGGTGGTGGAAGAAGGGTAATGTAATACGCAAAGAATAATGAAAGGATGGAAAAAGGAAGCAAAGAGTTATTTCGTCCTTCCACATTTTGCCTGGAGAAAGTGATCGCCGACTTTGAAACCACTTCTCTCCACCTCCTACATCCCCCACCTCTTCATCGTTTCTTCATTTCTTCACTGAAAAATGGAGTCACGTGTGTGCGTGACTGTGCAATTTAACATTGTACCTTTAGCAAGGTTACGTAGCCAAGGTTGTTTAGTACTGTTGATCTACATTCCTCTGGCACCCAAACTACCGCAACAGTTCAACGTTTTTGCCTTTCTTTGGAAATTCTCTTTGTGGTACTTGGTCATTAAATGTTTTTCATTACTTGGAACTCTCTAGATGGATGCAATGAGCGAGTACAAGGTGGTGGCTTTGGATGAAAGTGAATTCCCCGCTTGTCCCATTATCTTCTCCACCTCGGGTGGGAAAACACTTTCGCAAGTGTTAAACTGTATCGATAAGTTTATCATCAAATCACTGGATTTTTAGATTGATTTTATTTCCGGGAGTCTGTATTGATTATCAATTCTCTTTTCAGCCATTCATATCAAGTTTCTATTTTACCTATTTTAATGCAATGTAGAATTTCCTTCGTCTTCGCTTGTCTTCTTCATTTTTTATTTCCATTGATTGTTACTAAAGGCACGTACTAAAATATTACATTTAAATAAACAAAAAGAATTTCTCAAATTAAAAGTTTTGGTGGAAAAAATTCAAATAAATTTTGGAGTTGCAAGTGAATATAACAAAAAAAAGTTTAATGGATTGAAAATGAGAAATGCGGATGGACGATGTGACAAAAAGCTAAAAATATTACGCCTGGAATTACATCAGTGGCGTTTCACTTTCTTTCCCGAGTCCTATTAATCTAGCGTGCTGATGACCACGTACTTCACATCGCGCACCGGATAATAAAAATCATCAATTCTTCGAGTATTTTGCGGAAGTACAAGCAAAAACGTCAAGTGTCAAGTAGAAAGTATGGGAATCATCAGGCAATCGATCATCATTCATTATAATGATTCTGGAGCAGTTCGATGCACGATCTATGGCCTTAGGGCAATGAGAGTCATGTACAAGGATACGTTTCGCCAGAAGGAATTCTGAGAAAGTATAATCAAGATGGACCAAACTCATACTCATACTGATAGTTTGTTATTTTTTGTTACCACACCAGCCATCAACCAGCGCCGCACTGATTCTCTGTTTATTTGTTTAATAACAAAAAATATTGTTTTTGTATTGTTGTATTGCCCCACCGAAAAATATCTGGAATCGAATTATTATAAATATAATAAAAGTCTTATGCGATTCGCATACAGTAAAATTACCACACAATATTATACACTTGAAAGATCTTCATAATTGATCTACGACTGTTATCTAGAAAATGTCTTGTGGAAGCAAAAAGGAAAATTGCTCTTGGACTATAAAATTTTCACAGGCATGTCCGTTAAGTGTATTGATAAAATCTGAAAAAAAAAAATTGTTGTATTTTGTTACTTTGTTTTATATGAATACATGGGGCACCCTGTAATTTTCTATCGTCCTAGGTTCGAACTAATTGTCTACAAACTAAATTTTCCTGTTCGGCTACTCTCACAGCAATTGCGGAAGGCAAACGCAATAAATTCAGGGAGGCGGGAAATCGTAACCGGCGAAATCGAAATAGTAGATATTGATATTCGTGGTTGGTACTGGCGCCGGACAAAAGTACGCAATACGTATAGAATGCGACGGTTACAGTCCAATCATGGAAGGAAAAGAAAGTGAGTACAATACACTGAGGCACATAGTTGCAATAGGAGAGGTCTAAAAAGTGCTTAAAAAATATCTCCAAATTATTTTCACCGTGATTTTTTTATGCATTCTGCCTGGTGAAATAATTCCAGGAAAGGTGGTAGGAGAAACGCCGGCTTGGCATAGGTCATGACGATTTCAATGGCGGCACTAATCTCGATTCACTGTCATCACAAATTTGGCATACAGCTAATTCAATTCGATCTGAGAAAGTTTATGCGAAATTTTATTGGCATCGACTAGGAAATTACCGAGTTAATGATCTGAGACGACGTAAAAACCCGTGGCTTCACTACTATATTCAGGTTCTTTTATTCTGCCAGTATTTTTAAGTCTCCATTTCTTCACATATAAAGTAGACAAGCGAATTTCTTCCACGTATATTAGATGTTGGGTTCTCATCGGGGTAAGAGCATTCCTACCTTGTTGGAATATCTCGAGTCATGTTTATATTGGAAGAAAGTCCATCAACTTCGATGGGACAGTTTTAACCGGATGAATTAGAAGTTGAATGATCGATCGCGGTGGAAGTCATATCAGGATTTGTGGAAAGATTATACGGGTTTTGTTATTTTTTTCAGTATCAATTCCATATATATTGCATTCGTGAAAGTTGCGCTTGTCTCGTAGCTAGCGCAAAGTTCGCAACCTGTTCGTGCGACAGTTGTTACTTTTCCTCGGTTTTCAAGTCTGTGTATGACTCGCACTGTCGTAATCTCATCGTCCAATGTTTTTTTTATTGTGTATTTCGATATTCCACGAGAATGAAACAAGACCTCTAACAATCGCCACAGAAATCCACTTCTCTAATCGATCAGAATCACTACTCCAGCTGCAGAAGTTAATTTGAATTTACAACTAAAAATCAACGAAGCGAAAAACATAATGAGACGATTAACATCACCAGAAAAATCTCTTTCCAATTGTCAGTACTTCTCATCACCATTCAAACTCCATTATTCTCTTTAAAGTTTAAACACTAGAAGACAAAAAAACAATTGTTGAGTAATTCATATATATCCCGGGAAGATTATTTTTCCCATAACTCTCAAGTAAAAGTGAAAATATCAGGCATCAATCCACTGGTGCGTTAAATTAATGACAACATATTATGCCAAAGTGAATATCACTAGAGCACTAGTGCGAATCGCTCTTGTTTTCAATGCCCCCAAGTTCACGTACTTTCCAATGTCAATTTCAATTGTATGAAATAAAGTAGAAAATTCTATAAAATTAATTGCGAAATCTTATTCGCATAATTCCACGCGATGTTGCCTCCCACGTCACAATATTTATGGTTTTGAATAAATTAAAATTTATGACTCGGGCAGAGATACCACGTGACCTACGACGGTCCATGAATTATTTAGAAATTCCTTTCATCTGCAAAAAATACTCATTTCACTCGTTCATCTCGATTATTCCTGCGATGACCGCCCACATTCCAATGGATTATGGTGTAACTCCTTAAAATTGTTGTTGTTAAAATCAATTAAATTTTTTTAACCTGGCAAATATTTTTTATTTGAAAAATTACCGAGCCGTGGATTTTCAAAAATATTCTAATCAAAAAAATATAAACAAAAACTCTCGACGGAATACTTTAGAGAATAATTTATCGAGCCGCTGTCATCTCCGAGCGGCACATTGGAATATTCAATTGTGTAAGAACATCCGTAATGATCAAAGGAATAATAAGCACTCGAGACAGTTTATTCAGAGCTAATCTTCACAATGATGTATGCCAAAAGATTTTCATAGAACGCTCTATTACGTGAGATTCTTACTCGCTAGGCTGAGCACGTTTAGCCACTCCATTGCGCCTAATACATAACTCAATAATACTCTCGCTCTCGATCCACTTTCGTATTAAATTCAAACCCCATCTCAGGAAGTGTATGTAAGAATTAGTATGAAAAAAGGAAGACAGGATTCGGTGAGAGTATAAAATCAAGATATAAAAAAAAAAATTGCAGAAATAAAAAGATAACTGGAGGAGGAAGATCGAGTAGGCTCGTAGCCTTGACGAAACTTTCACTCTTTCCCTGACTCTCGAGGAAGTCCCCAGGCAATGGATCTTTTCCACACACTGTCTGGCGTCTGAGGCCCTTTTCCCGGAAGCTATATCATATGGAATCATCGGGGGGCCCTGGCCCCTGAGCCTCACTGGCACACCGTGCCCACACGTATGCAGATATGCTGCTGGTTTAATTAAATTCTCATCGGATAATTCGTGTGTAGAATCACCAGAAAATAAAGTAAATGAAACATGAAGCCTCTCAGGGAGATGATGACCATGTGCCTCTTTTAACGAAGATACTTCCGAGTGGGAAAGTCATTTTGCGTGGAGAAAGTATCGCTCCAAAGGCCGTGGGTTAGTTCTGCGACCTCTGGGACCCCTTCTATCTTTGTTACACGTTCGTGTACACCATTATTCTACCCCCTCAGTGCCCCCGCAATGCCCCCTCAGTGCCCCCTCAATGCCCCCTTAATGCCCCTTTCTTCCTCCCCCTCTAACATGTGCCCCACGTACCCTATTGCTTGGGATATCCTGCCGAGAATCAATTGAACATTTCAAGCAACATTGGTTTTATTTTTAAAAAAGGTTTTACAATATATTTATTTTCATATGAAAAATATAATATAATTAATAATTGCAGAGGAAGATATTTACAAGAGTCATGGATAGCTGGAGAATCGAAATTCTCTTAAATATTATATTCACATTGTTGAATTATTAGCGAGTACATCTTATCGCTGATATCCCTGATGCTCCTCGTCGTGATGTGGCTGACTGGGGACCCAAACTTTCTCCCACACCGGCTTCCACACTTTCTTCCAGGATGCCACCTGCACGTTTGCCCAGACAGGCACGGTCACACTCTTCCACTCGTCCTTCCAAATTTTCACCTTTTGCGTGATCCAAATTTGCTTTTTCACTGGTACCCATACCTTGACGTCCTCCTCCTTCCAGGCTAATTTTTTATCAGTTATCCATGCCTGCTTCTTCTGAGTTTTCCACACCTTTACCCAGTCGCTCTTCCACTCCATTTTCTTCTTGGTCTCCCAGATTTGCTTCTGCTCGGTTCTCCAGATTTTTTTCCAGCTTGCCTTCCAGATGAGTTTCTTCTGGGGTGTAGCTGGGGGTCCGTAGTGATAGCCTTCGTCACCTCCGTGCCCATCGGCGCCACCTCCACCTGGGGGCCCATAGTGATAGCCCTCGTCACCGCCATGTCCTCCAGAGCCTCCGATTGCTGGGGGCCCGTAGGAGTCTGATGGTGGAGAACCGTGGCTGTCATCGTCGACCCATACTGGAATCCAAATTTTCTTCCAATCAGGTACTTGGACTGATTTCCAAGCTGGAACCTGAACTTCACGCCAGACAGGCTTCCACACCTGCTTCCAGGCGGGGGTCTGCACTTCCTTCCAAATTGGCACTTGCACCTTCTGCCAAACTGGCTTTTGAACTTTCTTCCACTGCTCCTCCTTGACTTCTTTCCACGCTGGAGCTTTCACCTCCTTCCACGCCGGAACTTGCACTTTTTTCCAGGATTGTTTCCACTGGAGCTTCTTGTCATTCTTCCACACTTGCTTCCACTCTTCCTTCCACGTGAGCTTTTTTTGCCAGGAGCCGGAGGGCGGTGCGGGAGGCCCGTATGAAGGAGCTGGAGGGCCATATGAGGGTGCTGGAGGGCCGTATGAAGGAGCTGGTGGTCCATATGAGGGAGCTGGAGGGCCATATGAAGGAGCCGGTGGTCCATACGAAGGAGCCGGAGCTGGAGGGCCGTATGAAGGAGCCGGTGCTCCATATGAAGGAGCCGGAGCTGGTGGGCCGTATGAAGGAGCAGGGGCCGCAACTGGGGGACCGTATGAAGGAGCCGGAGCTGAGGCTGGCGGACCATACGAAGGAGCAGGGACCGGAGCTGGGGGGCCGTACGAGGGAGCAGGAATTGCGGCTGGAACCCCATACGAAGTAGCTGGAGGCCCATAACTCTGAGCCGGAGGACTATACGATTGCGTTGGAGTACCACTTAATCCACCAAAAGCCGGCAGGGGCGGTGGTACGATGCCCAACGGTGCCCTAAACAAAAGCAAAAATCATCATCAATCATACACTATTAAAATTCCTCAATCCATCTCACTCATCTCAATTGATCCTCGTCATCCACTCAAGAGCAATTAGCATACTTCCTCCGTACAAATTGTACTCACTCTCTCTTCCGAATAGGCTCTGCGAGCACTCCACACACAAGGACCAGGAGGCACAGCAGCACCACCTGAAAACACCACTCATTATTCCACCGAGGCAAGAATTTTCATTAGCATTTTATAAACTAAAACACTGAGCTTTGCATTTGAGTGGAGAATTAAAGAGTAATGAAGGCATCAATAAAAACACAAAAGTCACTTTCACGACTTGAAGCACGCTCATGCTATCCACGGGATTCAGATTAATCATGAAAAATATTGATAAATCACATCACCAGGTGCAACACTAACCATATAATTCCACCGCATCTTGCTGATCCTCCGAGTCTGAATAATCGATGACTATTTGTACTCAGGTGATGGTGAATAATTAAACTAATTATAATGGTACGCTGACAAGTAGGTGCGTCCACTCGTGAATTGTGTGAATCCTCTTCTGGTAAAATTGGCCGGTAGTACGAACGCTTATATAGGTGGGAAACGAAAACGTCGAGTAGGTTTGGGCATGTATTAAACGCTGATGACTAGGAAAAGGCCCACACCTGTATCCCACTGTAATTCCAGGGGGACACCCGCGGGCTAGATTATGAATACACACCTCTCATTTTTAAGCATTCGAAGGAGCTGTGGTAGGGGGATAACCACTCAAAAGGAGAATACACTTTGTGCCGTTTTGTTGCATGTACATGAACAAACGAAACGGAAAGCGTGAAGTCCCCACCGGGAAGGACAACAATGCTAAATAATGGAGTACAGTGCAACGTGACGTTAACGCTATTAAACAAATGATCTTTTCATCGACTCGATGGATAATTCCGTAGCTTCCTCATTTTATATCTCAAATTTCCGTCTAGACTGGGGTGAAAAGAAAAAAAAAATTGACGAAGTAGTTCCGTCAGCTTCATCCAGCGAGCATCTCCAATTGTTGACTCTAATGTAAAAGTCCTTGTCATACAGGTGAAAGTCGTCAGTGCACTCTGAGGAGCAATTAAGACTATTTTTTATTAAAAAAGGGAAACGTTATGGGTAATTTTCTGCGGGCACAGGACACTGCAACTGGAGATTACAGGTATTATGACGATTTCCGTACTGGAAGTAATATTGTTCATTTTTTAGGTGCGGGTTACGGTGAACAACTGGGTCATTACGTAATTCATCGATGATGGAGCATCGGCGGATCAGATTACCAGAGGATGAATCTTCACTAGGATATCTCAAGGGCGTCTGCTCACCGAAGGTTCAACTTCAAAGAATTTGCTAAAATAAAAAGATGCTCATAATGATTGAGCAATAGGTGAAAGTAGTGGGCTATTCTAAATTCTCATCTGCCAAAAGTAGAATTCCTTGGATCGAGAGAATTCGGTGTTTCAGGATATGAAATATTTTCAATTAATTAGGAGATAGCGGTGTTGTTGCCTGGGATCGTCGGTTTTCACTCCTAGCTGGAGATTAAATGGAGATTTTTTAATAGAATATGGATTTGCATAGACGATTGATCGATACTTATTTCGTATAATTCCAATTTGATGGGTGTCTCGGTTAATTCGGCGTAACAGCGAATTTCTTGTACTATCCTCTCATTTCGAGTTCAATCACTTATTTAACTTGGGAATTAATGAGGCCGGCCTTGATTGTGACATTGGAAATATGGAGGCGGTTGGAGAGACCACGGTCAATGGTCTAGGGGTTGGAGGCTGTGGTGACTATTATTCGTTTTGCTAAATGTTTACAAGGGATAATTCGGCTTTCTTTATCATCTTCAATTGTTGCGGTGGGAAGTTCCACGAAGCTGTTCACCTGAAACCACTCAAACTCACGGCTTTCACTCGCTTGAGGTAATTACCCGCAATGTCGTCTTATATTTTTTGGGGCTTCATGTTTCTCCTTCTCAATCGATATTTTATCTCATGCATATTGGCATCGTAAACGATAACGATACCCTCGCAGACTGGAAAAATTACAATAACATTTTATTTCCCTTTTCACTGTCGGGATTGTTCAAAAATTCATAAATCTTTCGAAAAAATAAAGAAAAATTATTGCGCGCTCGTGAAACTTAAGGAGTCATGAAATAATAAAAATATGACAATTTGTCAGAGCAATAAAAAAATCGATAATTTTGGGTCAATTGAAATTGATACAAAATCGCTCTCGCGAAATGGAAATTCAACACTGGATAAATAAAAGCGAAATTTGGATAGTTTTTTGGGATACTATAACTCTCACCTCTGAATAAATCCTTTAAATCGAATACCCGTATTATTTTTGATCTATTATGGGGGTCGCAAGAATGCAATATCGCAATCGCCATGTTGCGCGTAATATTTTGATTTCCTCGAAAGTTATTTTATTCGAATTTCACGGGTAAAATTGACTCTCGCGAATTCATACGTTTTTTTATTGCAGGAAATGGTTATTGGTGGTTCATTACTTTCTTCCATCCTGTGGAATCATTAAATTTGCATGCCAGGGATATTATCATTGGAATCATTAATATGGGCACGTCATGTTACGAAATGTCTCGCAGTTTGGTTGTTGAAGATCTCGGAAAACATTGAAATGGATGATTAGTTTCAATCTACAGGAGAGTGATAAATTACTATATTTATAACACTATGTCTACTTTTAGATGCATGGTATACAATGTACTACAGGTGATAATGATTCCATTGAAAAATTTTCTCGGGTTGAATCGTAAAAAAGTACAGTGTAATGGCATTCCAGGGAAAGATAATACTCATGTTGTTTTCCCCCAATTTCATGTTCCTTCTTCATTGAGATAAAGCCGGAGAAATGAATTATGCTGTGAAGTATATATGTATATACCTTTCTCGGACACTTTCTTCGCCGTTGTTGGGTACAAGGCTTGTCGCTAAGAAACCGGGGCTCAATGGCCTTTTGGAATTCCACTAACGCAAACTTGACCTTCGTCCAGAGACAGGGATGTGAAATTTATCCTATTGCTCATTTTATTGCGGAATTGTCGATTTCACAAATACGAAAATTCCCGCTTCATCGCTCTATCCTGCACTCTGTCCTGTCTCCGATTTCTTGCCTTTTCATTTTTTCTTGAAACATTTGTTCCGTCCCCCCATCGATTTCACATCTCACAAGTGCCGGCCTTCTTGTTATACAACAGCATCTTTTTTTTGTTCCTTACTCCACTCATCAATTTTTTATTATTTCGATCTCACGCGGCAAGAGATCACGCTGAGAGTGAAATTCAATTATTTTATCTTTTTATTTTATCAGTTGGTTAATTTAAAAGAATGAATGGATGTTTAAGACCCTTTTACCAAAATTAATGTTTGCTTTAATTTTCCGACAAATTGTTAGTCGGATTGAACCGAAAAATATACCATTTTTTTATTTCATATTCATTTAATGAGGATTGATTGATTTTTCATGAACGTTTTTTTCTGAAGTTTTATGAATTTTCGGGAATTCGGAATTATGATATTCCGTTGGTGTTTAGGTACTACAAAGGGAAATAGTTATCGAAACCTATTTGAGTGCTGAAGTTAATCTAATCACGTCTAGATTTTACCGCGCGCTGATTAATTGGGAAATAATAATCTCTGATTCTAATCGGAGAGATTACGACTGTTTTTGTTACTTGGGGATAAATGCAAGTGAAACATCACTTTTAGTGGATACCCAACAACCATGACTCCCATTTGGGCCGTAGTAACGTACCTCCTTCTCAATGGTAAACAATTTCTAGAATAAAGAGAACTTTTACTCGGATTTTCCCATTTTATGTGTATTTTTTTCACTCTTTTTTTTGCACCAAATTATCAGCCATTTTCGTATTGTTTATAAATTCCGGAGAATTCTCGCATAAACCGTAAAGCAATTTGTTGTAGAAAATTATCACAAGTCATTGAGATAGACTCGGATTTGAAGGAACTTAACGATTTTTTTGCAAAAAGCATTTATCAAAATATCATCGCCTTTCAATTTCGAGATATCGGCTAGAAACTGGCGTAAAAAAAAATCCCCTCATAAAAAAATCGGAGTATTAGTCAAATTCTCCGTTTCACACTATCTCAAAATCAGAAGCTAAAGGATTATTGGAATAAAAAATTTACAGATTAACTTCCTCATTGTTCGTGAGCCAATCGTCCACATATTTTCCGCAGATTGAGAATTCAGAACAGCTGTCTCAATTATCACAATCATCAATCATTTTCGCAATCATTGTACTATGGGCTTGAAACTTGAATACTCAGACAAAGTAAACGACTTCTCACGTATGGAAATTGATTGAAAAATAGTTCTTGAGTTTCAAGCATCGTTATTTCCCTTCCGAAGGGTCATTATTATTATTATTAACTAAATTACGTCAATATATAAACGTATAATCGAAAAATAATGAATGAGGCTAATCTTACCAGTCGTTTTGACACAGAATGATTAATCGGTTGTGGACCATTCAAAATAATTCAAAGAGTAATTCGAAGTGAAAGTGAAAATAGATTAGATTACTCAATTGGTATTTTTGGAATAGGAATTGCAGAAGGGAGAAAGGGCTTTGGTCCAGGCGAGCAGGACTGGGGATTCGTCAAGGTGCGACCTGGTGCGCACATGTTCTGGTGGTTGTACTACGTAACACCGCCATCGGGAGAAAAAGTGAATGTTTACGAAAGGCCCCTGGTAATTTGGTTGCAGGGGGGCCCAGGTGCATCATCGACTGGGTATGGGAATTTTGAGGAGCTCGGACCCATCGATATCGAGGGAAATAAACGTAATTACACTTGGGTCAATGATTACAATGTTATGTTCATTGACAATCCTGTAGGATCTGGATTCAGTTATGCTGAGACTAGCTCGGCATTTGTAACTACCAACAGACAAATCGCCGATGATCTTCTCAAGTGCATGCAGGCGTTCCTCGATAAATTCCCAGGCTTTCGCAAAGTTCCTACTTATGTTGTTGCTGAGTCTTATGGTGGCAAGATGGCTGCTGAGTTGGGATTTCTCTGGTATAATGTATGATTTTCATTCATTTCTTTCTTCCCAATCGAAAATTTGTAATCGATCATTTTTTTGATTTTATCATTTTTTTGGAAATTATTTAGAGTCTTATGAACGAGAAATACCACGCGGAAAATAGATTTCTCGATATCTCCTCAATGGCTCATCGGTTTTGATTTTTTTTCTTTCAAAATAGCTGCTTTATTTATTACTGTCGAAAAAATCGAAATATTTCTGATCATGCATTTTGATAAATATTTCTAAATTCAAGGGAAAGACAATTAAAAATGATAAAGACATCTGTAGAAAAATGTGATAGAAGAAATCAATTCCTCGGTCCTGTCAATCGTCAGGAAATAATCAAACGTTGATATCTGAATCTAGGGGAGATAGTAGAGATAAGAATTGTTTTGACTGCGAATTCTTCTCTTTTACTGATATCATCGAAGATCCAGGCTTTACAATAATATCCATTAATTTTGAGAGGGAATTCCATTGGAATTCGAGAAATGACCCAGAGTTGAGCCGCCACGCACGGAAAACGATCGAAAAACCTGACCAATTTCATTAGAGGTTTATTGGATTTCTAGTCAACTTTCTAAAGTTTTTGGCTGATTGTATCGACGCATTAATTTGGAAATATTCCGGAGAAAGAGCTGATATTTTATGGGCAGATTCCTCGGCTGAAATTTTCTGGTTCTTCTTTATTTCATTTCCATTTTATTTTCATCGAGAATATCCCGAGAAAAAATGTAGAAAATTATAAGAAAAGAAATTCTATAGATAACGCAAGGGATTATGGTATTTAATTGTTCAAGTGAAGCACTCGAAAACGAATAGAAAGTTCAATAGAAATTCCAGACAATTGTCTAGCGAATTCGCCAGTTTTTTCCATGAAATTTTTTCACACGTGCCATCCGGTAATTGAACCCTTGGCAACACGTGGAAGGAAAAACAAACAATAATTTAGGGAATTGCCAAGGTAAGATAAAATTCGTGTGAATGAATGACTTCTTAGAGAGAACGCTGGAAAAATTAATTATAAGAATTTCCCACGGACTATTCGAGAATAATGTCTCCACAATTGCAATTTCTTCGCAAATGTCGTTCAGTAAAAAAAAAATCTTTGAATACTGAAAAAAATAGATATTCTTTTATTTTTGCTATCATTAGTTCTATAATTCACGAGTGAAAAGATAGAAAAATAGTTGTATCTCGTATCACCAGTCCCACAACAGTCATTCACAACAAATAATAAAAAATTTTCATTTCCCCAGGCGCAAAAGAACGGATCGATCAGCAGTAACTTGAAAGGTGTTGCTCTCGGTGACTCCTGGATTTCACCGATGGACTCGGTCTTCTCGTGGGCACCATTTCTACTCTCAACCGTAATTCTACGTTGACACTTCATTCGTACTAAATTGGAATACCGAATAATCAATACTTTCTTAGGGAATGATTGACAGAGGTGGTGTCAGAGCCATTGAGAAAGCAGCTACGGAGACCCAGAAAGCAGTGGACGAGGGACGTTGGAGGGACGCTACTAATCTCTGGAGTGAAACAGAAGGTGTAATCATGCTTGTCACCGGGGGAATTGATTTTTACAATATTCTTGAGAAGCGACTCGCCCTAGCTCCCAATTCCAGATTTTTCCCTGGCATCCATCCAAGGGTGGATCGGGATGAAATTCTCAATCGATTGATGAATAATGAGGTCCGAGAGGCTTTAGGACTCAATAATTCTTGGGGACAGCAGAGCTCTCAAGTCTTCCAGACTCTCGCTGGAGATTTCATGAAGCCTGTTATTAACATTGGTATTCACATCACTGTCAATGTCCAGACTAATCTTACCTGCTTCTGCCACCCTCGTCACTTTTTCATAAATAGCAATACAGTATATTCCTTTTTGTATTTATATTACATTCCTTGAATATCTCAATAACGACTTGTTTGTCTTAATTGTCAATTAGTTCAACAATTGAGAAATGAGACGAATCTAGAGGTGTTCGTCTTCAGCGGGCAATTGGATTTGATTGTTGCAACCCTGGGAACCGTTGAATGGGTGGAACGAATGCTCGAAAATACCGAGGGATGGAGAACAGCCCTGAGAAAACCACTGGTCATTGGCAAGGTCATAGAGGGCTACCTTAAGGAATACAAGAATTTCAAAATGTACTGGATCAACAGAGCTGGGCACATGGTAATTATCATTATTCCGAGATTATGAAATTGATGGGTAATGTTGGTCGTCCGCAGGTACCGCGGGATAATCCATCTGCAACTGCCGCCATGCTCAAACACTTGACTACTCCAAAATGATGAACTTATTATTATATATTTAAATTAAGAATATAATTCATAATTTTCCGGCTGACCTAATTGTGGATCAGATGTTTGAATATTTATTGGACTCACGTCTTCTATTCCTTCACAAAAAAATATACACTTATCAGTTCATAAAATAAAATAATGTTGGCATACGCCTGATTATTCTATATTTAATAAATTATCTAAATTGCTAAACAAATTGTCTTCATTTCTCATTAGAGAAATATTCAATAGCTCGTTGTTCAGTTGCTCCATAGAGATACAAATATGCCTTCTGCTCTTTTTCAATTCATTCCGTCGAAAGTGAAAATAACGCTTTGACAATTACTACAGTCATAACTTCACTGGTGTCAAAATTTAACGATGGCGTCTCGGTGCAAACCACAGACTTGTTAAGTGTTTAGTACATAGCAAAAGAAAAATGCTTTATCCTGTTTGCACAATAAGCCGCCTCTGGTAAACAGTAATAAACTGTCGGCTTGACTTCTGGTCATGAATTCGAATATGTGCATCATGGATTTATGTATTTCGTTACGTCTGGGAAGGCAGTTTTAAGTGTTTTTCTTAACATTCGAGGCCCCGAGGTGTCAGATCAAGGCCGTTGAATAACAAAAGAATGAGGAACACGTAAGTGGGGTCAAAGTTACATAGCACACGCTCGAAAGGACCCAGCGCGTAGAGTTACGTATGTTCTACTTTCTCGTAATCCCTTAGGGAATGAGTCAACAGTTATACTCAATAAAAAGTCCGGTATATCAATCAATATCTCTGTTCATTATTTTTATTTTCGTTTCGCATTCTTCACAGGACAACTTGTGCTTTAAAATCCCACTCTTTGTGTAAACTAAAATATCTTAGTTATGACAATATATAAAGTTACAAAATGCAACGTTTTATGACTTAAATGTAAATCAATGGTGTCGGAATGGCTTTTTGAAAATTTTGAAAAAATACAGACAGCTCATTAGGCCGTTGAGTCTTTCTTCATCAGTTCTATGTCGGATACTAACATGTCTTTCACTAATTCCTGAAAAGCAATAAATATTTAAGATCAAGTTTTCTATTTCTTTGTGACATTTAATTTTCTGATGCACATTCAACGAATTAATTGGACAGTATTCACTGCATAATCTTCAAACCTAAAATAATTGTAGATCAAACAAATTGTGTTTTGTAATATTCACCTCAAAACTGACGGAAGGCTCCCACCCAAATTTTGTTTTTGCTTTTGTTGCGTCACCCAGCAGCATGAACTGAAATGAATAAAAAGACAAAATAGATGACAATCATCACCGATAATGAAGTGATGAAAAAGGAAGTCAATCTCCATTCTGATTCTCTTTAATCAAAACAAACAAATTAATGAATGGATTTCGAGATTTTCAAGAGTCGATGGATATAAAGCGACATTCACTCATCCTGTTTCGAAAATAGGAGTATCATAAACGATCAGAAAAGCCACGAAACTTACAACTTCCGTTGGACGGAAATATTTCGGGTTTACTCGAACTAACAATCTCCCGGTGTCTCTATCACTCCCAATCTCGTTGACACCCTCACCCGTCCATATAATATTAAAGCCCACGTAACGAAAAGCAATTTCCACAAATTCCCGGACACTGTGGCTCTCTCCAGTGGCAATAACATAATCCTCTGGCGTCTCCTGCTGAAGCATCATCCACATGGCCTGGAAAAATAATTACTGATGATTTACCATCAATACAGTAGACTCCCGTTATACTCGCGTGCATGGGGCTCAAGGGGAAGCAAATTCGGAGAATCCGACTGTATGCAACTACCCCCACCACGCGCTCGCTGTCACCGTAAATTCTTTACTGAATTCATTACTCCGTATAACGGGATTCTACTGTATTGACTAACAGTCCACTCGTCAGCTGTTCTCTAATTTATTTTCCATTCTGCCTAGGGCCTATTCTCACTATTGGGAAATTTGAGATATAGTGAATTGGGAAAAATCCACCTGTCAAGAATCAATGAAAATCGGACAATCGAGCGCTAGAATGATGGATAATGATCTGAGAGCCATTTTAGATAAAGATTCTGAGGTCCACTTATATAATCTCGTTCTATTGTTTTGGAAATTACTTTGACGTAACAGATGTCAAAGTTAGCAGTGGGTTACATAACATGAGAGTTCCCAAGAATTAGGGCTGTCGAGTAATACGAAAATTGAAAATTAGATTTTAATTGGGTAGAGTGTATTATATCTATTTACAGATTTACCCACATTGAACTCATTCCGTAGTATTAATTGGAATCACTCTTTCAAAATCTGCATTATTTAAGTACTTATTAAACATAATGCGTAAAATTGATGGCGAACAATATTTTCATTGTACTGACCTTAACGTAGTCCCGGGCATGGCCCCAATCTCTCATAGCGTCCAAATTCCCTAATTCAAGAACATCCAGTGCTCCAACATGAATTTTTGCCACACCTCTCGTGATCTTTCTCGTAACAAAATTTTCACCACGCCTCGGGCTCTCGTGATTAAACAAAATGCCATTACAGGCGTACAATCCATACGCTTCACGATAATTTATGACGATCCAGTAGCTATAAAGTTTAGCACAAGCTGTAAAGTTCATTAATTGACGTCATTAAACTTTCACCGATATTGTGATAATCGAACATGATTTGTTTAACAGTTTAACTACCGTATGGTGAACGAGGATAGAATGGTGTTTGTTCATTCTGGGGAATCGTCGTATCCTTTCCTCCATATAATTCCGAAGTCGATGCTTGATAAAATTTGACTTTTTTCTCCAAACCACAGGTTCTTATAGCATCCAGGAGGCGCACCGTTCCAATAGCGTCTACTTCGCCTGTATACTCACTCAGCTCGAAACTCACCTGAGTAATAAAATAATTGATTAATTGTCATGACGAGTGATGAATCTTTAGAATAGTTCACAGGTCATGAGGATTAAACATCCCCATCGACAATGCGAATTATTAGAACTGTTTATCATTACCATTACGTGACTTTGAGCTGCAAGATTATAAATTTCCGTAGGCTGCACTGCTGATATGACTTTAACTAATCCACTGGAGTCTGTCATGTCACCCCAATGTAATTTCATTCGTCCATGACGATGACTTTTGGGGTCTGCATATAAATGTTGAATTCTTCCCGTATTGAACGAACTCGCTCGTCGAATGATACCATGAACTTCGTAGCCTTTTTCCAAGAGGAATTCCGCGAGGTACGAACCATCCTGGAATTATCAAGATATAAAAATTCATGTAATTGACAGAATAAACAAATGGAAAATGTGGCGTACTCACTTGACCAGTGATACCGGTGATTAGGGCCACACGACGTTCCTCTGTGGCCATTGCACTGATACTTTAACCTAAAAATTCTATCTAATGTTCCTCCAACCTCGAAGCACCTTTAAACACACATTTCGGTGGAAGACAAACACCTGGGAGAGGTGTTTTATCAGCTGCAAAACATTATCAAACGTCACCAGGGTGTGACAATAAAGGTGCGCTCACACCGTGAATACATGGATTCCGAGGATTGAGAATCTTGGCCACTGATTGGTCCATTCGGAATATCCGTACATTCGGCGCCGAAATATTTAAATCTCAAACAAAAACAACCTCGTTTGACTACCTCGTTTGTATTTTTTCTTTTTTTTAGTTCAAACAATCCATATTATCATTAGTGGTATATCTTCAACATATTGAATAATTTTTTCCATTGAAATTCCACAAGATGTGGTTTCCCCCTTCCGTACGGGCTACAGTCAGCTAAATTTTAGTTAACCAAATAAAAAACAAAAAGCATTCAAACCCTAGAAAATAAAATTCACCCCGTCAACTTGATGGACACCCCAACATTGCGTGTAGCGCCCTCCATCTCTTGGGCTGCAATACTACGATACCGTTGGGATCACTCAAACCCCCAGAACTGAACCTCTACTTCAGTCAATCCTCTTTGGCCCACCCTAACACTTGAACATTGTTCAATGGCATTTTGCCACATTGCAGAGAATACGAACGTGCGCCAGTAGAAATTTTCATCCAAGCCACGTGAAACTGTCGAAAAATCAGTCTAAATCCCTCAGAGATGACCAGGAAGTCCGGGTGATAAGCTCATCAAATCATGGAGAGAAGCAGAATGATAAGGTTATCAAGTACGTTGCCTAGATGACTTTGTGACAACTTTCGTTGGCTCAAATAATAGAGCAACAGTGATAGAAAATTCCTCATTCTAACGCAAAAAATAAAGAACACTCCAGTGATCAAGATGCAAGTGAACGACAATAATGTCTGGTGGTTGCGAGTCGGTTCGGCTTTATTTTACGGAGTGTCATCAATACTGATAACATTTGTAAACAAAACTGTATTAACATCGTACAATTTTCCGTCTTTCCAAGTCCTGGGTATCGGTCAGATGCTGGCAACGATAATTACCCTGTCGATAGGGAAAAAATTGCAATACGTCGATTATCCTAACCTCGATCGGTCGACCATCAGTAAAATATTTCCACTGCCTCTGATATACATTGGAAACATGATATTTGGCCTTGGGGGTACCAAGCAGCTGAGTCTCCCTATGTTCACAGCGTTGAGAAGATTTGGCATCCTCATGACGATGATTGCTGAATATTACATTCTTGGGATCAAACCCAGAACAGCGGTTCAGTTGTCAGTGTACACGATGATTGTCGGGGCACTTCTTGCCGCCTCTAATGACCTCGCCTTCAATCTCGAGGGGTACATATTCATTTTTCTGAATGATGTATTCACAGCTGCCAATGGGGTTTACACCAAGAAGAAGCTAGACTCCAAGGAGCTGGGGAAGTATGGACTCATGTATTATAACTCGTTGTTCATGATCTTGCCGGCTCTCATTGTTGCCTGGTGGACTGGACACATTGACTCTGCCCTCAAGTACAAACACTGGACTGATCTCATGTTTCTCGTGCAGTTCTTTCTCTCGTGTGTCATGGGTTTTGTTTTATTGTATAGTATTATGGTGTGTACACTTCATAATTCTGCTCTCACCACCACCATCATCGGCTGTTTGAAGAACATCAGTGTCACCTATTTGGGGATGATTGTGGGGGGTGATTATATTTTCTCGTGGTGGAACTTTGTTGGATTAAATCTCAGTGTTCTGGGTAGTCTCATCTACACGTGGGTCACATTCAGGAGAAAAGACACTATTGAGCCCAAGTATTCACCACTTGGAGGACCGACCAAAGAGGAAGTTGTTTGATGATTGCTCTAAGGCTTTCATAGGTGTGAAATATTTGTGTTTCGATAAATGTAATTTCGTGCCATTGAACTAGATTTCAGGCGGAAGTATTTTCACATTGGACTCAACGATTTAAGTGAATGTGTAATTTATTAAATATCTTGTTCGATTGGAAATTCGATCCTCGAATTGATTTTTTTCAGGCGTTTCTGCATTTATAATTTTATTATTTTTTTCTTTGACGATGTCCCAACGCGAGTACGATTCTTCGGGGAATTAATTGAGAGATAGAATAATATTATTGAAAATTATTTGTTCACTTTTGAGGTACGTAGAGGTAATACGTATGTTGGGACCACCCCTGATTTTGCTCCATTTTTCGTACGATACCAAAGCAAAAGTATGTGTAAATAAAAATATGTACAGATAGTTTGATGATTGTAAAGAAAGAGTAATAAACTTTGAAACATTTGAAATGATTTTTCTTGAATTTTATATCCTGAATAATTTTTTCAGGGGATCTCTTGGGAGGATCTCTTGGGAGAAGATTGAAATCCACGTACGGTGGTGAAGCATTCGTTGATGACTTCACCAGGAATCATGTGAGGCTGACTAATCTTCAGCGTGCTATTCTCGCTTGTGGATCGGCAGCTGTATCTCTCGCAGATCCCTATCGTGCGGATATGATCGCTTGTCTCGGTGAAACAACTGGTAAATTCGCATTACTCCACTGTTACGAAAAAATGAAGTCGACAAATGAAGGGCTCCGGATATTAAATGAAAAGCCAAGGATAAATACGAGCACCGTAGACATGAAGTCACTGGAGGGTTTGCCCGAGGGCACCCTGGGAAAAACATACCACAACTTTTTGAAAGTTAATGTAAGGAACGTAAACTTCAACTAAGTGGAAGTTTCTTGTGTAAAATCTTTATCTTTTTTCTGCTTCCTTGTGTTCATTCCATGTTTTTAATAGTTATAATTTAATTCCCCTCGGATAATTCACATTGTAATTTTAGGAATGAACAAACTTGGAATGACTTTTGAAATATCTTAGAATATAATGAAAGTTTATTCAAAGGTTTTTATTGCAGAAGGTGACTCCAGACTCTCGAGATGACGTAAAATTTGTGAATGAAATCGAATTGGCGTACGTGATGCAGCGATATCGCGAGGTGCACGACATATTTCATGCTGTACTGCTCATGCCAACGACAATGCTCGGTGAAGTGACAGTCAAGTGGGTCGAGGCATTGCAAACACGTTTACCCATGTGCATCGGTGGTGCTGTCTTCGGTGCTGCTCGTCTAAGACCGAAGTAAAATACCTCTCAATCCTCGATTACGTCATTGCAATCAAATAAATGTTTCCATTATAATTTTTCACTCTCTCATTTACACAGACAAAGGCAACTCTACGCCAAGTACCATTTACCATGGGCCATAAACACCGGTAAGAATTCTGGATTTTTATTGTCAACTTACTTCGAGGAACGATGGGAGCAACCACTCGACGCTTTCCACAGAGAGATGAATATCCAACCACTTGCCCAATTTGCAGACAAATAAATTACTCACACGTTTTTTTTTTTAGTTTGCTCAATCAGTACACAGTATAACAATTTCTTTTATTGATTGTAACACTGGAAATATTAAGAATATAATTTTCAATGGAGTTACGATATAATCCATATTACAAAATGTGTGTTATTTTTTTTCTTGTTGTGTCTCCCTTTTTTCTTGTTCGTAGTATGGTAAATATATATGTTTTATATATAATTTTATACGTATTCCTACGGGTAGGTTGATAAAATCTATAGACTACTTTGGAAAATTGCGGTCTATGGTGGGTTTTCGGTGCATTTCAAACATTCCATGCTTTTTTTTGTGAATTTTAACTCATCATTGAATACTGCCGGAGTCGTTAATATGTACAGACTACAAATAAATGTGTTTTTCACTTTTTTTCAGATTTTTTTCATGGTTTTTTTTTTCAGTAATAACAAAGCAAATACTGCGATAACAAACAACCTCACTTGAATAGATTTTTTAAGTGCTAAAATTGAGTGATATTTGTTTTTTTTTTTAATTCTCCATTTATTTTTTATCGATATAACTCGCCCCCAAAAATTGATTGTCATTTAATTGTCATTCCGGTAAATTATCATTATTACCGTAAAACTAAATTGACGATATTAATTCTGTGACATCAAGTTCATCCCCATTTTTATCGAAAAATTACCATTTTCTTTTAATTGATTTATATCCTTGCAGAAGTCACACGTCAAATTTTTACGAGTGAAAAAAAAAAATAATCTACCGTTTTACATGCACTCTTATCACAATCTGCTGATTGCATCATTCTTATCAGTGGAGCATGTCCTCAATTGTCTCTTACACGTTGATTCAACAACAGCTGATTGTTTTATTCAGGTAACACAAACGTACATTATTCTTGGTTGAACTATGGTTGGGAAAACTATCGAGCAAGGCTCGCATTTCTGGCCATTTAACTCATCGATTGAAATCGATAAAAGCGTGATGAATGGATTATGTACTCGAACAATTTACAAGGAAAATTTCCACTCCTATATCATATACATAATGCCTTAAAATACAGCTCTCTTATTCTCTTCAACTCCTACATCATGAACTTTTTTCATCTTAAAATTACATATCCATCCTGAAAATTCCACAAGTGCGTCAATTGCTTATTGCGATAAAGATTAACTACCGATATGTGGACGCAACCTGATCAACTCATTCATTCTCACTTTGTCAAATAAAGCAAGTGCTTAATCATTAATTCGTCGTTGCTGGCAATCTTATAAATAATTCTCTTGAATGCTATAATATCAACTGTTTCTAAGATGCCTCTAGTAGGAAATGCACAAAGATACAGCGCAGGTAATTGTCATTTTTTTTTCCATTTTCCGCACATATTTTTTCTCGTGTAACTCGAAGGAATTAGCTTGACACCGATTATAAAAACTCTTATATACCTTATAATGATATATCTCCATTTGTGATTAAAATTACGATTATGATACTTAGAAGATTGAAGATAAACCTAGTTGAGCATAAGTTAGGTGGCCAGAGCACTTCCTCGGGCGTAACCATTTATTTCGTATCATTGATCGGAGGAGAATGCATCATAGCTGATTGTGTTTTCATTATTTGGTCCTTGCACACATGTCGATGATTTAACGACCCTCTACCATTCACTATTTCTACTCGAGATTCATTCTCTTGAGGAACATGTAAATATCCTTGAATGTCGGTCTCGATTCAGCGTGCTTGCTCCAACACTTTGTCATCATTCTGTAGAGCTCTCGGGGGCATGACGACGGTTGCTCCAGTATACGTGTCTTTTCTGATGTACCAGAATGATAGCACTTACCGCAGTTTTCCAATACCTGCTCTGATGTCATTTCTGAGTAAGGTAGATCCTCGCAGTACGTCAATATCTCCCACACTGTCGTTGCATAAGACCATACGTCCGCTTGACAACTCCGTTTACCCTAGTTCAAAATCATTTTTTATGTCAATGCTATTGATAAATATCCGGTTTACACATCAAATCATTCTTATCCATCAAATGTATGTCTCCTATTTTTAATATACTCTTCATATATCATTTTAAACTGCCATTTTTACCTCGAAAATTTTTTATGGAAAATATATTTTCAATAAAGAATATTATTTGGTGGAAAGTCGATACGAATTATTGAATAAATGATTTTTAGAGTTGTATTATAAGATAATTATGATTGTGGATATTTTAGTATGGGATTGTTCGAAGTACTGTATTAGTGGGAATTCGTTGCGGATATTATGGATTATTGATTCAATGGATATTTGTATGTGCATCGCGTATGTTGAACTGACAGGTCATACACGCATTTGTTTGTTTTTTAATCAATTTTATCGATAAATAATATTAACAACCACGGCATTTCGCAGTTTTATAGAAAAAATACATAAAAGTGTTTACACGCTTTTTGCTGAACGCACGTGATATATTAATTGATTTTCTGCACATATATATATAACGGTAATTTTAATCTGCTGGTACGACTTTCTCGGTTTGCCATGATTTTTTTAGCTTCTAGTATTACGAATTCACATTCATATTTACATCAAATGCTTTTTTTAATGTTGAGTTATTACGGAAATTTCTGCAATTAAATTTGTGCATGGCAAAAAAAATGGGTTATTTGATGTTGAGACCGGTGAATTCCTGAATTCATTTCAATTAAATAAAATTGGATCGAACCAAGTTTTTATCGTCGCAATAGATAATTTTCGGTAAGTGATGGAGTACATGAAAGTGTTAGCAATGATATTTACCAGTAATACAGCCTCCCATGCCATCCATCGCAGTGGTATCTTAGCATAACACTCATTAACGTAATATTCCCCGTCGTATTTACTGCTGTACATAGCATGATCCGACACTTTGATCGATAAATTCTTGGTAATTACACAGTTTCTGGCTGCCAAGTCACAATGAGCAATGTTCAAACTCTCGAGGTACTTCATGCCAGTGGCAATTTGAGTGATAAATTTCATCAATCGACTGTAACTGTTTGAAAATGCCAAATAGATATTTTTATTATATATTTTTAGCATTTGAAAATTCAATGACACGAGTTGAATTGGAAACTATTTACTCACCTCAATGGAGCTTCGTTGTTTGACTTCTCCTGATTACGAATGTAATACGGTAAATCTCCATGCTCACCATATTCAAATACCGCACCAAACGGCTCTTCTTCCACAAGTGCCACAATTCTTGCAATATTAGGATCACGAATCTGAGCCAAAATGCACATATCCCTCATAAAATCCTTCCTGCAATTTGTAATGAAGGAATAAATTACCGGAAAATCTCACCATCGTCCCCCGCCTTTTTTATCCCTAAATTAGTCATTTGAAATTCAAATAAAGGGGGGATTATTTACTTGAGTGAATCCGTAACTCCTCGCCACAGTGACCTCACAATAACCAACTGTTTGTTCCTCATTGTTCCCGAATCCAGACTGTGAATTCCCTTTGCCTCACATAAATGAACAAATCCAAAGCTTCCCTCTCCTATTTTATCGCAAATTCTCAATCTGTGCCTCGATATGTGATGAATCTCCTGTACCTCGACGTTATGACGTTCCTCGATAAAATACGAAGTAAATAAACTCGATTCAGTGTGCTGCTCTCGTCTCTTTATCTGCCGAAAACCAAAACTTTTTTAATAAAACCCCTCAGGAGGTCTCTCCCATTCTCTGCATTATCCCCAACCCACCCTCGAGTGACGAAAAATCAAATAAAAAAAATTGTAGATGAAAGAAATAAGAAGCCAAGGGGTAGGTGGAACACCACCGACTTTCATAATAAACAAAATCAATGCTCCTTTCACCAGTGAATCCCCTAGATTAAAAAAATTTCATCTCATGGAAATGAGGGAATAAACTCACACCGTAAACCATCTAAATAGAAAAACCAAACGGTTTCGTCTATTGAATGATGAATTTTTCAATTGAAAACAAATAAACTGGGAATTGGGTCTATACACTCGGGCAGATTGGAAAAATATAGTTCGGAATGGAGCATTTCCGAGCTCCATTACTTGCATATCCACTTGCTATCGGTCAAAAAAAAAGAGGAAAAATAAAGAAACAAAAGCACCAGTTGAAAACGAAAACTCCTCGATATCTGAGAGAGTCACACGGTAAAAAGCTCCTTTGTGTTATTCTGAATCGTAGGATTTTTGCTGCCTCATGCCGCGGCAAAAAAGGAAAAACTCCCGCTTATGAACCGCCTCCCAAAGCCCCCAATATATTGCTCATGTATCTGGCGTCTCTTCATTTCCCGAATATCTCGAATACTATGAGAAACAGTTATTTGAACTCACCGTGAGAATATCAGTGGCAGCATAATATCCCTCATAAACCTTGCTCTTCGAGGAATGCCCATGCGAATATTTCGATTTATGAGTGTAGGGTGTCTGGGGTGTTCTCTCAGCATGTTGATCCTTCTCCTGTTCCATATGCAGTGCCACTGTTTCATTGTTAAACTCGGTGACATCAGCGTAATCCGTCTTGCACGCTGAGAAACGCTCGTCGGGGAAGAGTAGCTTGTAAGTTTTTTCAGCGTAAACACTGCAGTGCTCGTACTCATTGACATCCCGGTGTCCAGGTGTCTGGTGTCCTTCCCTGTCACTATTGACAGCAGCATCACGATTGACAGCTGCATCATAACTCGATACAGATCCAGATCGGCCGATGGTACCCTTGAGACTCCCGGCAAATCCAGCTAAACGACTCGATTGACTCCCGTTGACCACTATCGGCGTTGGCAGCTTAATATCCTTGACATTTATTGTTATACCTGGAGCTGATGTACCACATAATAACGCCGTGTGTTTTTGCAGTAGTGCTACCTTATTACGTCCTCGGAGCTTCATCAGGAGTACCATGCACGTCAGCAGCAGAGCAACCACAGTCAGTGCACCACTCACCAAACCGATGTACGTCTGAGACCACTGTGGACTCACCGGAAATGCATCTGGCGTTATATTAGCATTTATCTCCGGATCCGTGTAATTCAAGTCGGGACTCTGCTGGTAATTACCATCGTAAATGAGTGAATCGTTTTTACGATCGTAATTCTCAGACTGGAGTGATTCGTCCTGCGTCTCTTGGCTGGTATTCGATTCCAATCCTGAAACTTGAGTGCTTTGTGTTTAGTGGCTTTCAAATTAACGCTTTGCCATTATTGCCAGGGATTATTAGCATCTGCTGGTGCTTTATTGTTTATTTGATTTATTAAATTCCGGTGAGTAGCATTGCCAGCCTCTATCCAGGCTAATTATATTTTTATCCTAATTAAAATATCAAATTGAGTGATTTAAATATTTTGTGCTATCGAACAGTTGAGGAATCCTCGAGACTCCGATGGTCGAGTCAAAGGGATTATTTTAATGATGTGAAATCTTTCAATAATTAAAATAAGAGTAATGCTTTGATGTTTATGAGAGTTGGAATGTTTTTTTTTTTGAATTAATGACTTACTGCTGGTGAATGTGACTTCACTGAGTAGAAGCCACTTTGAGCGGGGTTCCATCTCTAATTTAACGAACTTTGATATCCTCGAGCGCAGTGGCACAGATACTGGAATGATTCCGGGTGAATAAACGGATCTCTCCTCGACATGCATATCGATCGTCGGGCTTTCATATACATCGCCATCCACCGAGAACGATATGCGAATGAATTTTGGCACTTCGATGCCGCGCACTGGTGAATTCGCCGCATAAATAGTGCAATTTTCAAATTGTCGAATTTCAGTGAATTCGAAGATGATTGTTATTGGATGGAGATTGGTCCAGCCGACCCAGTGGGCCAGAGTTGAGGAGCTGTGGGGTTCCTCCCCGAGGCTTCCATCCACTAATTGTCCTATTCCATTGATCAGATAGTCCCCATTAATGTCTAATTTTCCATCGTACGAATTGTCATCTACGTTTGTACCTCCGGGACCAGAAGTCGCTGGTCTCGATGCTTTGTACATTCTCACTCGCTCTGAACAAATGGTAAAGAACTTCAAACAACAGCCATTAATGAAAACTTACGGTAATTGTTGTAATTGTTATGATTGCTAATGGGCATTTACGGGTGTGAATTGTTCACCGATAAATGACATCGATTTCTTCAGATATTGCTAGTGAAAATGAAAAAGTGGCGGAATGAAGGGCCAGCTGTTGGGCTTTCTCTCCCCAGTCGTGTAATTAATGTTTGTTAGGATATACTTACGTTCCCAGACACAACCATAAATCTCCACCCTCATGCACACTGTTCTGGGGTGCTGGCTCCAGGGTACGAATCTCACCCTGCTAGCCACAAATGGCAGCTCGAGCTTCTGTCTTTCAACCAGGTACGTGTTGGTGTTGCCTCGGAGGATGGATTCACCGGCTAGTGTCGTGTAAGAATGCCATTTCGATTCTCGGAAGTACTCCAGGTAGAATGTTTCAGCGTACTCCTGACCCTGACCATTACCGAATCTACCCTGGGTCTCGGTCCAGGTGATCAGGTGATCTCTTGTTAAATCTATCTCGAGGTATTCCCGAATTCCAGAGCTGATTTGGGCCTTTGGACACCAAGCACCACCATTTTTCTCCTGTCGTATTCTTCCCAGTTTCGATAATTCATTTTTATCAATTAATTCATTGTAATAATTATTTTTTCATTGTTATTGGAAAATTGTGGAGAGTCTGGGGGAATCTCGGGGAGAGAAGTTGTTTGTGAATTTTGAGAGATATTATTAATTGATGGAGACGTTACTCTGGGATGCACTGAATCATGAAATATTCAGTGCCATCCGACTTGTTGAAGCAACTCCAAACTCCACATTAAATCCACATAAATATTTAACACTTGCCCAGTTCGATCCAAACGATTTGTTGTGTTTCCACGTCTACACTCCTGAATGAGGCAATATTTTGCTCACTTTGGTGCACAAATTCAATGGAAATTTTCCACTCTTTAGCGATATTTCGTATTTAAATTGTAAATATCTTTTTGCAGATAAGTGAACTGCCATGGGAACGTATCAAACTCAATTTATTCCGTTTGATGAAAGAAAAATTCACCGCTGTGAACATTTTTTTTTTCAGCGGTATCTAAAAACCCAGCATGAAAAAAATCACTCTGAAAATACGAAAACGTTGAATGCCCCTTTGTCCACTCGCTCGAATGTAATTTCTGACAATGTCCAAAAAAAAAAAAGAAAAAAGAAATTGTCAATGTTTTTTTAAAGAGAACGAAGCCGTTGAAAGCCCTAAACCAAACAACTTCTCTCATCTCCATACATTCCACTTAATTCCACACTCCCTCCTGAAAAACATTAATTAACACTCACCTAGCATTCTGTGGTCCGACAGATTTAGTTTCATAACTGGACGATGCTGAAATAGCATCATCCGGTATTTTCCCCTCCTCCATACCAAGTGGAATAGCGCATTGAGCTGAAAAAGAAGCCGTGAAAACGCGGGGTGAACAAAAAAAAACCAATGAAAAGTAATGGAATAAATTTGTTTAATTTTGGAGGACGAAACAATCCGTGAAATGAAAATGAAACAATCGAGAACTCGTCAGCTACGCCAAATGTTTAATAATGAATAGGTGGACGAGGCTATGGTGGTGGGTGGTTTGTGGATGGTGGATGGTAGGTGTTGTATGAGTGAGTACAAGCAAAAGGAGGAAGAGGAGGTAGAGGAGGAAGAGGATGAAGAGGATGAAGAGGATGAGGAGAGTTGGAAAAGCCTTCTCTCGTTTCCCCAACGGTTACTCCCTCGGGTGTACAGTTATCCCCAGGAATACCCACATCACCCTCGCGAAAATGTATATGCATCCATGTGGGTTAACATTGGAGAGAGGCAAAGCAAATTTCCGGAGCGATCCTCTCTCTCTCAACGTCGTGGATTATTCATACTAACCGGAAGCATTCTTAATCTGCTCCTCCGACGTGCAGCTGGAGAAACACCAGTACAGTGCCAATGTGGCAGCGATTATTTTCACTGTTGTTGTCGTGTTACACATGATATGTCCAGCCCTCAACGGTTTCCCCTCTTTAATTAGTTTTTCCGAGTTATTGAAATATTAACTTCCGGGTTGTGGCGAATCATTGCGCCCGCCAACTCTCCTGTCATCGCATTTTAATCTGTAACAAAAATTTCGTCATGTTCACCAAAAGCTAAAATTACGATTACGTTATACACAATTAATGAATTAATGTAAAAAAATGGATTACTTCGTCGACGAGGAATTCCACAGAAATTTCACGTGAGATTTTTCAAGTGTGTATTTTATTTTTTTTTTAATATAATGATAAATTAAATTTGTAAGACTATTATTTCTTTAACATATTTGTGATATTTTCAGCTGAAATAAGCAGTTGGTGTCCAGAAAATATTAACCTGATCAAACGAAAAATACTTCCTTCATTGGTCTGACAAACTATTGCACGAGAATGACTCGTCTTTTTTTCAAATTTTGTATAAAATTCGCTCCCTGGATGAAACATTCCCTTACAACCACCTCCCCTTTCCCAATTTCACGACCAATATTCTCAAGCAAAATTTATTGTTCCACTGTGATTGACAGCAATAGTAATAGCTCACGTGATTAATTTTCCTCCTGCTAGATTTTACGATTTGAGGTTGCACATGCACTGGGAATTTACTTCTCCCTCTCCTTGAAAAATTGCGCTGTCGTGCTTTATAATCTCGTTCCCCTATATAAAACCGATTTTATTCCCCCCTGAAACGTCTTTTCTCATTCTATTTATACGCTCAGGAATTGATTTACTCCAAACTGAATCGTTTCAGAAAATTGTCGACATCTCAATCCTCGACAGATGTTGAATTTAAAAAATCACTTGAAATTCGTTGAAATCAGTAATTATCTCGCATCACTTCGATGATTCAATTCCCCGAGAATTCGATTTCGATGTTAAACTCCTCTTGAAAACATTCCATCCGAGGGATTGAAAACTTTACTGACATTCCTTTATGATGCCGAATAATTGCACTTCATTGCTGCCCTCATTGTATCAACTTCCTGCACTCCATCAGAATTAATTAACTCCAAACTGAACTTCGTCGACACTCAATAGCATTGCAAAAAAAAACACTCGGTAATCAAGCCCTAAAGGGATAAAAGAAATAAATTGATAAGATAAAACGAATAGTTAATTGTTCGTTTTGTTTGTCCCTTCACATCCAGCCGTACCGATGCTCTTGATAATTGGCTAGTACAGGGAAGCGGTAAATGGGGTACCCCGAAGAGGGTAAAAAGGGAGAAGAATGACGACAGACAACTGGCAAACGTCGTTTCATCCTCCCGAAGAAGATGGTTTTCCATTATATACAGATATAAAGCCCCATAACTGGAGCATCAACTCGTACAATTCATTGTCCATCCCTTGAACAAGCATTGCACTGGCTAAAACGACGACTCAAATACCCGTGAATCCCACAGTCAGAAGTTTAATGAGATTTTGTTATAAAAATATCATTTCATTTCTCCTTTGATTTGTCCCAAACTACTGTCTGTCATTCCCTCTGGTATTATCACCGCTTTTCCACTGAGTTCGTATCCATTTGTCCTCAAACATTTGTCGGGATCTCCTAGTCCACGGGCTGACAGTAAACAAGAAAAAAAGGCCCAATATAGTCCCGAGATGACCCGGGATTAAGAAAGAAACTTTGCTCTCACGTTTGATACCATCCGACCACACCACAATAGAACAAAAAATGCCAACAAAAACAAAAAATAAGAAAAAGCAGGAGAAAACAAGGAAAAATAGAGAGAGAGAAATAAGAGTAACACGAAAAAACACTGAGGTGAGGGAAAAAGGAAAACATGATTTTTCGCATTAGACTTTCTTTCGCTGCCCTCTGTTTGGACATTAATTATAGCAGTGAAAGGGTCTTTGTGGACGTGAGAAAAACGAGTACCTGGAGAGTAAAAGGAGAAAAGCCCCGAACAGTTGGCGGGAGGGTTTGAGCTTACGTTTGAGGAGAGAGTGCGAGAGCTCTCGGGGAAAAGGGCCGAGAGGAAATGTATATAAAGATAGGTACAGCCCGCAGCATCTAGCCGTTTGCTCTCCTGCGCAACAAGTAAACCAACGATCAATACGCAATATACTTGGTGTCCACGACGTAACCCCATACACAAGTACCCCACTCACAACGTGAAACAATTTTTCTCTGCCACTTTTCCGGCTCCTTTCCCTTTCTCCTTTCTCCTTTCCCCTTTTCCCTTTTTCCCGTTTTCCCTCCTCCCTTCTCCCATTTCTCGTTCCTTTTTCCTTCATTTTATTTCCCCATCAGAAAGTTGTGCGACCGAATCGAGAGAAAAAGGAACCAATTCTCCCGACTACCCCTAACGATTTCCGATTTTTTCCACATGGACAAACCAACCAGAGGGAAAAACACAACCGAATGAAAAAAAAAAGAAAATACATATATAAGCTGCATAACTACGACGCAGACGCGGCATCGAATTTTAAAATCGACTATGGTCCTGCGGAGTTCTCTCGTTCGGACGCCGATATAAAAAATGTAAAAAGTTTCGGGTGCTTTGAAATATAAATTGGCCGAGGAGACGAGGTATCAAGGGAAGAAAGTAGCAAACGTAAAAAAAAAAAAAGAACGAGTGCCATAAAGCAGAGAGGGACGATATAGATGGGAGTCGAAGGTAAAAGTGAAGACGTTATCAAAGAAATGGAGATGGCTTCGTATTGGACACACGCTTGGTGGTATAATAGTCCTCTTATACCCAAGTGCCACTCAATATTCCCATCCTCCCCCTCCACCCCTCCGCGCTACCATTCTCTCCCCGTAACCCATCCCGGACCAAGAAGTTCCCCCTTTTTCCCACCCCCCCTTAAACCACCCTTTACCCTTGACGCATTCAAGACAAACGTGAAAAGTAGACATTGAAAAGCAGCCCATACACTCCTGACATGGAGAATAGCTGATGCCAGGGGGTTGGAGGGGGTGAGCGAGAGTACTTCAACATCAAGAGAAGTAGAGAGTTTAACAATGAGCGTATGCCAACAAAGTTATCGTTGGCGTTGAATAGACGATGAAATTATTCACGGGCAATCTGTCGTAACCGAGTTAATTTCGGCTCGCTGCGGAAATCTACATATTCAGCAAGATCACTCCCTAGCGCCGCTACGCGCCCCGAGTTCACCCCCTGTCCCTCTCATTTCCACCCATTTCCACCCATTTCCACCCACTCTTGCCCCCTCCAACTTTTCCTCTTGTCCCTTTCCCCTCGCCATCAGTGCTTTTACCCGTCCCCCTATTGCTCCATTCTCAATCCCCCCACTGTAGTACCCCCCAGCCCCCTCTCGACCCATCCATTCCTCTTTGCCTCTTTAAACAGCATCAGCAACTGCCTAGCACACAGTTCTCGCACGTTGCCTCTAAAATCCATCATTACGGATTGTTGAAAACAAAAGGAGGAAAAGAAGCAAAAGGGCTTTTCGTGAATTAACCAATTGGATGAAATGAATAACGCTTTTGAGTGTATATAACGTTGGGGCAACCGGTGATGGTGCGCAAGCGGCAAAACTGACGATCGATCTCAAACCAACCCGGTGTACCACGTCAGGTTTATGTTCCTCTGCATTCCGATCCTCGGCGTTCCTAGTTGGATATCCCGTACTCCTGCGGCCAAATACATGTAAACAGGGGGTTGGCTAGGGGTGGATGATGAGGAGGGGCAGTCAAAACACGTCTGCACAGCGAGTTGTGATGTAAAAGGATCACCGCGAGAACAACCGGGTGTGTGTATTGCTCGGTTTCATTATTTCAATGAGTAATTTTAAGACCTTTCAGAGGGCCGAGGAGATGGGATCAGACGTGGGGTGGAACAGCTCCAATGCTCAATAGTGGAAAATGTCGTTTTCTCATTCTCAACTGAATTGGCTGTAAAACATGTCTGACGATTGTCTAACTTCTGCGTGGAGGAGGATAGGTTTATCCTGGGTATTAAATTGAAAAGTCGGGGAAATCTTTTCAATCTATTGACATTGTCAGAACTTGGTGATAAACCCGAGGGATTATTTTAGTGAAACCTTGAGGCTTTATTGGCAAGAGAGGTCGCTGAACTTTCGTTGTACAAAAATCAATTGATTAATCATAAATTAATCAAGTTAATTAATTAGTGAATGCCTATGGAGACACAACAGAAAAATTTCAAACGCTCAATAAATGCATTAAATGTTTAATTCGTTTTTATCTTATAATTAAAAATGTTTCCATAATATTTCGTAAATTTAATGTGTTCTACGGATAATTTTTACTGGACCTTCCGCTCCAGGAGGAGAATCCAGGATGACGGAGAGCTGACTCGAGCCCTGACCGAGCATAAATATGTGTCCATGAAAAGAGGATTTAACTTGAGATCTCATTAAATCCCCGAAGCCTCCCAACCCCCCGAACCCCCCGTCCCCCCTGATTCTGTTGATCGGCGTCTCGTTTGTGTCCCAGTGACTGCACCTGCGCCCGATTTGTCTCTTTCCCTGATGCTGTCTGTTGTCTGAAAGACTTGCTACAGCAAAGCAAAGCCTCAACTCGACGATGGTGTTGAATGTATGTCGGCTTACTGTTGTTTCCTTTGCTGACTCCCTTTTATCTCCCCATGATATTCAGTGATGTGTCCTTGCTAGGTCCCTTAACACGCGTTACAAACTCTAGCCGACAACGACAAAAGTGTAGAGGACGAGTGGAAAGAGCAGTTTGACAATTTCTAAAAGCTCATATTGAATTACACTTAATTTACATGCGCACGTGACCGTATCCGAATGAGAAATGAGAGTAAAAAGAAAATCAATAGAACCCCTTGGTTTTTATGCATCCCATTATTCAGGGGCATTATTGATATCACGAGTTATGACAGTAATGGGCTCCAATGAAATTTTGCAGACCCCTCGCTGGCCTTTCTTCTCGACAACGCTTTCATTTTTATTTGCACGCTATTTCTTCTTCTCTTTTGACAGCGATTGTATCAGTTTTCCGTGCAGTAATGGCGATGAGAGTGATGGGAGGTGAGAATATTCGGGGGAGTAAAAATTGCCACGGTTTTGCCACTGTCAAAGGGGATGAAATCATTGATGGAGAATCACGTAATACCTCAGAGAGCACCCGAGTTTCCTCGTCTCCTCAATGTGGTTTTCACTGAGGGTATATAACCATTTCTCCCAAAGGCTCTGAGTGCCAAGAGTGCGACGGAGAGAATCAAGAGCAGTGGCGAAGAGGTCCTTAATTCAGTTAAGAAACCCAGGGACGCGCAAAGTCGAGCCTAAAAGCATTTCCTGATAGAAAACCCTCAATTTGTACCTTTTATTTTTTACCCTCGTCACTGGGATTTCTACCGCCGTTATTTGACCAGAGAATGTTCAGTGAAATATTGAGAGGGGAGACTATCCACAGTGATACAAATAAATGGCAGGAGAATAGTGTGGAAATAACTTCAGGGATAAATTATTTTATTGCTCGAAATAATTGGCATTTTTTCGGATAATTTATTTGGGGAATTTTCACGGTTTCTTGTATCCACATGATCTGTCGTTTCGCCAGTCTCTTTCTTTATACTTTTCAATATTTATTATAAACACTAATATATAATAATATTATATATTGTTGGCGTATGAGCTAGGGCAACCCCATGAAAATCCTGATATAAACCATGAAAATAATAATTAAACATTATTTCAACCGAGATGACTCCAAAAAAATTGGAATAAATTTCCTACCACAGTTTAAATTTCCAATTTCAATTATTAATTGAATAAAAAAAATTCCCAAGGCAATTGAACTCGACAATTTCGCCAATTGCTCTCCCAAACCTCGAAAACTCAGATATAAATTCCCTGACGATCAATTATCATTCGAGGGACACATTACGAAAGAGTACAGAAGAAATTACAGAGAAATTCAAAACGAAAAATCCCAAAATGACAGCAGATAAATGTTCAAATGGAATGAGGAAAAAGAAAAATGAGAGATTTCACTTTATCCCCGCATATGTGACCATAACCCGATCCCCCTATGGCTTATTTCGTGGCGTCACCCTGAAATTCCTCAGGCCATTATCGTCATTCCTCTCCACCTCCTTCAACCCCCTATTCACCCCCTGTCTTCCACCCTCTCATCCCCATTTCTCTCAATTTCCAAGGATATATGCATTATGGGCGAGTGTGTGGACGCGTGCAGCGATGCGACGCGAAAGCGATACATTTCCGGTTGCGATACACGAACGCCCTCTTCGGTTATTGCAACCCCCTTACCCACCCCCGGACACCCTCTTAAACGACATACCATATAGATTCCCCGTCTCCCAACCCTTGTGTCGCCAACAACACGCTCCAGAACAATGTCGTTGCTAATTGCATTTATCGTACGACCCAGCGTATCACGATTAGACAAATCCGTCCCGTCCAAAGTGATTTCCATCCCTCCCCCTTTACCATCATCCCCCCTCTCCCTCTCGCTATGACTTTATTCAATTACACGAATTGTAGTGTGGGCAAAATACACGGGAAATGGATTATTGAAATATCCGAGTTGAATGCACACCAGGAAACAAATAATTGAAGTTTAACAAATGTTTAGGTATATTTAATTCAGGAATTTCAACTATCTCCATTCCAGTTAATCATCATGAGTCATTTTAAATCTCTTCACCGAGTCATTCGCCTCTTTCGAATCAACTGATTGATATCAACGAATACAATGTTTCAATTGAATTCTACATTGATTGAATTTCACTATTCAATTATCATTATCTCATTATCCATCGAAATTTCATTATTTAACACCGAAGAAAATGTAATGTTCATTGATAAGGAAATTATTCCCGTCATTTCCATAACTCTTTGTCCTGCGGTTTAACGATTAATCGTGGTGATTTCCCTGGACAACAGGAGTTGGTAATAATTGAATGGAATGAAATTGGTTACACAAATAATATGGTTGAATGTGAAGAATTTGATCATTGAATACACCAGAGGCGGGATGCAGAAAAGAGGCTTTTCGATTGAGAAGGGGGCGGTGAGGGGTGAACGAGGGGTAAGAGGGGGAGGAGAGCGATATAATTGATTAACGTTCGAATGTCGAAAGGGCGAACGATCAAACCATACGGTCCACCTCGTTTTCCATTGCCAATGCACCCCCTTTCAACAGTCCGAGGGTGCTCGTGGTTTTTCTACCCCCTACCGCCGATGACTTTTTTTTTTTTTTTTATCAACATAACAAGGAAAAAGAGACGATTATAACGTTAGAGAGAAAACCACCCTCTCACCACCTCCGCACGTGTGGACCATGTTTACTTTCCATTACAATTATGGATATTGATCCTGGCTCTGGGGCCTCTGTACTTCTCTCTTTCTCTCTCTTTCTCTCTATTTCTCTCTATCTTTATCTCTCTCTCTCTCTTTCAACTCGACAGAGTCGCGCGGTTTATCAGGGACGCCAGAGCGGTCTCTGCGGGACACGAATAGATTGACTTTGGAAATTGTTTTTTTTCTTTTTTTATTCTGTCGGTTATGGGTATAGCCATTTTTCCTACTTTATTTGATATCCCGGGGCGACCAAACCGACGAGCTGACGAGCCCGACGAGCCAACGAGGGAGAGTTGCTTGTAGCACCTCTCTTTGTCAATTTTACGTAAAGCAGAGTGATGTGCGGACATGACTGTATAGGTATTGACATTATTGACAGGTGTATGGTATGTGTCAGGTGCAGGGCCAACGTTGCCATACATCCCTCTCCATCCCCTTTTGCCCCTCTGGGCTCAATGGGGACTGACACTGACGAGGTGGAATTAAAGTATAAATGGAGAAATAACGATCAACGTTGTGTTATTAATTTGACGAGAGCCTGACCACTCAACTCCGAGGAATAATCCAGAGTGTAACGAATTGTGAATTACCAATGTCGGGATTTGTAACGAGTTTATTTTTCAGTTCAGTGGCTTCACCGGGAGATAATGTTGTGACGGATTCAACGATTGTCTCCGTTTCATCATGAAAACCTCTCACTCCTAACCGCCTTTCAAAGATTAAATTACGTTAATCCTCTTTTACTATCTAACTTGACTTACCGTAAAAATCGTGGCAATCATTCACTCATCCCCGTGCAGCACCACTCACGTCCTTTTTAACTTCCATCCGTGAAAATAGAAGTGGAAGTGAAATGAACTCAAATATCGTTGTAAACTGACACGACTCTACAATTTCCTCTCGTTGTAATTCAATAAAATTCTCCCGGTGTATATTCACTCCCTAACGTCTTCCTCAAATCGTTTATTCCACCTTCTTATCGCACATAAACGAGAGCTCCGAGGGGTAAAAATAATAAATAAGGAAATGTAAGGAACTTATCGTAGATGCCTCAACGGTGAAATACGATACGTGAATTTCCGCGCACTCGATACAAGGGTTAACGTGTGTATGGCTGAGGGATAGAGATCCCTTTTTTTATTCACCGTCGCAATGGGGGAAAGAGGGAGGAGAAAAACACGAGCACCGAATGAGAGAGAGATCCCAGCATCCACCGAGTGTGGAGCCGAGTGGAGTCTGTGCCAGGGGTTGGTTGAGAGAGTAGTTGTAGTCTGAAAGCTTTGGAAACCCTCACTCTGCGCAAAATCGGGCATCCGCCTTGGCCTGTGTTACCAACTCTCTCTCACTCTCTCCTTTATCATTCTACCATCTGACTATCTCCTTTTCTACCTCGCATTTTACTCTTTTATTTTTTCAATCTTTCTCTCTTCTCTTCTCTCTGTTTTTTGTCCCCCTCCGGTTTCCCCTGTACTAGTCCTGGTACACTGTGCGCCACTTTGCCTTGCTTTCGGGGGCTTGCTTTGCCTGCCGGATAGTACCGGGAAACACCTGCGGACACCAACCACCCAACGTACACTGTCAAAAGCCCATACCCCCAAAACTTCCACTACAAACGTATATACTCCAATGGTGGGTTATCATCGCAAACTCCCCGGAGATCGCATTGTTTTATGTTCACCTACCTTTTCCCATCCCCGTGTACCCCTGGACCATGCGCCATCGGTGATGGACCCCTTTATCAATAATCCAACGGTTCCGTCGGCTCTACTTCGATATTCTGTTTTTCCCTGTCGGGGGCTTGTTTCATTACGATGAAAGGGATCAACCTATTTTTTTGGGCTATTTTTTTTTTTCATCTTCTGACCAACGTTGGAACTTGTGGTTCCGTAATTCCTGGAGATCTCCAGAGATGTGTCGGATAACTGGAATCATGGAGAGCCGATTTCAGGGCATTTTATTCAGCAAAGTATTTCGGAAATATAATTGCGAAATTTTCTTGGGGGAAATTTGTATTTTTTGGAATTTAAAATAGAAAAATATGGAGTGTAAAAATTAGTCAGTCCATTTTAATCAGTTCTCAGTCTTTTATATAGATTGTATTTGAAAGAACTTTGAAATTTTTGTCTCAGGAATCTTCTTATTGGCTTGAAGAATGAAGATGCTCTGCTATTTTTATTCACAGTCTAGGGAGATATTAGTAAATGGAAAATATTGTGATATTAAATAATTGAATAGAGAATTTTAATCGTACTAAAATATGCGCGCAGAATCTCCTTTAATCCAGGAATTACTTTTTCTTTCTGAAGATGAGTAAGAGAATGGCCGATGGCTGCTAGAAATGCTGGCTTAAGCCGAGGATTTGGGGCGATTACAATGCCTAAATAATGAATCCACGTTTTTACGGTTTGCATTGATTAATATTCCACTGGTTCATTATAAATGTTGGAGTTATGATTCGATTATTTATCACTAGCTGCTTCCCTTCAGTTGTGAAAGGCATTTGTGGATGGATTTTTACGTGCATTGATATTGAACAGCTTGGGAAAAATTTCCGGTTTGAAATCCAACGTTGGGGGAGTTTTTAGTCCATTAGTTCTCCCAGATATCAATGATTCTTGTTTCCATTATCAAAACCCATTTTTTTTTCAGTGCATTGAAAAATAGCATTATTCTGTTTTCGTGTGGCACTGTGACATTCTGCTTTTACTGGGATCATAAAACACGGGAGTTGCATGAATACATGACTTCCAACTTGAAAAGGTGGACCGATAAAAATACTCGAAGTGATTGAAAAATTTGATAACAGCTAGTTCTAAAAATAACTAAATAACCGTTATCCCCTATTTTATTTTTGTACGAAATTGAAAATTTTTCAGCTTTTCAATCTCCAAGTTTTATTTCCCGAATCATAAGAAATTTTCAATTGGTAACTTGTATTTATTTATTAAGACACAGCAACAAATTGTTATGAAGCAATATTTTTAATTAAAAAAAAGGACTTTTGAATAAAAAACAGTCACAGTTGGTTCCCATTCACAACAGATTCATGCGTCACTAAACTTTTCATTGACTAACCGGTTCTTCTCTCCATAAAATTCCCAAAAGAAAATACAATAGTCTGAATCCATCATCAGAATAGTATCTGTTGTCTCCGGTATTGAAGAATATAAAATCCCAGAGATTCTGTAAAGTCCCCGAAGAATTGCGAAGAATAAAAATCTGACCTCGGGTTATACGCGAGGCCCTTATTAAATGTTAAAGGAATTGTTGAGGTGGATCACAACAAAAGAACCCTCGGTTGGCTTCTCCACCAATACCCAAGAATGCCATCCTCACCACCATAAATACATTCAAGCCCTAATGGAACAGAACAGATTTAACTGTCAAAAAAATAAAAATTCAAATATCTCCAGATATTCCATATCACTCGAATCATTCACAATCCCCAGTAATTCCTCCAATACCTCGCATACTCCTCACCACCCCCCGGTATTCACCAAAACCACATGCAAATGTTGACCCCGAAAAATTATAAATCACTCCTAATGAAATTCCATTTGTCCGAGAAAATCACCAGAAATTACCCCAACCATAATTCTCCCGAAAGCACGAAATAAGGGTAAGGTACAACGGACAGATGTTATCGATGAGGGATGCGTGGCACGCGATGAGGAATCGCTCCCCGGGATAAGCAGCACCACGAGGGTAAAAACAGAGAGAAAAAAAAAGAAGGGAATGACAGCAAGTTCGGAGCTAGTGCGGTAAAAAAAAAAAGAAATAGAGATAGAGAAAAAATTGGTAGATGGCCAGTGGGTCATAAATTAAGGGTTGTACCTGGGTCCTCACAGAAAAACATCACCAGTGATGGATCAACCCGGACTACATCCTACCCCCGTCACTCTCATTCTCTCGAATTAATCGCACCGATTTGTTCCACCCCCACTCTCACCCCTTACGACTCTTTTAAAACATTTTTCATCTCTCTCTCGCTTTTATTTCACTTCCATTATAACAATTCCATTCCCTTATACCCCGGGAGAATTCTGTTTCCGCTTCTGTTCGAAACCAGAAGAATAAAAAAAAAAACGAGAGAAAAAAAATCCACTCGTTGATTTCAAAAAGCGTGAAACTCTTGACACGCTTGCGACTCTTCGAACACACACAAAAAACGGAAGGGGAGGTTGGGGGAGGATGGGGAGGATGGGGAGGATGGGGAGGATGGGGAGGATGAGGATGAGGATGAGGAGTATATGTGCCTGCGGGAGGATGAAAAAGGGGTGGCTGAAGAAAAGAGAAAGAAATATAGTGGAAGGATGGGTTTATGGTTTTCTCTCCTTTCAGGCCTTTTTTCTTCATTTTTTTTTTTTTTCGTCATGTTGAGGGTTCGAAAGTTCCACTCAGCCCTTGGTGATTTTTTTTTTTATCTCCTCTCGACTCAGCGGCGTGATTCAACGCTGTGCCATTGCGAATGCCAGAAGTCTCGCAGCCGGTTTAACAACCGATCCATAACGATCCGTTGAGCGTTAACCTCACGTTGAGCGAGTGATTTTCATCCATCTGTTTCTGTTGTGTATCCTATCCCCCTTTTGTAAATGCAACATCTGAAAAGCCTCATGGTGATAGCTGGAGAACTTGGTGCGTACTGGGGGAAATGGCAAGGAGTCAGTGTCGAGGGGATGGGGGTGGGAGATTATTGCCGAGTGAATTGAATACGCCCAGTGGATTTAGTACGAGTTGAGTCAGACGGCTCTCATTGTCACCCGGGGGGCACCTGTGTCGCCTCTTCGAATCACCATCAAATGTACTCATTAATTAATTTCCCATAACGAAGCCCTTTCTCCTTATAATTTTCAATTACCCAACTTCAACTTTCGGTTTTCAAACAATAACGATTTTTTAGCAATTGTAATTCAAACCCCAATTTGTTATTCTTTGGAGATGATTCCATCAATAAATAAATAAACATTCTTTTATATAAGTCGATATTTTGTGGGAATACTTTTTGTGTCATATCGAATGACTCCTATTTTTTTCATACAGTGAATATTTTGTTGATTAATTATATAAATTTAATATATCAAGGTATAATTTCAGAATAAATTTATGGTAGGACTTTTGATCATTTTTATGTGGATAGGAGGAAAGTTATATGGCTTTAAATGAATATTTGAATTTTGATTCCATGAATTAATGTCAGCTGGAATTTTATCCTTTTCACGGAACGAATTATATTTGTGTATTATTACGAAACAAATATACATTTAATATATTTACCATAACGTTTTTTTAATTAACGAATTTTATCAGTTTTACAACAGATTTTTGAGTAATACTTTTTGAAAATTATTGCGAACAGGAATTTTCATAAAAACTCCCGTGAAACATCCGCTTATCACATTTTCGTTGTAATTTTCGTCATTTTTTTTTTCTCTACATCAGAATAAAAATTAAAAAAATCTCGCAATATTCTCGAGTAGTTTGAGTAACTGGACAAAAAAGAATCCAGAAAATTTCCATCCCGCATTTTTTCAAAAGTTTTTATAATTCTTTATTTACCAGAAAAAAAAATTCAAAAAGTAGTACAAGCTACTGCTCGATGGAAGAAGAGTTTGTGATATTCGTTAATTAATGAGTAGACACTGACATTTTTCTTGTGAAGGATTTTTAACTTAATTAAGGAGCGAATGAGTTTTATTAATTTCGTGAAGCGGGTTTATTTATTAAATAAGCAGAAGTTATTTGCTTCCCCATTAATTATTCCACGACGAAATTCTTGTTTGTAAATTTTTTACCCGTAGTTTTTCCTGGAATTTCGTAGCTTCATTCGTTGTTGTCAAGAGGAGAACATTGGTTTTTAGTATTCAAGTTTTGTTTCGCTATGCCCTCGGGACATGGGTGGAGGTGAATGGAGGAATTTCAAATAGACAGATTAATTAAGGACTGATAACTGCATTTTTTGTGATTGACGAGACTGAGGGACTTTATTAATTTAGTTAAAAGGTTTTATTACATTCAATTATACATTTCTACATTCATGTCAATATCCATGATCAAAAGGCCATGGGATTATTTGCAGAATGGTGTTGAAAACCTCGGGAAATGGCATATTCCAAATAGTCGATGAAAAAAAAACACTTTAAGCTTCATCAATATCGGAAATATCAATAACTTTTTTCTCCCGCGTTATTGGAACCCTACTACCCTTTCTAGCCGGAATAAGAAGAATGAACGACCAATGGCATAGAGAGGGAATAATGAAATTTCCTCCGAGAAGAGGGCTTCAGCTGTTGATGAACATTTTATCGGCTATTTTCTAATAAAATTGGAGATAAACCCTCCGCAGAGAATGGATATTACGCCCTAGCTACCTTTGCAAGTTCTTTCCCTAATTAATTAATTCATCGATCAATTATGAACTGAGATGAGGAAATGACCGTAACGACCTCTTTAAAATGATAATCTAAATTTTCCCAATAAATTTTTATTCTCACAAAGAAAATTAAATCCACGAACTGTAACAACTATAAGAACTACAAATGAGAACAATAATTAGTCCGTAATTCACAATAACTTCTGTTGTACTCCATTACTTCATTGCAGTATTGCATAAATTAAGAATTTATTATTTGTTGATAATTTTTACATTTGAGGACGATGAATTAGAAAATGAGGAAGTTTACAAAATCCACTTGAATGATATTTTAATGAAGTCTGAATGATAAAGCAGGAAGAAGGGTGGAGTGAGCAGGATGTAATTTGATAAGAAGGCCTCTTAATTAATTTAACACAATGTTGAATGTTTAGGGTAGGGTTTGCATAGTGTAGTTGGTCTGCTAGTTGAATCTGTGAAAGTAGAAGGGAGAAAGGGAGAAAGGGAGAAAGGGAGGAAGGTAGTTGTGTATCACTGTTAATGCTCAGTCAGAGGACAAGGGGACAGGGCAGGAGAGGGCGGAGGGGGAGGAGAGGGAGGAAAGGGAGGAAAGGGAGGAAAGGGAGGAAAGGGAGGAAAGGGAGGAAAGGGAGGAAAGGGAGGAAATGGAAAGGGAAAGGCAAAGGGTTATAGAGAGAGTGGTGTATGGTCAACATTGGTGGATGGCCGTTGCGCTTTGTATAATCGGCAGTATTTGCTTGCGAGTTGCCCGCAGGTCGCCCTGTTTGTACAGCCTCAGGCACCAATTTTCTTTCAATTTTGTACTGATATTCTCCAGGTTGTAGTCTGACTGCTCCAAAGCCACTCGTATCTACAGATGAAATCAATTACATAAGTTTTGCTATTTTGCTTATTGCGGAGTTATTGTCGTTATGTTATTTTTCAAAAAAATTTTTAGAATTTCTTAAAAGAAGCGAAAATATATTTGAAAAATGGAAGACCCGAGGGATTGCTTTGAGTTTAAATCACTTGTCAGTTGAACTCATTCATCGATGTAGACGCTCTGAATCGCCTTCTTTTAATTTTCCGTCAAACTTAATTAAGAATGAAGCGTTTCAGTAATTGAATTTAGATGATAAGCTGGAGTGAAAATAAAGTAAAAGGTGAGTAAAACTGAGTTGGAAGGAGAAAAAAAAACTGCTCACTCTATTTTCCAGCTCATTGGGCAAGAAGGAAAAGACAGCGAGGTCTCGCTTCACCACGTCCCTCTTAAAATCCATCCCAAGTAGAATCGTGATTCTGCATTCCCTTTCGCTTGTAAACGAATTCACGGCATCCAGGGCGCGATTTAAATTCAAGAATTCCTGACGAGTAAGGAAGAGAAATAAAATGAAAAACCAAAAAAAAGGGTGAACAAAACGAAAACAGATGAAATTGAAGTTAGGGGGTGAGATCAGTGGGTTGAATACGAGCTTAAATTTAGTGAAAAATTCCAAGAATTTAATAGTATTTTTAAACAACCTCCACGAGAATTGGAAATCCAGCCATTGGAATTCCATTTACATATTTCAAATCTTTTATGAGTAGATCCTCAGGCGATAGAGAGCTGATGTCAGTTTTTGCATTAAGTATTAACGAGTGAATTTCATCACGAGTTTTCGTCCCTTTTTTCTGCATCAGTGACTCCAATTTTTCCATTATTTCAATATCGAGGCTCGTTGCACGCCCCGCCTCTGCCGACAAATTACATGTGTCCACAAGGATCGGACCTATTGCAATAAAAAAAAAAACCCTTAAAAACCATTTTATCGATCATCACAGATTGCTATAAGAATGAATTATTCCCACTCGCAATTAAAAAACCCATTATTTACAAGTTTAATTGGAAAATTATACTCTCCAATACTCTCTTACGAGCTAAATAAAATTCTACCAAAAGATCCCTCAGTGATTTTGTTTCTTGAGTTTCTTTATAAATCATGACCCTGAGGTTTTTTCCCCTCGATAAGGGTGAGTTGACGATTTTTCGTGGCTGGAAATAAATGAGAGGAGAGAAGGGACACAATTGCCAGTCCAAATTGATTGATTGCCATGTTGTTTTCGTAGGGTCCGATTTACCTTGCAATAAATTCGAGATTTGGGAATCGATAATAGCCGGATTTTCCTCAAATATTCGTTTGGCAACGAGTGTCGCACAACTGCCGACCTTTTCCAAATTAATATCCCTGCCTGTCCACAGCCAATTCGGGTCTTGAGGTCGGTGATCGATTACTTGGACAACTGAATCTGCCAATGACGTATCCTGTTCGTTCAGAGTATGATGATCCACCAGGCAGAGTTTCAATTTTTTCTCATTCGACACATTATTTAGCTTTATTTCATCTCTAAACAATTATTTTATATTTTTAGCAACGAATGGAACGAATAGCAAAATGGATAAAGTTTATAAAACTATAGACAGAAAAGTTTAAATGGGATATCGATTTTTATTCTTTTACAATGACTGACCTGTACGTTAAGTCTTCCAGATGGATGCCATGATGTTGTAAGTAAAAAACCACTTCGGTTTTAATTTTAAATTCTCGTTTAGGAATATTCAGCACGGGTATCACTCCAAAGTTCTTTGTGCCTGTTTTTTCAAGCATGGAATGGACGAATAATCCGAGAACGAGCGAACAAACTGCCGAGTCTAGATCGCACGTTTCGTTACCGAGAATCACCCAAATTTCTTCGTATTCCGTCAAATTCTTCTGTAAAAAAATACCTCCGCTGAATTTTACGCTATTCCAAGCATTGTATTTACTATTTTGCCTATTATTTTCTCTTCTTCTTTCTTTTGCAGAAACAATGTTGCAGGAAAAACTGACATCTTTGAACTTTTCAACTGCTTTACAATCTAGAAATGTTCGGGAATTTCAACTGCATTAACGATTCCGGTATTCATTCTAATTTTCGAGAAATTCAAATAGTCGATTATGCTCATGAGTAATTTGTCGAGTGAGAACTTATGGATGTGAATTATTAGGGATTTTTATCTGTCCAGTGACTGGCATTTGACGAGATTTAGTCCCTTGAATACTGCGAAATCCATTCACAATCATCGATAGATATATCATTTCCGAGCTGTCGTGATGGGATTTTTCACGTGGAATTGTTTTGCTTTCGGAACTGAAGGCGAAGCTGACTAATTACAACCGAGAAAAACCTCATCACAACAGCCCGGATATTATTCTTCCGGAGTAATTGTCAAGTTTTTGACTTTGGCAAATATGCTGTACCAATTCCCAGGCTAGAAATCCATTTCAATTCTTACCAATATTTCAATTCTCAACAATCAATCAAAAATTTTCTCACAAACAAGCCTCGAAATTTACGATATTAAAACAAAAAATTAAAAGAAAATATCGCATTGTCGAGAGCATTTAGACAATATTATTATCTCGGTAGAACAATTGAAGTCAAAGAAAAGTTAAAACGAATGCCCATGTTATCTACCTCTTGCCCGCAATTTTAGAATAATAAAAACGCAGAATAATAAAAAATAAAAACGGAATATTTATTGAAAACCTCTCTCCATTTCAAATTCCCGCGACACCGATGTACCTGAGCGGGCGCAATTCAAACAGCCGGCGCGCAGTCGCTCTTTTTACTGCGCACAATACTCGCATGAGAGATCCACCCTCAAAAAAGTCCTCAACAAATTAAAAATCACAGAATATGATATATTGACATTAATAAAAACCCCATCCTCAAAATCATCCTACATCATCTCCAATTACCTCAAGAAAATCAACAAACATATTTGAAAACTCTCTCTCACCACATATTCCCCACTCCTACTACATAACCCAGCAATGTCCCACCAGAGGGACAACGGCCGCAAGACATACTGTCAAAACCAAAAAAATCGAAGAAGAAGAAGAAAAAGCTCTTTTCATTTTCCTTCAGCATTAATACTCCAAAATACAAGTGCAGTTGACAGGCAAAAAATACAGGAGTGAATGCTCTGACGAAAATGTCAGTAAATGTCAAAGTGATATTGGAAGTTGACTCACCAGTGTTTTCCTGGATGTGACGAGAAAATTTTCCATGATATCCGATACGAGGTTAGAAACCCCTTATTATTATTTGACACACAGTAGCTCCAGAAGATCTGCCCCAAAAACAAAACCTCAGAAAAACAGCGAAAGACCAAACGCAACAATAATTATTCACTTGGTTCAGTTTGCTCATATGAATATGAAGAGTGACGACCGATCGAGTGGACCACAGAAGACCCCCTCAGGCCTCTAACTAGTGTGTGCCATAAACGCATCAAGTAAAAGGAGAAAAAAAAAAGCGGCACTCGATAGATCAATGGCGCAAGAGTTGAAGTGTTCCTCCAGTTAGCGACAAAAAAGTGCATCTCTATACTCTTGTCCCCCTCGTTCTTACCCATCACCTGCTCCAATGTGACACTCTTCAAAGAGAGTCATATTTCCGTGATAAAAGTGATGATTAAAAAATTAATTCTGTTGCACACAGCTGGGGAAACCCGAGAATAGCACCCGATCCTCCGTGCTTTTAATTAAAAATCGTTAAGTAAGTCTCCTGCCTCCATAATTACTCATTAATGCGTGAGCGATGAGGTTGTCTGGACTTGCCCTTAATCTTGATTGTCTTACCTCGTCACGAGAATTTATTTATTTATTTTTTTTTACAAATCCATTGACTGTTGTAGGTTATGACTATCGAATTAATGCATCGAAATTTTTCATTTATTTAATTCAGGATAATGAGGGTGGTGTTGTTTTCAAGGTAATGATGATTAATTTTCGTGGGATGTAGGTAAAACTGAGGATGAGGTTTAATAAACAGGAATTAATGACACTGGCTACACAGCCGTCGCAAAAGTTTGACAAGGAGGGCACTTTGTGCATACGTGAGCGTCAGGAGGGATTCTTTCGTAGGACAGAGAGTGAGTCCCTCATTAATTCCATAATTATACGTTAATTATCTGAGTCATTATAGTACTAGGGAATAGTGAATAGATAAAGTTGATTCGTTAGATCCCCTGGAAATGTCGCATGTTGATGTTATGAGAATAATATTCCAAACAAATGAACGCTGAGTGAAATTTATTATTTTGTTTTACATGATTGATCGTGACAATGTGACACTCTTTTTCTGGATTATTCCATTTTTAACGTGTTTTCTCATTACTCTCGTTCTTGATTTATACAACATGTGAGATAATTCATATATATTTGTCTCTGTTCCCTGTAGCATCAATCACTCGATTGATTATATCCTGAAATGTTATCTGCTTGACTTGGATATTACAATTTTTCTGTCCCAATATTGATTTTTCAATTCGTAGGCATGATTCCATAGAAGCTATGAGTGTCTGAAGAATCGTTGAATATTTATAATTCAATTAATTTTCTAATGCACACATGCATTGTCGTGTGTAACTGCAGAATATACGAATCAGATAATGCATGAAACATTATTTAATCGCCTACTAACTGTAATAAACAGATGATCAAGGTAAACTCTCAGGATAATCGCCATTAAACGAAAATTAAAAAAAAAAAAGGACTTTCACAAGTGTGATATGGTGTTTAAATAAATGTACATTGTCTCCTTCTCTTTTGTAAATACAAGGGTGGAGTTTATTTGTTATTTAATTAATCCATAAATCAGTACCTCGAACGTAAAATTTCCAGGTACGGGTAAAAAAGTTGAGCGCAAAAGACAAAAAGGAAAAACCCATAAGACTCTACGACAACTCAGTTGTGTTACAGCCGGCACAAGCAAAGGTACCACGAGTGCATTTTACCCATTAAAAACAAAAAAAAGAAATGAATGATTAATGAAGGAATAAAAATGACCAGTATTGGCCATCAGAGTGTGATGTTTAATTATTACAACAGTTGTCAGTGTTTATTTATATCACGAATTACAAAATACTATCCGGAAATTCATTTGTACAGAGAAAAAACTGAAATTTTTATTGAAACGAATAAATAGTCTGTGATTAATTTTTTCACGAGGATGATCAATATCTTCTCTAATTTTCTTGGATATTCTCATTGGCCTATTTCTCATTTGACGTTCAGTTTATTCGTTTCAAATAAAATGGATAAAAATTTTTAATCCTCACAATTTTTTATTAATTCTTCCTTCTCACGCAACAAGGCCACATCAACTAACCATCACGTCTATCACGTAATTAGCTAACATCATCAATTAACAATTCTCGTTAAAAATGCAAGGGGGAAAAAAGGTGAAATCTGGTAGTTGGCAGTGTAAAATGTACAGGTGTCCGAAGGCTTTTCAAATATACATCACCTGATGAATTTGAAATGATAAAGACTAGAATATTCCAACGCATACACCGAAAATCCATTTTAGCATTTCGCTTTAGTCGTTAATTATTAAAATCTGCATGTGAGTAGACTACTGTTGACTTGCATGTCTCGTATTTCTGGCCGATTGACGTACAGTTGCTTGCATGAGCGTAATATCAATAAAACCAATGAGGCGTTGAGCGATTTTGCAATACCATTGGGTGAAAATAACGCTGCACTCTGACAAAAAATAAACAAACTTTATCGCTGAGGAGTGAGATAAAAAAAAACAGCGTCGGAGAAGAAATAAAGATTTCCTTCCCTCGCAGTCAGCCTGGAGCGTTGGTGCAGATTACGGGGAAATCTCTTGTTCTACTTCAAATCAAAGGAACAATGGTCCGAGCCAATGGGTGTAATTATCCTGGAACAATGTAATTTCCGGGTTGAACAGCCTACTAATCAGATTCCCTACGGATTCAGCATAGGTAAGACTGTTACTCGGATTAAACAAGTACATTTATTCGTAATAAACTCCCGAAATTCAACACCACTGTAATTCACAGAAATCCGATTTTGCTTGAAATTATTTTATATGAGAAAAAATACTTTAAAATACTTTAAAGAGGGATTATTTTCATGCGGTCATCTATAAATAATGAGCTTTAGTCATAGAGCGCAGACTGTGGTTTCCTGCGCAATCGAGCGCTTGAAAAAAAAAATCTTTCCTCAATTCTAGTGTTCGATGGAGGCCTGTATCAACAACTAGGCGCAAATTCCTCGGACGAACGAGACAGTTGGCTGCAAGCCCTTCAATTAGCGAGTTACGAATGCATGAGAAATCAACTTCTAGCTCTGCGTGAAAGAATAGAAGCATCGAGCGGTCACAAGAATGGCACAGACATCCAAATGGTGCGTCTACAACGGGGCATAGTGGTAGATCCAGCCGAAGTGCCAATCTGCGAGGTCTCACTCTCCTGTGATAATCTTCTGTGCGACGGCCACGGTCGTCCACCGAATCCAGTTCTCGAGATCGACGTCCAGGCCTCTAAATCCCGAACATGGATAAAATACGCAAGAACTGAGGTGATCGAGCGAAGTAGCAATCCAGGTTTTCTCACAACCGTGAGCTTTCGAGGGAGCGATGGTTTGAGTACAGACACTAGAGTAAGAATAACGGCGTACGACGTTCGAGAGAGAGTTTCCCAGACGGCAACACCAATTGGAAGTGCAGTTGTCACCTTCAGCGCTGTGCAGGACACCCCAAGACTGAGGATCCCCTTGAAGAGCCCGAAATCCACAACAGTAGGTTTTTTAACGATCAACGTCTGGAGTCTTGAGGCCGATGACAAGGGAAACAGCACCGAGAACACTCCCTCCAGAAACATTCCCTCCTCCACAAACCAAATGTTTTGCCACAGGAGATCGCAGTCTCTGCCCCCCAGATTGGGGACCAAAATAAAACTCCCTCATCAGGGTCAACTCAAGCAACTTTTTGCCAACACTCACGTCCAGACGTACAGATTCCATTCGGGTTTAGGTGGTGACATTTGCGTCCACGAGATCATGGCAGAGAGCAGACTCTGCTTCCAGTTCCCTCAGCAGCTTCTCGGGGCATTCATCCATGAGGAGAAGGAGCTTCTCCAGGAAGTGGCTGGAATGGGTGAATTGCGAGAGCCCTGGCACACGAAGCAAGTAGAACTCCTGGATCGACATCTCCATCTTCTGCATCTGTACTCCCAGGCGAAGGAGAATCTCTCGGCTTTCAAGGCCAGTTACTTCAAGAGATCGTCGAGGAAGAATGACAGGAGCCTGGAGTTTGTACCTCTGAATCTTCACCTCCAAAGGATGTGGGTTCACAACGATACTCTGAACAAATGTGGCTTTTACGATTTAGTGAGTGTGGGGGCGTTTACAGCGCACTCTCATAAAAGTAAGAATGGTGGATTGATTAGGCTTATTCAGGATCTCGAGGAGTCACCAACAATAAAAAATCAGTTGTATCAGGGCACCTCGAAGATCATCATGGCACGCGACGCTATCATAGATATCAAAGAGTTGAGAAGGGACGTCGTCGAGGCCATGAGATCACTCATAAAATTAGCCAAGGAAAAGCAAACCAGTGGAATGCTATCTATCTGCGATGATATGCTCTCAAAAACCAGACGACTCCTCAAACTCTGGGACCCGGGTCTCTTCGAAGAAGCTCTTACATTCCTGGAGGAGCACAAAGTAGCGAAACTCCCCGAGGAAACTAAGAATCCAAACGACGAAAGTTTATCCCTAAGTTTTCAATCAAATCAGTCTCTATCTCCCTTCAAACGTATCACCCAACAGCTGAACTTTGATCTCAAGAGTCCCGACTTCGATGACCTCATAACTCCGGACACCCCAGAGTGCATTCAGGATATGTGGGCGAAGGAGTCAGTGAGGACCACGTACTCGGTGCAAAAATCCCCGAACAATTCCAATGACACGGTTGAAGAGAACTTCGTTATATTTCCTGAAGTCGAGGATGACATGAAGGATTCCAAGGAGACAAAAGACTCGGACAAAGACCAGGAGGATCCAGACGATCACAACAACGAGGACGATGAGAAGGAGGATGACTTGCGTGGAGAGCTAGACCTGAGCAAACGTTTCCTAGATACACAGAAAATGTGCAACTCCCCATCGGCGAATTACTACAAACCAACGGACGAGCCAGAGCCCTGGGATCTCACCCAACTAAATATTGAAGCTAGTGTACTGTGTCTAATATCGAAAGTTATGTTTCTCTGCGGTACGTGCAGAAGTCCTGCGGTTCGTTTGCGAGATAAGGACGGCGTTACCAGAACTCAAACATTGAGAAGTTGTTTGACTGATCGTGGGGGCAGTGTAGTAACTATTCAACCGAAGAATGATGTTAAGAATGATGAGTCTAGTAAATTATTGGATAATGGTAATGGGGTCAAGGAGGAGGAGACGGGATTTGCAAAGGCTAAGGAAGTGTGTCAAGCAGTTGATAGCATGACGAGGGTTATAAAGAGTAATTCTGGTCAGAGGAATAAGTTCACTGAGGGACTGGATTTTGCATCGATAGTCGATTGGACGAGTGAGCTCAAACCCAGTATGAAAAAACTCAGACAGACGATGGATGGATTGCTCAAGACTGCTAGATTGACCCATTCGGTTTTTCGAGTGCAGGAGGACGCCAAGACCGCACAGAGGGTATGCAACGTCAGATACAGGCGTGATGTCTGTTTCAGTCAGGTCCTCACTGCGGTGGTCACTGGATTGATGGCAAAGTTGTGGTGCCAGAGGCCTGATCCCCTTTTTCTCTTCATACTCACTACTCTGGGACCTCTCGTCTCCTTCGAGGGACTTCTCAGTTACTATGGAGAGGAGATCGACATGTGGGGTGACATGGCTGTTGCTGTTCAGGATGTGGCAAATGTTACCTTCACCTTGACCAGGTGTGGACTCTCTCACTCTGGCCTTGATAAGGATAACTCACAACTTCCTTTACCCAGAGTTATCGGCCCCAGGGCCACTCTGACTGTTATACTTCCTGTTCCTGATGGAATCTACTCGCTCTTACCACTCGCTCCTTCCTCAAGACAGACTATCTCGTTTAATGTTACTTCGGTGTTTTTTAATGTGGGGATCAATGAACCTGCCTCGTTAGCAGAGAGCCTGGGTACCACCAAGCCACAGCAGAAGAGTAATAAGGATAATTATTTCAAACTGACTGAGTATTACTTGATGTTTACCGATCTCAATCTACCCAGTGCGAGCAATAGCACCAAATGTAAGGATTCTTTTATTCGATTATATTTTTATCGAAATTCTGTGATGCAGTAGTAAATTGAGGGAAATTGATGTATCTCTTCTCTGGAGTTTTAGACGTAGCGATTTTTAAAATAATAGTTTGACCTTATTCGTAGTTTTTAATTAGCTGTAGAAGAAGAATTTTGACAAAAAATTTCGTTATTTTCCTTAACTGTGGAGATAATTGATAAAAAATCGTTGGAGAGATCAATCTATCTCGGTTTATCACTGGAATAGTGAATAATTTAGTATCCTTTGGATTTATGGCTCTCTGGATGATTATTTCAGTGAGTGGTGGACGATCGAATGTAAATCAGCCTCTTGCGCGTATGATGTTGGATCTGATGGGCAGTATTCATGCGAAAATATCCAAAAATACTGATATCCTGCAGCTGTCCTCCGAAATATGCAGGCGCCTGAAAGGGCTGAGGTTTACCAGCTGCAAAAGTGCCAAAGACCGTACAGGAATGTCGATTACACTCGAGCAAGTTAATATTCTTGCTACCGAATATCATTTGTCGGAGCATGAGTTCAGCAGGGCTCTGGACTGCATGCGCAGGTGTTTATGAAGAGAATAAGGTGATTGTTCTTAGTGTCTGTAAAAAATTAATTTTTTGAAATTTTGTTTCCAGTGAGGGCTGTAGACGAGAGAATACACTGAAGAACACGGGTATAAAGAAATACGCTTTCAACAGTCAGCAAATTTTGACTCTACCAGAATTGTATAGACCACCAACCGGTACCTACGGATCGGCACAAACTTAAATTTATACGAATTTATAAATTATTCTAAAAAAAAAAAATTCAATGCAAGGTAGGGATTTGAATAAGTTTTTAACTGAAAAAGTTTAATCGGACTAATAAGTCAATAATGATTAAAGAAATCCCCCACAACTACTATTTCTCACACAAATACTAGAACACAAATAAATAACCAAAGTGAAGACTTTGGTTTAGTGCCATTAATCTTTATCGAAATACAGAATTACATTTACAATTACAATTACAGAAAGGGTAAAACTATTTGATAAGTACCTAAATCCCTTTTGTTATGAAAAATGTAAAATCCTCGGTTTATTTGTAGTTTCGCGTTATTCTACGTGAAAGACCGTGGGAAAATACGGATTGAAAATGATGTACGTTGATGTGTAGAGAACAAATATATATTGAGCGAAAAAAATTATTGTTTCGAGAAAAAAATAGAATAAATAAAACATTCGGTGCGTCCTAGACGTATTCATTACTAAAAACTACAGCTGCATTAATTTCTCATTCATGATACCTCACGATTACCCAGAATTTTTGCGGATTCCCCTCGAATCGGCGAATTAATATTTAATAAAAATCAGATTTCCCCTGTAATTCACGGGAAACGGAATCGATCTAAACCCTTCCACTATATAATTTACCATCCAAACACTTATTAAACGCAATTTGATGTTAATGATGTACCAATCAAATATTTTTGGCGGAGAAAAAAAAAATAGCGAAACGCTGACCAGCTGGCGCTCGATGTTGTACACTCTGATATTTATTATCTCATCCCTGAGGCTGCGAAAAACTTGGTTTGATAGAGAAGTGGGGGAGAACACACGAATCTCATCTCGTGGCGTGTGTTGACCGGCGGTGGCACGAGAGAAAGAGATGACTATGAACCTGGCGCGTGGCCCCGGAGCTCAACAAGAGCCCCTGGAAAAATTTTTCATCCGCCACGCGCCACAGCCTCCCTCAGGGCTCATCAAAGGACTCGTGCAGCTGGTCTTTTTCAGTTGGAGCAATAACAAAATTTAAATCGAGTAACCGAGCCCCCCAGCTACCCCCTTCCATCAATTTCCAACTGAATCACAAATTCTTGGAGGATTTTTTTCAACTTTTTTCTATCAGCTTTTTTTCCTCCTCACTCCCGAGGCTCGAGAATTTCGATAATAAAATGTGGAATGAGTTTATACATGGGGTCCCGGTATTCAGGAGTATATCGAGGGGATGGAGGGGGATTGAGGGGGCCCTGGGCCTTATACCTGATGGGCACACGGTGCGTTCATGCGGCGAACACCTGCCTCGCGCCCAACAGGCTCTTCTATACGTACCCCCGTCCCTTTGTCCATTCGATGATATAAGCACCTGGACTCCCCAGTGAATTTCTCCAGTTAAGCTCCAAAATCCGTCCAGTGAGGACCTATTCCTCATTTTTTTTCACTCGGTACCAATTGCAAGACTGGAATATTTCCCTGAGATAGTGTCATTGGCCTCAATTGGGCCTCTCTCGTTGTGGCTAATCACTTTATTACCAATTATTCAAGATGTCTTTCAAGTGGCTGGTGCTGATACTCATTGCAAGTGCTCTCGGCGATGATGTTGATCTCGCTGATACCGTCAAGCTACTTCGGGAAAAAGTGAATGCACTCATTGATCGTAGACAAGAGGATTACAATGCACTCGAGGAGAGTCTCAAAGTCGCCATGGAGAAGAATACAGAATTGACGGTTTTGAGGAATGAAGTTAAACAGCTGAGGTGAGAGCTCATTAATTCTTCCTCATATTAATTACTCACTCAAGCACTTTTTTTCTTGTTGGGATTATTGAATTTATGGTAATTCAAGCAATTAGCGGTTTCTTTTATCGAGTCCTTGGTATTACCGCGTTATTGGAATTGTATGGTTGAGATTGAGTTATACACGAGAGCCGATGAAATGAAATGTGACGAATGTATTTTAATAAATTACAGGAAGGAAGTGGGTTTGCTTCGGGGCGGAAGCGGCAACGAGGCGAAGAATGAACGCCTGAGGGTCAAATGGTTGGGTAGCGCTGTGACTGAGCTGAAGAATGAATTGGCGGAGGTATTGACGGCTAGGAATGCAAGCGAGGAACTAGCACAGAGGGCCAGGATGAAGAGTGAAATTGCCCTGTTGAGGGGTGATGTTGCACAAGTCGGCAGAGGCATAAGGGATCTAGGGGGAAGACTAACTAGGATTGAAGCATCCCTCGGGACTCTACGAGTTGATATCATTGGGATTAAAGAGAGGGCTGGACAAGTTACCCGGAGTTGCGCTGATATTGCTAGTCAGGTAACTATTTCTCTCCATTCCAAAACTTTATCAGAAGATATTTTCACTCTTTGCTTCCCACTCGGTGCTTATTCGTAATTAAAACTAATTTATTCGATAAATTACGGCTCTTTATAAATACATCACTTATTATTCTTCCACTTCTGAGAAAATTGAGGAAAATTGACCAGACGGGAAAAATAATAAAATTATCACATAGCCGCGACTCGAGGAGCTATTAATAAAGAGAAATTTTCATCTCGATTGAATTAAAAAAAAAATGAAAAAATATTGGTCTTACGGATGCATAATGTCCCCGTCCCCTATTTACATGTTTCGTTGATGCACCTGCGGGTCTCGTCCCCGTAGCAGGCGGCTATCGTGTTGGAGGCAGCCGGCCGTTAATTTCAGTTTCTCGTTTTGGTGGCCAGCAGCTGCCGCAAAGTTGGCCAATCCCCACTTCTTTTTTGTCCGCCTCCACTGCGTTCCATTCTCAATGGCAGGTGGCACATTGCCTTTTCCCCCCTTTTTTACCTTCACCTTTCCTCCCCCTCCCCCCCACATCCCCTCAATTCTACCAGCACTCACGTTCCCCAGGTATTGAAGTTGAATTAAACCTGGAGAACAGACGCAGGGGTGGCGTGTGTTACCTCACACGAGCCGCCAGGTTAAAGTATCCCCTCCCTCTACTCCTCAACATCCGTCTCATTCTCTCTCATCTCCCAAACACTCACCACCTGGTACTTCTTTATTTTCCATCTCTTTATACTACGCGACCAACGGACGTCGTTAAACGCGAGTTTAAGTACCTCTTAGTTCCAGTATCTCCACGAACAACTGTGTCCCCGTAGCGGTTGAAATTACTTCGTCAACTTAATCCATGAATTTTCGTTTTTTTGTTGTTTCAGTTAAGCACTGTCCAAATTGAGATGAAATCATTAAAGTACGAGCCGCACGTCGAGGCAAAGAATCACCTGTCGCGCAATGAAATTAACGAAATAATAGATGACCAGGAGGAGAGGTACAAGCGCGAGCATCACAGATCATTTCGTCACGGTTCATCGAGATCTTCAGTTCTGAAGAGAATCGAGGAGAGATTGAGTGGTTTAGAGCACAAGATCGCGATAGTCTCGAGGAAACGAGGGATGATTGAGAAGCGCGTGGTGTATGAGAACTCAGAGATTTCTCTGGTGTCCCTGAAGAGCCTGAAGGAGGATTTCCTGAGACAACTCCTGAATGTCACACAGCGGCTCGTCACGATGGAAAAACACCTGGTGGACTCTGACCTAGCGACGCTGCAATCCCTGGAGACTTTGGAGGATAAAATCACCAGCAATCAATCAGAGTTGAAACGCGAGGTGGCGAGGATTGACGTCAACGCTGCGAGGAAGAACGCCGAGATATCGCTAACACGAGAGGACATTGGAAATTTACGGAGGACAGTTCAGGCCTTGAGCGTGAGTGCCTCAAAACTTCAGGAGAAGAGCGATGTTCAGCAGGAGAGCATATCAGAGCTTGTCAAAAAAATTGACCAGACGCCAGCCCTTGACTCGGCAGTTGCCAGAGCCGTAAATATCACTCACGAACTGGAGCACGTGGAGGACGAGTACAGGCTGATGGTAGATGCACTTCCTAGTAACTGCGACGCCAAGGACGGTCTGACACTCCTGGGAAATGGTCAGGGTGCACCACTCCTGGTGTCTTGTCATGCTGGCTGGATCATGGTAGCCAGGAGAATGGACGGTATCGTTGATTTTGACAGGAGTTGGAGTGAATACGCCAGTGGCTTTGGCTCACCACTCAACGAATTCTGGGTTGGGAATGAAGCCCTCCATCGACTAACACGTGACAACTGCACAAAAATCAAAATCGATCTGACCGATATCTATGGGATCAGATGGACCGCTGAGTACGATCACTTTGCTGTTCTCTCGGAGGAGACCGGATATCAGCTCCAGGTTGGTGGCTACTCTGGCAATGCCACTGACGCCTTCTCCTATCAGAACAATATGAAATTCAGTGCTAAGGACAAGGACATGGACATCAGCTCTGCCGATTGCGCGGCTAATTATCACGGGGGCTGGTGGTTCAGCCACTGTCAGCATGCCAATCTCAATGCCAAGTACTCACTCGGATTGACTTGGTACCAGTCTGACAGCAATGAGTGGATGGCCGTCACTGCATCCACCATGTCGATAAAGAAAAAAGATCGGTGTAATTCGAGCTAATTTTTAATGAGATTAGTAATGAATTTGTCGGTGAAATTATCAAGCCAAAGATTTATAGGTAAATTTAACAAGCACGTATCATTGAACATGTAAATAATCTGTACATTATGTATTGCTTATGTGAATTTATGGAGAATAAAGATTCTTTTATTTATCTTCGAGTGATTGAATTTCTTTTGAAGGTTTTTTCGTGCACGCTGTGTTTATCACATCCGGTGCATCATATCCCGGAACTGGCTAATCCTTTACCTTACAATTATCTCGTATGAAGTTCAAGATAACCGCAAGGACGGAGTCCATTCGTGGAGGACGTGGACAGTAGATTTATTTAAAGAGGCATAAGATCAGCGGGACACAATGATAATTGATAATTCTGCATTCTGTTGTACCCGCGATTGGACTCTAGTCACCCGGTTCACCTGGAATTAAATATCGAGAAAACACGCAATGGAAATATTTCCACTGACTCACGAAAGAACGGCGAATCCTTGAATCAAATATCACAAGTAATTATCGAAATGAAAATTCATGTGTTGCTGGTAACCAGTGGTGAATTGAGAGAGTAATCTCTCTTATCAATTTCCGCGGTATGAAATTGAACGAATGCTGGAAAACTTTGGACTCGAGTGATTTTTCATTACGTTGATTATTAACATCGACTTCAAATCCATTTATTACGATGTGAACAGCTGTTCTGCCTGTTTAATGATTTGTTCTGTGGATTTCGTCATTAGATTGCAGAAAATGTTGGGGAACTCATTTGGCTGATGAGATGTCGTGAAGATGATGGTGGGGGAGTAGGGGATGCAGAGCGGTTGGTGGATGAGAAGTCTAGGAAGAGACCCCGGAGATCTCTTGGTGATTCAAGTGGTAGGAGAAAGAGGACATATTTCTCTTGGAATATACTCCGAGTTGAACGTCAGAGAGCAGTCAGTCAGGCTCAGTGGCAATTCCAACATCAAATTAAACGTGCGCTCCGTGAATCGGACTATCATTGCAATCGAAATTTTAACCATTCTCTGGGTATTTCAATACCTTGATCGAGTTTTACAGAATAAGGCTTTCAATTCAAGGACTTATTTTATTCCTTTTTCACTGAATGATTCCAAACAATCTGTTTCTACGGTGTATTTCCATTTGTCGTTGCGGAATGTTGAAGACTACAGCGTAAATTATCAAGGTAAAAACCATAATATTTATTTTTCATTAGTACAAATCGTCAGCATGTTATGTCCTTTTTTGCTCAATTCATTCTCATGTTCACGTCATCCTGGCCCATTTAAATGCTCCCCCACCGCAACTTGCATTTTCTGACCTTCTGCAATTTATCCAATTGTCGGTAAACGGATTAATAATAAAATAAAACTCGATTCATTGGGTTTACTCGGCGATTATAGCGGAGTGGGATTTTTTGTTTTACTCAGGTAGAATTACACAATGAGGAAAAAAATTATAATTGAGGAATACCGCATTGAGATTTTCACCGCAATCTCCCCGGGGAATGCCTCGACAAAAAGGATTTGTCGGTTACTTTCACTCATTCGTGAGTAATGATAATGCAACAAGTGAAAATACCGGTTTACGAAGAACAAAAGATTTGGCCGAAACTCGTCCGAGATAATGACTGAATCCTGGGAAAATCAAGTTAACGAGATTATTTTCATACATGAATAATCCATTTGAATCATGAGGCTTAAAGCATAATTAACCAGCAAAAGTAATCAAAATTAATGAAATTATAATTAAATTAATTTTCTGATTGACCCGAAAAAAATCTCCTGTGTTTTTTCCAGTTTTATAAATTTTTTAAAAGTTCAGAAAAATCACAGAAAAATCATTGCGCGGACATAAAATTTTAGGAGTAATTAAATATTAACAAAACGCGAAAACGGTGCATTTTTTTCGCGACAATGTCATCAAACGTTTTGCAGAAATTAGTAGAAAAAAACTGGAAAAATGAGATTTAGTGAGGAATAACTCCTCACTGCTTACTCTTATTCATATAGAATACCCCTCGGCTGTCCTCTACAAATGTTTCTTTCAGATTATTCCTCTTTTTATCAGTATTTCTCCGATGTCGATTACCTCCTCCTCTCCTCCCCTATCTTGTGCTACACAACATGCTGATGACAGCGTCAATTCAACCGCTAAACAATTAACTACGCCAATCAATATTTTCCACCGATTATTTCTCATTGTACAAGATTTTTTTCAATCGTTTATTTGCGCCGATCGCGTAACAGTTAATTACAATATAAGTGATACGTTTTTTTACTGCGTGTCTGAGAGAAAAATCGAACTGTGTTTATAAGAATTGAACAAGAAGTAGTCTAATGTGAATTTCGATTAAAAATTCTCGGGGAATCGGCATACCATGTCATTACGATTTCAATTCTGATTTCATTTAATGAAAAATACATATTTCCGAGAACAATCAAGAGAACATTCGGTGAAGTTAGATTATTCATCCGATATTACATTCGTTGAACGTAAGAATACTATTATTTATCGATTTATCGATGAAAATCATCGATTTAAGGTTTCCGCTGAAAAAATTCTCAATATTAATTAGAAAATAAAACAGAGGAATAGTGAGAGAAAATATAATAAATAAATCCGTTTCATCACTGGAGTCAGTGAAGGCAAATAACACCCGGAGATTATAATTTAAATTGTTTCATTGATGAATAGCATTCTCTGAAGAATTACTAATAGATAGTGGGAATCGTTTTACATTGTAAGAGCGGATAATATCGAGCTCATTTATCTGATAAAATGCATAATTGTCCTCAAAGTCACTGATGGATGCTGACATTCTCCGATTACAGCTTTTGATTCATGACGAAATATTCCTAGAAAAGTTCAATCGTCCATCTTAAATTGTATGATCGAAAAATGTTGATTTCGTTCGTTAAAAAAAATTTATGAATCCCCATTGTGACTCACATCATCCACGAGTTGAACTTTGAACAACAACAATCCACAAGAATAAACTGTCCTTATCAATTCTCATTGTCATTTTTCTCTCTATCAAATGACCAAACACGATTTGATCTACTTTTCATGGCCTGAAAATGGGTAATGAACTATTGCCCATTGTTACAATTACATGTCCACTAACAATGACACGTGCGTGAATTGAATAAAGTTGATGCAACGGTAATAAATGGACGAAAAATTTTAAAAAGGTGAGGCTTCGATAAGGAACCAGTTTGGAAGAATGTGAATAATCATAAAGACGTGATGGAAAAATTTTTCCACCTCACTTTATTCTATATAATGTTAATAATCAATAGAATTAAAAAAAAACGGAAGGTTCATCGACAGCAGTCGTGACATTGTGGGTGAAAGTTGTCCCTGGAATGGATTATTTATTTAAATGAACCAGATAGAAGACGGAATTGATAGATCAGTTACGAGGAAAAGATCACTCTCTTGATAACGCTGATAATCGAGTGACAGAGGTCAATCAAATTGGCAAATGAAGCAATTAATCATGTACTGGAGGCACGGATTTAATGAAAAATATGGGGACAAAGGCGGTGAAAAAGGTAAACACCCTGTGTTGTGGACTTTGTGGGATTGGATGGAGTGGGTGGAGCGGGTGGTGAAGAGCAAAAGGAGCGGATGAACAACAATGATATCGTACCCGATGAATGGACTTTGGCACAGAGTGCGAGTGCTGGTCATACAATGGCCTTCGATCCCCCACCGATTGACAGAATTATTTATTTATCGATACTCATTTCGTTTTAATCTAATCTAATCATTTCATATTTCATGACAAATTATATCATTGAAATGCGCGAGATAGAGGTACCGGTTACATCGAAATTCTTCTTCAATTTCATGTTGTCACTTTGTTCACAGAGCATTGACCGTTACGGTAACTCCCACGTGTTCCATTGGAAGTTTTTGCCATGGAAATTCTGATGCACGAGGCCACCAATGGGGTGACAATCCCTCACGATAATTTAGAATCTGGAGAACGACTGAGGGAGCAGAACAATCAGAAAAATGGAACTGACATGGGGTGGAAGAGGAATGGGGGTGAGTCACAATTACTTGGCAAAGCTAAGGGTGAACATGAAGTCGCGGATATTGTCTTTGAGAACATAAGCTATCGTGTTGGACTTGGATTATTTCGAAAAGGTAAGATAATCGTACCTTCAATTTTATTCTAATTAAACCTCACCCTATTTAATTGGTGATTTGGTTGGATTGGGGATGCTCCTATTCTCTGACTAATTGGTTCAACAACCAAATGTGGTAATTTAATTAATATGATGATGTTTAACCCCGGAACAACAACAGACTACAAGCAAATACTGCACGATATACATGGAAGACTCCCTGCAAGACAACTGATTGCCATAATGGGTCCTTCCGGTGCCGGAAAGTCAACCCTACTCGACATTCTCTCTGGCTATCGTCTAACCGGCATCAGTGGTAATGTTTACGTTAATGGAGACATACGTGATTTAGATGCATTCAGAAGATCAAGTGCTTACATAACTCAAGACGATCGTCTCCAACCCCTGCTGACTGTCATCGAGAATATGAGAGTCGCTGCTGATCTCAAACTTGGTACCAATATACCAAGACAGACGAAAGAAGAAATAGTACGTCCGAATCATTGACTAGTACGTCAGACAACAAATCATCAATTCATCAGGTGTTCTGTTTGGATTTCAGATAGAAGAAATTCTTGTAACACTTGGTCTGTTCGATCATCGGACAACGAGGGCGAGTAGATTGAGTGGTGGACAGCAAAAAAGATTGTCAATTGCCCTTGAGTTGGTTAATAATCCAACTGTCATGTTCCTTGATGAACCTACCACGTGAGTATCTCAACACTTATGCACAGTCCACTATTTTTTCACGAGATTGTCACACATATTTTCATTAGTACTCTATGTAATTATGTATCTATAATGGCTTTTCCTTACTACACATTCATTTTATCATCAGTGGATTAGATAGCTCCACGTGCATGCAAGTTGTTCAACTGCTCAAGGTTCTTGCAAGACAAGGAAGAACTATTGTATGCACCATTCATCAACCCAGCGCCTCTTTATTCCAGTTATTCGATCAAGTTAGTTACATTTTGAAAGTGTTCTATTCTCTCTGATATATTACGAAATAATACTTCTACTTGAATATTCATCGACTTCAGATTTTGCTTTTATTCTGTGATCTGTAACAATTTAAATTTCACCTTTCGATTTTCACTTTTAGTTTTCGAATCTCATATCAGCTGTTATTATTATTCCTGTTATGGTTATCATTATTATTATTAACATATAAAATAGCTATTGAAACATTGGAAAATTCTGAAAAGTATTCTCTCGAGTGAATGAATATTCGGGAAAGAGTAAAACATTTTTGGTGGTGTTAACAATTGAGATTTGATTGCGCACCTGAACAGGTACTTGTTGTGGCTAATGGCTACTGCCTCTATCAAGGCGCAACTGATCAATTAGTGCCCTATTTGGAGAGTGTTAAACTGCCGTGCCCGATATATCACAATCCGGCTGATTATGTTATTGAATTGGCTTGCGGTGAATATGGCTACGATAAAATCGAGAGTCTCGTTAATGCATCGGACAATGGTAGGAATTTGCAGTGGTTCAATAATAAAGAGCGCTTTGTGTCGTCAATCGAGGTCTCTATTGACCCATCGAAGAACGGAGAAAAACCACGAGAGGCTGATGGAAAAACAGGTAAGTCATAAGCCGATAAAAAAATTAATGGGCGGTCAAGCGTATGTTGAATAATACTCTGAGGGATAAAATCAGTTGCTGTCTATCAATCCGTGTGGTTTTCAGGAAAACCCAGTGATAATGACGGGAGTGAAAAAAATTCTACATTTAAAAAAAATCACAAAAAGAAATCTCTGCAAGCTACGTCACAGCTTCATCAACTGAAAATATTACTGCAGCGGGGAGTTATAAAAAGTAAAAGAGATACGGTAAGTCTATATTTATGGTAAGTCATTATGAGATAATGATTTGTAGTGTATAATTGGGTAAATGGATACTTTCATCAAAGAAAAAAACTGAACATTCATTTATTTTTTTTTTCGGAAATATTCAATGATTTTATTTCTGTTCGTACGAGGTATTATTTTTATAATCGCGATTGATGGCATTGCAGACGTTAACTTATCTGAGATTGCTGGTCAATGTGGCGACGGGAATTATGCTGGGTACATTGTTCATTGGGGCTGGTAACGAGGGCCACAGAGTTCTAGAAAATTATAATTTACTTTTTGCTATTCTAATGCACCACATGATGACATCTATGATGCTGACAGTTCTTACGTGTGAGTGAACTATTTGTTGTAACTATTTATTATGGACTTCAAATCAATCAATGACTCTCTGTGAATCTCAATTGAATTCCGGAATAATTAATTTTTTTTCGGTATCCAGTTCCATCGGAAATGAACATTCTGCAGAAAGAACATTTCAATAGGTGGTACAGCCTAAAAATGTTCTACACTTCAGTGACAATTATCGATATTCCCGTAGCTGTGGTATGTTGTGCTGCATTCTCCGGAATAATCTACATCATGTCTGCACAACCCATGGAGTGGAGTAGATTTTCAATGTTCTTCGCTATCAGCTTGCTCGTTGTTTTTACAGCCCAGAGCTTTGGTCTCGTGATCGGAGCTGTCTTCAGTGTTGTCGTGAGTGGAAAATATAAATTTCTATTCGCTATCGAGATTAATTGTACCAATGATTTATCATCAATCGCCTCTGAGTTGACTTTACGACGCACTTAACTCTCATTCAATCTTCAGTAATTAATAATTCAGTAGCGAAGTGGTGAAGTGAAATTATTCCATTTTTACCTTAATTACAAAAAAATCGGTAAAGGATTTCACTTCCAATCGATACGGAAAAAACATATTAAATGCCCCATATGTAGTTTTACCACTTTTTTTACTGATTTTGTTTCTCCCTAACATGATCACTTATTGGCATTCTTATTTTTTTCATTTCTTACGTTTCAATATATTCTGTATACATGATAATATTTATTACAACATCTGTAGGAAGGAGCCCGATAAGCTAAATGAGTAGTTAGATAGTGGCTTTTTGTTAATAATTAATTGAAGGGGGCAGAATGGAATGATTATCTCAAAATGGACGAAATTTTCCGAAATTCACCCCTTCATCATACTGCACATTATTATCATTATTATCTTTATTATTATTATTATTATTATTATTATTATTATTATTATTATCGATGAATAATTTGAATACATGTTGTCGCTATTCATAACAAATTACACCGGATTTTGAAAATTTAGAATGGAACGTTTTTGGCACCGACTCTGTCTGTTCCGATGATGATGTTCGCCGGTTTCGGCGTTAACCTTCGTGATCTTCCAGCTTATTTGAGGCCAGGAAGCTATCTCAGCTATCTGCGATACGGTTTAGAAGGCTACATTCACGCGATTTATGGAGAAAAACGAGAGACCCTCAATTGTGCAGAAACGGAGGAATACTGTCACTATAAATATCCGAGGAAGTTCCTGTCCGAAATCGTGGCCATGGAGCCTGATCAATTCTGGAATGATGTCTTTGGGTTGACTGTTTTATTATTAGCATTGAGAATAAGCTCTTATTTCTTACTGAGGTGGAAACTGCAATCGGCACGATAATGAATTAATCACTGATTTAATCAGTGCTGGCTAGGAATATTTTTATCATCAATGCAAGTAAATAAATCATTCATTATATGTGTGATGATAGGATCGAAGATGCACTCGATTTTTTAAATAATTTTTTTACGAGAATTATTTTCATAGGTTTACTGCGATAACGGTTAGAGTAGGATGGATTATTTTATTGTTATTAATAACGGTTGACTGTGAAATTGTAGAAAATTCCTTCTTGAGTTAAGATTGACAGTAACTTCGAGGAATTTGTAAGCGAGTGTAATAAATAGCGGTACTATTTTTTTATCATCACGATCTTTCTTGAATTAACATTTATACACTTTTCGGGAGAAACGATTGATGATTGGGAGGATTAAATTTATTTATCTGAAGATTTAACAATTTCTAACAATTTTTTATGCAAATTCTCTTGATGAATGTACTTATATGCAGTTGCAGCCCAGAAATTTATAAATTGAGAGAAAAAATTCCCATATGATGAGAAACACAACTATTAAAGTCATTTCAAAATTAATCATCCTTTAACGCGACATCATTATCATAATTGAAATATCATCGAGTTTGTTCAGAATTTATTTACAAGGAAACTGTCTGGAGACTCTCTCACCGATTCTGATGAGCTCAGAATATATTTTTCTCCATAAAAATTCTGACATACAATTTTTTTTCAACTGCAAACAAAGACTTTTAGGAAACTGAAAACGACCTTCATATTTATCGGATTGCCAGGGTTGTTGGATGGTCATCGCCAGTTAGTAATTGAATCACGTATCGACGAAAATTTCAAAATTTTTGAAAATTTGCTATTCAGGAAGGAGCCGATTTACTTTTCGCTGAAGCCCAGTTCACAACAGGATATTTCAAACACGTTTACAACATAAAAATTTGTGTAGTAGTAAGTTTTCCGGTTATCTCATCACTTTTTCATGCTGAGTTGATAGACCCCGGAATGGAGGTCAGAGAAACGTACGTAATGAGCATCTAAATAACACAGCAGCTTATCTCTCGAATACGGCATGATTTTCTTTTTCCTTAAACTTATTTTTCGATAAATAATATGGCGCTGTATTCCATGGAGGTGCGTCGGTTTATTACTTGTTAATGGCATAGTAAAATGGACAAAAATGGAAGTTATACTTCAGCACTCCTTGTATCGAGGTAATTAAACAAGTTAATTATCCCATTCAGGATCGATTTTTCCTACAAATAATATTTGAACAGATCTTTTTATTTAGTCTGCAAATTTTTAGTTATTGATCACGTTGTGATCATGACTTACTAGTTTAATAAAACGGCAAGAATGAATTTGATCCTTGAATTATTTTGCTCTCAGTGTGATGTAATCGATATTCCTTTCATTGCTGATAAATACTCACTTTGACTGTCACACTTGGATAATCATGACTCAATCAAGACAAATGTCAGGAAGAGATTTAGGTTTTTACAAATGTACAACTGTTGGTAGGTGCTTTATTAATCGTGAGGTAGATCGACATTTTCGCTCGTGTAAACAAGAATGGAGTTGTTTTTACTCAAATCCGATAATATAAAAATAGTCTACCATAAAACAACAGGTACAAAAAGCTCTTAAATTTATCAATAATGATAATTACACATTTTCTAACAATACAAATCTGGTACAAAAATAATTTCGACGCCTACACCCTTGAGCAATAATTATTAAAAAAGTACAATAGCGATTTGTTATCGCGGAATATCTCTAAAACCAAGGCAGATATCAAAATCTTTATCCTAAACTTTTTTATAGCTCTGAAGTACCTCTCCAAAAAAGATTTCAATAAAATTTTTATAAACTTCCATAGCTGCGGAGATATTTCTGAAAAACTCACCGAAGGGCTAAATCACTTGACTCTCCGACTTCACAGCAAAAATAATTCTTTACATTAAACGCTCGTGTGGAAGTTTCGTATACCAAATTTTCTATACCGATCTACAACTCTTCCACTTGAGTACCCCATAAATACATAAATGCAGAAACCCAATCCAAGCTACGAGAGCATAAATGATAGCGGAAAATTCGATGGACGGCATATTCATGTGTCGTAAAATTCTATCTGGAGCTCTTAGAATACAAAAATTCTCAGAGCATGGCAATACCTCTCGATCTCCACCATAAATAGCTTGCATGAGTCCCTCAAACGTATACCTGAAGTAGCTCAAGAAGCTGAAGGGTGTCATGTACGAGGGGATTTCTCCCAGCTTGAGAAAGAACCCCGAGAAAAGGCACATCGGTATGTTCAATGCGGGAACGAGAAAAGTTCCACACTAGAAAGATAAATCCCATGAATCTCCGTATTCTGAAATAATAAATGATGAAATAGATAATGGGGTTAATTACGTGAGTGTTCATTGCGGCTCCTGCCAGCATTCCGAAGGATTGCGCTAGTACACACAGGAGAAAGCAGATTAACCAGCTCTTCATGAATCTTTGGCTTTCTATTGGTTGTCCGGTCATACCGTAAGCTATTACCAAAAATAACGTAGGACAGAGAGTCTAAAATCGGCAAATATTCTAATAAAAAAAACGTATGAACTATGCGGAATAATTAATTTGGTGTAGGGAGAAGAGGAGCGATATAAATCATGTTCAATCTTCACTAGCTCGAGATTATGGAATTTAAATTTTTTGCTTTTCAATAATGTCAATAAAATTAATAACTCTTGAGGCGAACGCCTTGAAATTCAGATGACTTCAAATGTCGGGCTTTTACTTATGTTCATTTCATAATCATTCGATATAACTTGATCTCATTTTCTTGTGCTCTTTATATGCATAGTGATGCTATTTACTCCCTCATGTTTATGAAATTTTTTCAAATCACTTGTTCAATTCCATATTTTTTACATTTAATTCGATGTTTGCAAATTTAATCCTCTGCTTCGTACGTTTTCTCATCACTTTTTATTTTTCCTCGTTGATCATTATTGAAGCAGCATTAATAATTAATTTGGTATCTTCTAGTGCTTTTTTGCTTCTTCTCTTGGAAATTTCGAAACGCTTCTTTCAATTATGCTTTTCCGATTTGTTTAAAGGCAATTTATTCAGACTTGACTTAGCTCATCTATTCAGATTATTCCAATTTTTTGTCTTGATCTCGAGATATTGAAGAATTCGAGTCTTTGCCGTCATCATCCCCCAATTTTTTCAAATAATTATTAAAACCTGCAGAGGAAGATCCGTGAGGACTTTAGTGAGATGATAAGTCCCCAACCCGTACCAATTATTCATATTCTCCCTTGCGAATACCTCCGCCTCAATCGGAACTGAAAATAATTAATTAATTAATTAATTGGATAAACACCCTCGGGAATTTTAAATCAGTTGATTATATCCAAGAGTATGACTTGATTCACACGCGGGTGAGAGCTTTCGCGATTACCACTAATGTAAGTAATCTTAATTTCGGAATGTTTTCATGTTCTTATCAGGACAATTAGATATCTCAGCATGGAATAATGCCATTTCATCGATTAAGTTCCGGGCTACTCACACATTTGCACTGCTGGCATGGCATTGCTGAAGAACAGAAAGAGTAAAAAAAAGAAGAGACAGGCAATGTTGCTGAATACTTTACTAGCGTCTCCTCCGAATTTATAGAAAACCAGACCCATGAATATTCCAACGACGATATGGGCGGCTAATCTCAGTTTTGTCAAGGTCTGAAAAATGTCAGATGCATCATCAAATCGATTATCATTTTTATCGTGAATATGTTATTGTGCAAACTTGTTTGCGTCGCATGCAAATGATTTTTCAATTCGCTAATGCATCCGCCGTGATATGCGTGGTAGACGAAAAATAATGGAATCAAAGAGAATAATAGATCCTTAAATTGATAATTACATTGTCGCGTAGAATACACTTCGTAGATCTCCAAATTAGCATTTGAAATTCATTGAACCAAGGGTTACAGATTCGCTTCACGCATCTTTGGACATTTTTTATTTTCACATGGTGTTCAATGTCGTGTCCATTGGATAGAGGCGCGAGACTTTTATTTACTACTACTGAATGGAATTTGTTGCTGTAGTTTCTTAAATTATCAAGGTCGCCGCCATGCTGACCGATAATGACTTCCATCACTGCAAGTATGAGTAATTTAAACGCAAATGCATCATTAGAATTGCTGACAATATGCAAAAACTATTTCTTCATTCGAATCATTGCTCATTGATTGAAAAATTTATTCATTTTTGCATGTTATACCGGTTATTTATGACCGTTAATCACTTTTTTTTAATTGAAATTAAACACAAAGTCGTATAATTGATAATTAAGATGACTTTGTACATAAACTTCAAAGAAAATTATCAGTATACTAATTTTATAAATACAGAAAGGTTGAGGAAAATCTTTTTTGAGCAATCAATGAAAATTAATGGATAAAAAATACTACATACACACACACATTAATGCATACATTCGGTCACCGCCCCATTTTAGGGGAAAAATTACATTTTTATAGACCAAATAAATTACCAAACTCTGAGATGTTGTAAAAGGGAGGGCATGAGTATCCAGCCTCTTGAAATGTCTGAACAATTTTGCTACTTGGACCGCAATACAAATCTCTACCCTCAGCTAGAACGAGGATGTCATCGAAATGAGTCATCATTTGACTGCTCGGTTGATGAATAGAGCAGATAACAGTGCACCCAGACAGCGCTATATTCTTCAGTAAAATAATTACTTGAAGAGATGCAGCACTGTCCAGGCCACTTGTTGGCTCATCTAACACAAGTACTCGGGGATTTACAACTATCTCTACTCCTATTGAGAGACGTTTTTTTTCACCACCACTTAAATCTCTCGTCATGGTACTGAGGCAGTTTTGCAAACCCAATGTGCCTGCCACACTCATTACCTGTAAGAAAAAAAGATAATTTTAACTACCACCATTCAATTTGTACCAACAATAATTTGCAGTTAAATTTATCTTTGCGTTTACTCAGCGCAGCGTATTGATCTTCCGAGAAAAAATACGATGATTCGAATGAAAAGACAATTTGTCTGGTAAAAATGACAAAAAAAATTTTTTCTTACCCGATAGAATAAATGTTACCATGAATTTTCTGAATGAAATGGGGAAGTTTATCAATTTTTTAATAGAATACCACTAATTGAATTTCTTTTCCTCTTGCAGACTTGTGCAAATTAAACTAGGAAGCAAAGATTAATAGAGAATCGTAGTGCATTAATTAAATATCTATTTTCGAATACCATTAACAATCCGATTCAAGTTCAATGGAATATTCAGATAATGCGCATATTTTTCCATACAAAAAATGAATCGAAGAGTGTTTAATAGAAAAAGCCAATAAATTTTGATCTTTCTGACCGATTTATTGTGCTAAAATTTTTCTCCTTGGAAATTGTTAGCGCAAATATTGTAAGAGCCTGAATTTCCAGTACAGAAAAAAATAGTCAGAAAACCGGAAAAATTCATGCAAAATAATTGCAGTAAATAATTCCAATCAATTCCAAATAATTGACAACCCAAAAACTGCAGGTGTTGCAAATAATCGATTATATTTTTTATTACCAGACTATTAATTTGTTTTCTATCGGCATGTGGTATTTTCAATCGAGCAGCGAAATATAGAGTTTCTCTAGCAGTCAGAGAAGGTAGTAGTGCAAATTCTTGAGGAATATAGCACGTTAATTTTCTGAGGGTATCAGCAGTGGCCGGAGTTCCATTGATAGCAAGATGCCCTCTGACTCCCTCTTTTTTTCCTCTTAATCCACAAAGGATACTCAACAAACTGGTTTTTCCGGCTCCTGATGGACCAACTAGAACATTCAGTCCACCACCGCTAAAATATCCATGAATTTCCTGCAGTATCTCTTTACTCCGTTTACCTATTTATTTAAATAACGGTAAACCAATCAGTACTCCAATAATCATGATCGCCACTAATAATCGCTGCAATATCAATGAATTTAACAGTACCAGTAATTATTTCAAGGCATGAGTCATTACAATTATTACAATTGCCATCAGAATTTTTAAGGTCAAGTTAAAATGGAATTCATTAAAAAAATTAATGTAATGAATAGACAGCGCTTGAATGGCCATTTTTACTCATTTATTCAGAATTTCCGGATAAACATTTTTGAACTGGCACTTGGCTCTGCTGCGATTGTTTTTTAAATAAATTTACGTTTATGAATTCGGGTAGATCACTTGCCTCTGGCGTTTTGACGAATTGAGTATGAGAGGTCACTGAAGCTAATTGTTATATTTGCTAGAGGTTCTGGAGTTTCGGAAGAGTCGGGCGTTTCAGGATCTTCTGATTTTGTTATAAATGTTTTCATGGCTGAATTCGTTATTTTATTGTCATCATCACCACTATCGTAGCCTCTACCCACTGGACCGATTAATTCCTCCATTGTGCAGAATCCGGTGGTAATTGAGTGGTTGATATTTATATCACAATGTCCTCCGGCAGATAGTTTACCAGTAAATGTCTATTCAGTTATTTTATTACATGGTACACTACAGGGGCTCACTGATAAGACTGCACTTTGAATTTCTAGGATTTTTTTTTCTCCTGTTACATTATCTTTGATGAGTTATCTTAAAGTTCAAAATCAAACTCCACTCGTGGCAAGATTCGAGTGGGGACTGGAACGTCAAGAGTTTCTTGTTGAGTCGCACAATTTACTATCGAGTGAGAACAGTCTGACCCCTTCTGTAACCACCAGTCAGTGAAAATGGATGGTGAATGGCACGTGGGAAGATATCGCCAGAGGTGGGAGGAGTAACAAGTAGATTTAACAAATTGTTTAATCAACAGATAAAATATTCGCAAGATAATCGATCATTTCTATCATTTTGTACCTCACAGAAAAACAATACATTACCTCGGATTTTTGGGTATCGCGAAGCCGCGAAAATGGCTATTTCCATTCGAAAATTAATTTTTCCTGCATTTATTCCATTTTTGTTCATGAAAAATTACACAAAAAAAAAGTTTAATCGTAAAATAAAAACGGCGTTTTCGCAATCATTTTTATTATTATTATTAATTACTTGCGGAAACAATGTGACCGTGAAAAATGCCATTTTTACACGGATTGCGGGAATTTTTACGGGTCCTGTTAAATTCTCTATTATAAATTCAAGGATTACTTCAACGGTTTCCATCATCCAATGGAATTTTGTCTTCAACAACGCCATGATTGCGTAGTTAGCCACTCGTAAATGGAATCGTGCATTCACTCGTGAGTGGAATTATCAAGTAGAAAGTTCGTAGATATGCGCCTATGGTGTAATGCGTCCTACACCGAAGGAATATGAAAGGCTAATTAAATATTTTTGAAAATTAAACACCACCATTGTCGTATAAAAATTTATTTGGCAGAATAGATTTTCAATAACATTTTTTTTGCTATGGCATCGTAGAAAAACTATTATTTCCAAGACTTCCAATTGATTTCACAATTTTCGTCGATGATCACAAGAATTATTGTCCCCGGAAATTCGTTTTGACTAGATTTCTGCTGCCGTTTCCATATTTTTCTTATAAAAAATGTAATTTTTCCATCCACCCCATTTTATTGTCCATTTTCAGAGTATTTTCTTCAGTTTTAATCGAAGACAAGCGTAGGCTATAAAATCTAGTATTACGTAAAGAATAGCTAGAACAATCATTGGCATCCAGTATTCACCAGATTTCATCCCGAAATCCATCAATACCTTCTTAGGATATGTATAATGACAGTAAATTTCATTGCAAGGCATCTGGGATCGTCCGAATCTACAGGAAAAAATATATAAAAATAACTAAAATGAAAAATAACGAGAAAAAAAATAGTACTTTAGTAATTTCTCCAATGGCTCCAATTTGTCTGAAAAATATTCTTACAAAAAATTCGAGACTCACCCGTACATCGAGGCCATGGCACCTTGAAATCCATATTTCAAGAATGAACAATGGAATATCCATTGCAAATACCACGGTGCATCAGTCAAGTGCACTAAAAAACCACTGAACAATACGAATGGCATGATGAAAAAGGGTCCAAATATGACTCCATACTGAAAAGATTATTCAATATTATTTCGTCATATCAATTAATTAATTATTATCCACACGATTTTACCTTTATACTCAAAACAATTCCACAAATGAGACCAATGAGTTGAGCCACCAGTGAAACAGCAATGTAACACAACAACAGAAGTAAAAATCTCCTGCCCTCTGCAATCTGTCCAGTCATGAGATACAAAATTATGGTGTACAACAAAACAGCTGTGATCTGAATTGGCAGATCGGCGAATTTATTCGCGAAGTAGAAAGAGCGCAATTTGTACCAACGATTGAAATGCTCTCGTATGATCACTGGCAGCATGAGGGGAACTAGAACACATTGTAAAATAAAAATGCAAAAATTCTGGCGCGAAATATTAATGTAGACAAATTAATCCTGACCAGTTTTCTAATAATCGATTTATCCCGGAAGCTATAGATTTTTGGTAGAGACGTTGAGGAGATTTTTTGTAGCTTATTAAATTTATGATAAGAATGTTTATTGGCAATTGTTTGTAAAATCAATAGTTTTTTGGAGAAATCGATATTTAGTAATGTTTAAAGATCGGAATTTGCGCGTTTTGCCGTTTGTTTACTTGAATTTAATTTTTTTGTGGATTTGCGAGAAAAATCTTACAGGTAATTAGCGTCGCACTGAAGGCACTGAACATGACGAACATGAGGCTCATGAATAGTAGGCCGGAGTTGTTGCGAGCCTCATCAGCATCAGTACCGATATTGTAGAATACCGATCCTTTGAAAATCGCTATTAGGCAATGGATAGTTAGCCTTGTGAACGTGAGAATCTGTCAAAATAATTAAAAATTCAATTTTCCATTAATTTTCAAATAATTTACCAAAATGAGTGAATTTTCTGCGAGTAGTTCGAACAATTGTGATTATTAATGCATTAATTCTAGAAAGATTTATATATTTTTCCCGTTCAGTGAAACAAATAGCAGAATACAATTAATGGAATTAAAAGTAAATATTCCGCATTTCATTCATCCGCATGATTTTTCTGGGATGAAAATTTCGCCTCTCGCTTAAGTGCAGAGAATGAAAAAGTTCAATAAAAATAACGTGAAAGTTCGGTAATCCGAAAGTCCAAATAAAAGTCCAGTATAAAATACGGTTACATAGTTACATACATTTTTCGGTACTTTTAACCGCTCGTTCTGTAATTTTTGGGGATCATTCAGAAATTTTTGTAAATGATCTGAAAATCGAAAGATCATAATTTCACTTCATCTATTACGCAACTATTCTCTCAGTACAAATCCTCACGTAATATTCCCAAAACTTTTTTCCTCCTGCAATCTACACATTTGAATTGAATAGAAATCAATAAAATTTCCGAGCGTTCAGTTCTTTATTAGATTTTTTCGAATGCGCATATATATGAGAATTAATCCACAATAGACCCAAAAAAAAAAAAATTACCCTATCCCTAGAAAGTTTGATGAAATTCCTCCTGAAGAGTACGAGCAATTGCCGACAAAATCCCGTTGCATAATATCTAGATTTCGATCCACTGGTTTCACTGGTATCAATTTCGGGGAGTTCCATATTGAGTTCATCCCCAAAAGACCAATGAATTTTCGTCTCCGAGGGTGACCTCCAGGCATTGTTCTTTCCATTCTCAATAGACTGACTGAGTATTTTATTATAATCGCCATAATCCCCATTGCATATTTCCATCACTGAACAAATTAAGATAAAAAATCAAAGACAGTTCCACACTACCTCACTTTTAAATAAACTCACAGAAATCAGCAGGATTATAATGCGTTGGACACTGAAGGCCATGATCGGACAAATACGGTATCAAATTGCGTGTACCACCTGTGTAAATACACGATCCATCAACAAGTACGTGTAAATGATCGATCATGTCAAGGAGCGTTGCACTGGGCTGGTGTATCGTGATAACAACGGTACGTGGTCCTTCGCGTGCCAATGCCTTCAATAAATTGATACACTGCTTAGATGCAACACTATCGAGGCCACTGTGTCAACAAGAGCAAAAACAAATGAAAAAAAAAAAAAAAACAGGAAAAGAACTGATAGTAACTGTTTCTCCTTCCTGAATACTCAGCTGAGAAGAAATATCGGAATCTCAACGAGATTCCAATCGATTCCAATCGAGGAAGTAATGCTCACCTCGTTGGCTCATCGAACAGCATGAACGGTGGATTATTCACAAGTTCAAGAGCAATAGCTAGTCTCTTCCGTTGTCCTCCACTCAGATTGGCAGTTCTAGTCTCTTTGGAATTGGCGAGGCCCAGTGCCACCAGGATCTGCTCAATCTACAATAATGAACTGTTAGTTTTATTCTCTTTATCGAATCAACGGGGAAGCAACGAAATAGGCTCTTCTAGGCTGAGTTTGTGTAGAACGACTGAGAATCATTGAATTACCCTCTCAGACTTGCTCCCGTCGCTCGACTGGAGTTTAAGGTCTGCTGCGACCCTCATACTCTCCTCCACGGTTAATAGAGGCTCTAAATAATGATCTTGCATTATGTATGCTGATGATCTTCTGAATGCTGCCAACTCACGGGGCCTGTTATTTACAGACACACTGCCACTCTGCGGGGATCTGCAGTTGATTCGTTGCATTTAATATTTTAGAATATTCCAGAACATTGAATATTTATCACACAACACAACCGCATACATTCCGTTATTAATCCCACAAGTTTTTCTGATAAGAGAACTTGTAAAAAAATATTCCTGGGATTGACACGGGTATAATTTTCTTATTTTGAAAATTAATGGAATCTTGCAGGGAAATTTCAAGAGATGTCTTCAGGAAAATTATACACGTGGTATTCATATCGAGTATTTTTACGGTTTGTCTACTCTACGTAATTGGCTGTCTTTACGGTTTACTAGTCTACATAATTTTCAAAGAACATTAACGAATCGAAAAGTCGAACTATTTTAAAAGGAGTTTTTTTTTTGTCAGTACGTGACGATATTGCAATGATATAATGGCACAACAATGAAATATTATCGAAATTCACTGAGTAATCATTGATTTTTATAAATCTTAAGAATGCTCACGTGAAACCAGCGAGAATATCCATAAGTGTGGACTTTCCAGCGCCAGAGAGGCCCATAACAGCTGTCAATTCTCCAGCCCTGAAGTCACCACTGATATTATGCAGCAGATGACGTTTCTCTGCAAAAAGGACAAAGAGAAACTCTACTGTGATAACTTCCATACCCATACAATCTCACTGTTCCTCCACATCAAGAGTTCATCGAAATTCCATAGCATTTTCGAAATATCTCTTAATCATCAATCATCGACCACTTGAAATTCAATATCTCCATTACATAAAACTGCTCCACTATCCCATCAATTAATAATTATGATTCCAAATCATTAAAATCATTGGAACGATGTCGCGATGGCCGGCGTTATCACGACTTCAGCAGATTGTGAGAAAGATAACCGATGGTGATGAATAGTTAGACGATATCGTTACCAATAGTATCATCCTCGAAATAATTAAAGCTCAATCTAATCCCCCATGAAAGCAGAGGATTAATTTCACAAATAAACCGAAACAACTGTAACTGATAAAAACCCGAGACACTGATACGACTGTCGGAGCGGTCATTGGGCTCGTTGAAACAAAACAGTTAAGAGCAGCTCAGAGAAAAAAGATCGGAAAAAAATAAAAAAAAGCTCATACACTTGTCTCATTACATTATCCATTACCTCTCATTAATAGGCCTGCTTTAACAGTCTGAGAGATACCATCAAAGGTCAGGTTCAAAGATCGCTGGAGAGAGCCAACCGTCTCCTCTGGTGAGCGCTTCATCACAATGGAATTATTTCAATTGTTGTATTACATTCACTATCATCAACGATATAATTCACTAACTACAATTACAACGATTCGTTTCAATAATCATCCTCACTCCGGGACAGGGTGAGATTCATAGAAATCCTGAAATACACAATAGTGAAATTTAATTTTGAGACAATTGGGTAAGTGACTGTGTTGTTGGTCTCTGTACTTTTGCTTGATGTGGAATAGACGAGCGATGGTTAAATACAAGTTGACTAGTTGAAGGTGCGTGTACACGAGTGAACGATTGACGGCAAACTGATATCTTCAGCAGTAATCATGTTGCCACGCGGTATGTGTGGTGGAAATGAGAATGTTCGAATGGTGGCGCGCTCACTCCCACTCGATATAGATATATGACGTATTTTTTTTTTCTTCTCTCAAGGCATTATCTACTTGAACCACATCTTCCACTGTCTCATTACACTCATTACTATTCACCCTGCTGTACCGACCGATAATTTACCAGACATATAATACTGTGCACGAACAAACGAGGCGGGGTCGCACATCTGCTTCATTAAGATTAATTACACGGTTCAAAGGTTTCGCACTAATAAGTAGTCCACACATCCAAATCATTCAATGATCATTGGTTATTCCGAGGGACAGGATGTGTGGGAAAACTCGAAATTGCCACATGGAGAAATTAAATACTCGGGTGATTATATTAGATTGTATGTGCACGCGGGTTTGTATATTACTCAACTGGTCAGAGGTAGAATTTAACTGAGGATGTGGAGAGGGTATGAGATAAATATGTATATCCGTAGGTATTTGTTGTATGAATTATTTTGCGAGTGGAATTTTAAAATCCGAGATACTGAGCGCAAATGTTTTGAAATTACCGAGCGGTTAGTCTGTCGTGATTTTTTACGCGAGAACAATGGAATTAAAATTGTACACGATGAGACTTAATGAAACTAAAAATATACAAGAGATTATTGTGGGATCTAGAGAGAATGCGTGCGCGCCACTAGTTTATATCGGTAGGCGGGTGATTGGCGCGTTTTTAATTTTATCTTCACTAATTTTTTGTTTATTCTCGGGATTTTAGGAATTAAGTCACAATGTTTTGGGGAAGCTTTTTATTCTCTGGTCGAAGCGTCGCGTTTTGTCTCACTTGCACCTCATGGGGTGCGAGCGATTGCGCATGTGTAGGCCGAGCAACAAGGGGTTGCTGCAGGTCTAGAAGAAATTAAATAAACAACCATTTTGCAAGTTTTCAATTTCGCGATCGTATAGTGTGTCTCTTACTTGCGATATGGAAAAATAGTTGCAAATAAATGGGCAATGAAAAAGCAATTTTCCGGATATTTTAATTGAATCGTTTTGATGTAGAAATAAAAGGCTCCATTATTGGATTGTCATGGTGTGATAAAATTTCAGAAAAATAATGTATTATCTGATACACTATTGTGTTAGAAGTAGTCCATTTTGTTTTTAAAGGAAAATCACTGGTTGATCTGTCGTTCCTTTTCGTCCGCTCTAAACTGGTAATAAAGTTGCGAATGAATGGGGATAGGGTAAATACGATAAAATAAATATCGTACGGCTCGTGTGTACACTTTCTACCTGCAATCGGTAAAAAAAGCCTCATTCACGTCCCACCGATATTTATTTATGAATGGACATAGTTAGTTACCAGGAAATTAATTAATTGTCTAAACAAATTAACTTGAACCATTTAAATGATTTTTTTTAATGAATAATTATATTATCAAATAACTTCGGAACTAATGGGTTATTCATAAATAATTTTTATATCAATCAATTTTTATTATTATTGATAAATTTTTGCTACTGATAGATTTTTGGATGAATAATTAATTAAATTAATTTAAACTGTATTGACAATGAGTTTGATTTATTTAAAAACCAAAGAGATATTCTTACAACATTAACACTGGATGCATCAAATATTAACATTAAATAATAATTAAGTTATTTTCTCGACTAGGTCCGTCATAAACACTATTCTTTTTTCGTGTTACACTGGTTTTCTAAAAAATAACGTAGAACTGTCAGCGATATATGAATATTTCACGGAGAGACATAATGTAGTGTAACATGTATCGACCCTGTCATAACAATTATTTATTCGTCATAATTATCAAGATCATAAGTAATTTATAAAGCTCTGAGAGATTCAAGTCATGGCCCATCCGAAAAAAAATGAGTTTCACAATTTTAAAATAGGAATACCAAAAGGTCGATCGAGTGGCGAAGCTGGCTGGGCAAGATATGCTCGGTTTTTATAAAACGAATTGTCAACGATTTTTTGTTCGTCGATGGGCCCACTTTGGAATACTGTCTTGCAGTAACCATTAAATCAATTCTCCTAGTTTATCTCCGATTAAGTTTACACCAGAGTGCACTCGCTGTTAACAAATGCATGAGCACACCCATACCGACGATCAGCACGAGATTATTTATGACATTTGTCTCGTTGATTTCCATCTCCTTGAGGAACAGCCAGGGTTTCTTGTAGTGGCAATAAAGTTCATCACAGAAAAGCTCGCTTCTCCCAGATCCATAGATTGTGTAGAGAAGACTGTGAAAGCCCGCTCTGAAGTAAGATATGTGGAATATCCAACGAAAGAATACTGGAGTATCCATGTAACGAATACAAAATCCAAACACTGAGAAAAGAACTGCTATCACCGGACCAGCGAAAACAGCAATCTGCGATCAAATGAGAATTCATGAATTTATTTCCAATTGAGACCAATTGCGAAAATGTTGCAATTTACAAAGAAAATTTTAGATTCAATTCTGGTCAATTTTCAGTGGTTTACAAACTTTGAGATTGAATATTATTGGATGTTTGATTTTGAACGGATGCATTGTAATGATTGAAATATGTAAAAATCTCACCTTAACTGGTGTAGTGGCCCCGATAAAGAATCCCCAAGCCTGTGCACACAAGCTAGCAGCAATGCTAACTACCATGAAACACAAAATACGATGTGTCTCGACGGGTTGTCCAGTCAGCCAATAGCTAACGATTAAATACGTAGCAGCACAAGCAGCTTGAAAAGGTATCTCCACAAGGAGTAAGCTGATATAATACGGTGCCAATTTGTACCACCTATTGAAATGCTCTCTAGTGAGAATTTGCATTTCTATAGGAAATGCCAGTGTCACCGCCATCTTTCCAGTGTAAACAATGAGCAAAAGTGAGCCATAAAGATAAACGTAATTGGCAAGAACACTGTTAGCACGATAGCCACTGCCTCTGTACAGATACCCAAAGATTATTCCAATCATAAGGTGACAGAGTACTCGAACTATCATTAACGAGGAATCCCGTCTGAGACTGAGTAATTGTCTTTTGTAGAGTAAATAACACTGGGCTAAAAATCCGGCTGGTGGTGGTGGCTCCTCGATAACAGACACTTGAATAGTCTTGGCATTGCTCTTCAGTTTAGAGTCAACAGCTATTCCCTGATTGTCATGCCACATGTTCTCAGCGGCCATTGACAATTTATCAACCGTAACTCCATAATCTCCGATAGCAACTTCAATCAAGAAGTCTGCTGGATTGTGGTATGGTGGGCAGGAAATACCTATCGACATCAGGTGTGGTAAGAATGATGAAATTGAGCCACGATATATGCAGTGACCACCGGCCAAAGCGTAAAGTGAATCAAACATCTCGAATAACAGAGCACTCGGCTGATGTATCGTACACACCACCGTACGCTTTTCCATTTTAGCCAATCTCTGAAGCAATGCAATACAGGAACTACACGATGCCGAGTCGAGGCCTGTAATCATTATAAATTCATTTTTTTTGTTTACAAGTTTTCCGTATTTCTTGTAATCCTGGTGATGCTCGATTTGCAGGTTGAGGCTGGGTCAGGGGAACATTTTGGAGCAAAAAGCACTGCTAAGAGGAAAATGTTAACTGGGAATAGCCAATGCTTACCCGTCGTCGGCTCGTCCAGAAATAATACTGAGGGATTGCTCAGAAGTTCGAAGGCAACATCCAATCGCTTTTTTTGCCCACCAGAGAGACGTCCACAAAGGGTGTCGTAACAATGACTTAGTCCTAACATTTCTAACAAATCTAGTACCTAAAAGAATAATTGACGGTTAATGCGATGAATTCCTGATTTGCTGAGTTATTCGGGCCATTCGAGTTGGGCATGTATTTAAATTTTATACTGAATTATGCGAGTATTCTCCCTTTCACTTTCATTCGTATGTGAATGAATTTCGAGGACTTGTCGATGATTTTTATTTCAATAGACGTATATTGTGAATAATTATGAAGATGAATTTTTTATTTAATGATGATGATTGATTACCTGTGCGTGTTTAAACGTGGAGGTAATGGTATACCCGAGCTTGAGATTAGCGGCAAGTGTCATGGCTTCGCCAACAGTCAATTTAGTACGTGGTAGTGAGTCCTGTTGTATATAAGTTGATGTTCTTTTCCATCGCTCGCTGTATGGGGTGCGGCGTTTTCCATTGACAAAAATTTCACCGCTTGCACCTTGAACACTAATTTCAATAACAAGGTTGAAATAACACAGTTGTAATTGCATTGACGTCTGAGAAAGTTATGTTGATGCAACATCAATGATTAGGGACTTACGTAAATCCAGCTAGAACGTTGAGAAGTGTAGATTTGCCAGCCCCCGAGGGGCCCATTATTGCTGTCAGCTCACCAGCTCTAAATTGCCCACTGACACCGTGAAGAATCTCCTTGGAGTCTAGAATCATTAACAGAGTATCCCTATAATTCCACGTTTTTTGTTTGCATAACTCGTTGAAACGATAACCTTGCATTGACATTTAGGAATATGAAAAAATACCCACAAATCGTGGCCCTTCCTCGAGGATTTGCGTACGAGATGAGTGGTTTATTTTTTTTCTCTGTTAAAAAATGCCATTTAAAATGAACAGAAATTACTAATGACATTTGACACTAATCGCAATTCTATTCCTAATTCCTGATTCATCAGCTTTAATTGTCTCATTTTATGGCAGCATATTATCTCTCAACCTGACACGAACTCTTCAACTTGTCACGTCGTAGATTTTAATCAACATGACTGGCCTCTTAATTATTTGGCAAATGAAAATTTACGATTACCAGTTATTTCAATGCGTCATTCAACAGCATTTGACTGAATATAAGGATAAAATTTCTATGACGATTGTAATTTTAATTGAGGGATTGTATTGAGAAAATGATTATGTGGAAAAAATTGAAATCCCGGTGTCCAGAAAGAAGAGAGATTCGTGTTGGGTAGAAGGGTTAAAACATGTTTGGCCAAGGAGGTAATAATCGTCGATGGTGCCTACGTGACAAGGTTGAAGAAGAATGAAGAAGAAAAAGAATCGTTCCTCCGGACACGTGTGCCTGGTCAGGTAGGCACAAGGCGAATTTTTAAAAGAGAATTCTCCCCATTGAGAAGCGTCAATTTATGCATCCCTACATCATCAATTGTCTCGGTGATGCTACATTACCGTAAAAAATTATGATTGAGAGTTGTATTGGCTTTGAACAATCTTAATGATACTTTTTTTTCATCTTTTCTTCATCTTTTCTCGGTACTGGATTGACCGCTTTACGGTATTGCTGGCCCATGACGTATTTATTCAATCCGTCGTTTCCTTCGCCGGTTGACATGAATAATACAATGAAAATTATATGTCGGTGAACGGATATGTCACGACACTCTAGCCCAAACTTCGATATACAATTAAATAGTGTGTGCGCACGAGCCAAGGAAAACATAGCTCGTATGTAATTAATGAGGGGAAAACAAAATTTATCGATAATGTAATTTTTCCTCTGAGAAAATTTTTTCATGAACCTACAGACACGTTTTAATTATGCTAATGGTGAGTGAGAAAATGCTGCGATTGATTATCCAATTTTCATGATGATGTGAATGATCAATTATTTCATTCTCGCCATTTCCAAGCGCCTACGGGTGTCAATAAAAATGCTTTTTATGTTCCAGGTAATTGAGATAATCCATATTGAGTTGTAACACTTGTTGTGTCGCATTGAATAATCTCAAGCGCTTGATTATGTATAGTATTTAAAATGTTCTTACCTCGCTGTAATTTTCGTAGATTCCAGGTTTTAACGCTGTATTTAATGTTGTTAAATGTGAGATCAACTTCTGGACGTTTTGGAAATGTATGATTTTTGGTAACAAGGTAGTTGTTGTTGCCTGTCAATTCTGGCATTTGGCTAATGTCATTTGAACTGCTGCTGTCATCACCACCTTGACAGCAACTCAGACTGGATCGCGATGGGCTCGCGTGTGAGGACTGATGAGGACCACTCGTCATCTCACGTCAAGTATTGATTCAGTTAATTAAAATTTTTTTTTAATCCTCTATTTAATCGATAACTCGTGTTATCATCGGCTGTCGCCAACAATTAGTCTCATCACTCAAAGTCCACCATGTGTAACAGCATGTTTTCCTGATAACAAAAGAAATCCAGACCTATTAATCATCATTGCAATTGCAGATGCGTCAAAATTCATCAGTATTCCCACCACTTTCGAGATAATTTACTTGTCCATGGAGTTTATTTATTACCGTCAATACATGATTTACGCTATCTATCACTAAAGTTTCATCCACTGAAAGAGATAAAAAATAATTCTGTTATTTCAACAGCAGTAAATAAGGGCGGTAAAGGGTCACGGTCACACATTTGGAAAACAATTGGCACCGAGTTGTCAATTGAAAAATCACAGAATAACATGAGTCGCTAAAAGTTGATATTTTTTATGTTATCAAAGTCCAAGTTTCCACTATCAATGAAACGCACTAGACCTCTATGTGATTCATGGTTTTTCCTAAAATACAGAGTTATTTAATTTTTTTCAACATATTATTATTTTCTGCGGACAATTTTTCTTCACCTAGTCTAGTCTAGTATAATCGAATCAAATTTAATTATTAATTGTTTCAAGACATAGTATTCTAGTAAATGGGCTGTTTGTAAATAGTTCACATAGTATCATTTATATACGGCCAATGATGTGAACGAATTTAACGTCAATTGTTCAGAAATGCTTAACGAAAAATGTTTTTTTTTTGTTAAATTATCTTTTAAGGTAAAATCCAATAGAAAAAATATGAGTTATTGCAAATGAGTCTTGTAGTCAGTGTGGGTCAATAATATCGTATCTCCTAACGATTACAGTATTCGCCTCCACTCACCTGTCATTTGTCGTTCTTGCGCAACCATGAAAATGAGAATAATGAACTTCAATGTACGTCTTTGATAGACACCCGCAGATGTACGCGAACCGCATTAGGTAAAAATGTCTGTCTATAGCTTGATGCAAGGCTCATAATTTGTTTTTTCTTCTTCTCAGAATGGAAACGAGGAGAAAAACCCGAGGAGGATTTGAATTTTACGTCGAACATCGACGTCTCACAATTGGCTCACTGTCGTCAATGTTTCTCTGGATTTTTTTTATTTAATAATCCGTGGATTTCCCTGAGAACTATTGTATGTAAAACGGGAATACCGCACTAGGGGTCAGTGGCATTTATCCAGATGATACATCGATTGAACGGACTATTGGGAAATAACCAGTTTCTAATGATTCAGTGGTAGTGAAATATGGTGTCAAGAGGAACTCATGATTTTCATCATTGCAGCGGTCAAATTATATTTAACGAATAATTGTGGGGGGGAAAATTTATAAACAATTTTGGTGACCAAAACGTAAACATATTCGTGTATTTCATTCTTCCGGGCGATAAATGCAGAACAAGAGGAGCACGTTCGTGACAAAATACTGGTGAGTGTTTCCGTTTTTACTCCCAGTAAGAAAATTTATACATGAATGCTCTCCAGGCATCTTCGAAAGGCTTCAATGTGGTCAATTCCGTTTTTACGAAATTGCGCAAAACTCTGTTGCGTTAACAATTTTATAATGACATTTTTCTAGAGCACGTAGAAGCAGTACCTCACGTGTACAAGCCGTACAATTATGAACGCACTCAACATTAGCCAATCAATTTTTTTTTCCTTCCTTTGTAATCGGCGGTTACCAGAACAGAACGTTGAAAGAATTCAATAAAGCCACTTCAATGTTAAACCCATAAACGATTGAAAAAGAAAAAACTAATAGCTGAGAGAATTATTTTTACAAAATCCATTGAGCTGGATTTTTTGCCATTAAATCATCATTTTCTTTTTCAAATACGTCAATTCAATTCAGTGGAGTGGTATGCAAAAGTGAAAAAAAATATGTATTTGATTAACATTTCTTCAAGCAAATTCTAATGAAATATTTATAAATGAACCTTCTCTGTTTTTTGTAACAAAAGAAAATGGTGATGAATGCTGGGTGCAAAAGTTCAGCAGATGCTCATCTGGCCAAGTTCAAGAATGATCAATTGATTTTTGATTAATCATCCGATGTTAAGTGCACCAGCATTGTTTCAAAGTTGAAATCCTATTTTCCATGAAAGTGAGTTGTAAAATGTTCTATCACTCTTCTCCTTCATTAATTCATTGGCGAAAAGAACAATGAAATAAATGGTAGAAAGAACTGGATTCTGCAGGCACACTTTCGATTTTTTTTTTCTCCAACATTTCTATGACACACTTTTGATTTTACTGTTCTCCGGGGTTTTTTCCTGATTCCATTGAGCTGCGGTTTTCGACTAGGTAAGAAATTATCATCACGTTGCATCAGGTCGTTTAATGCGTAACGCACTATGCTCATGAAGGCGGTCATCGTTCTTTTTCTTGAGGTCGAATAACGTTTGAGATGGATGAACATCACGAAACGAGGATAAAACGCGAGGAGGTCAACCAACCCATTGGCGCTTTCTATCGTGAAAGTCAAGCTTGTTGTGGTATCAATGTGAAAGAAAGGAAAAAAAAAAGTAACACTAAATCGTTTGAAGTAAAATTGGCAAAGGTGGAGCAATGTGTATGAGACATTGTCGGTATTTAGATTGTAGGTGGGCAGTAAACAGGAAAGAGATTAAGTGACTCGATAGGAACTGCCAGCAACCTTGAACCTTATCTAAGTACCTATTATAACATCAGTATAACCCATTAATTACTCAATAATCGCCTGGAATAATAGAAATCAATCAAAAACATCAGAATTCCAAACTCTTTTCTCTAATTGCATTTAATTAAAATCAATCACAATCGAGATTAGGCGTCAGTGTGTCATTACCAAGTCTGAAATAGCAGTTTCAAGTCAAGACCGACGAAGTGCATTAAATTTAGACATGACACCGACCAAGGGAACGATAAAAGCGCATTTTAGTTATTCATATTTTATTAAAAATTCATTGAATTTTAATGTTGCTCTTTTGTTGGCGATGAAATGATGTAGCAGGCAACACAGGCACCACGTTAAAAAAACATGATAGATGATTGAGTGATGAATTAACATTCGAAAAAGGTAGACCGAGAATTTTTTTCCCATTAATCTCTGAACTTCTGCAAAAAAGCTAGGGTGTCGTCATTATTGAGTTCCAAAATACAAGACATCAGGAGCTGTTAATCGCAACTCCCAATAAATAACCGAAAAACTCGCTATACTAATTAAAATTAAATCCGACGCCGGTTGCCCTTCACCAATTATCACCAACCCAATCGGCAAAAATGTCAAAAGCTCAAGGAAAAAAAGTGAATAAAATACATAATACGTACTCATACACGAACGGTCATCCACATCGAGAAAGATAAAAAAAAAAATCACAAATTACCGGAAATGCCAAAAGAAAACTTTCGGAGAACTGTCAATGTCTGACTCGAGCGATTGACAATCTCAATAGGCCAATTGATAATATATTATAATCTGTGACACATTGATGTACGTCATGGAGACGACGTCGACGTTGAACCGTGCGGTGGCGTGTCTGAATGTAGACTGAAACCAACTGAAACAACTCTTGGCATTCGCGTTCACTCCTATACGCCAGGAAACAACGATTCGTCGATTGTGCGCCTCATGTGCCGCCCCTCTTGTTCATATTCAATTACCCGACGTTAAATCATGCCAGCAATACTCCAAATCGTTTCAACGATCAATTTACTCGTTTTATTAAAAAAAAAAAATTATTCAATCAATTTTATGAATTTCTTAATTAACCAATCTAGAAAAATCTAGCAAAGCCATCTTTGTAGCTATTATTACTTTTACATTAACAAGTCATTTTTATGCCTCGACCAACAGTGGACACCAAATAAATCATAAAATAATTACATCCCAGGATCGGGAAATACCTTGGCTGCTGGAGGTGGGCAAACCGTTATGTGCAGATTAACCAGTGCCTAGTGCAGAGGAAGTGAAGGTGATGGGTCATGCACCAGAGGCTACACTGTCATTCGCGTTGCGTGTACATTGTCCTAAAACTCATAGTGCGAATTGATAGTACATGTACAAGTACTTTTTGAGTGCCATTGGATTCACTTGTTCCAATCATATCGTCTAATTTCATTTTATAAAAAAAAAAAATTAAAGCGCCATTTTTCACTGGAAAATTCGGATACCATTTGAAAGAGAATGAAAAAGTTTATTAAACGTGTTATCAATATTGTTGATTAGTTAATTAATTCAATTAATCGATGTTTACATATACTTCCGGAAGAAGTGAGTAGAGTTATCGCTTTTATAAATTATTTTATTATATTGGGTACATTTTTTAAAATCGTATTCACTATTGATTTTCATCAGTCCGAGGGATCGTAAAATGAGCAATAAAAATATCCACAGTACTTTCATGCACCCGTTGAGGCGTGAAATTGAGTAAAACTGAAGACTCAATAATTTGTACCTCGTGTTGCACGTACAATAACACATGTCTTCTCATTTTCATTGAGTTTCGTCGTAACAATTCGTTATCGGAAAACTACGGCGAGATTTTTCTCAACGTAATGAATGACGAAGCTATAGTAATTTCTGTATAAGGAATTAACTATCGATAATTTATCGGAGTCGAATAAAAAGTTGTTATCGGTTTTTCTCGGACAAATCAGTCAGTTTGAATGAAGCATCTCCAGGAGCTTCATGAAACCAGAAATCACACAGTCTTGGTGATGGGCATTTTTACACACGTGGCGATTTTTTACTCAGTGACAGTTAATCGCATGTTATTTACTAGCCAAGCATTAGTCAACCAATTTTATTGGGAATGAATGTGTAGGGTAAATATTTTGTCAATATTTTCGAAGTGGAATTCCACTGCAATTGTTACTAGAGTGGAGTGAATAACAGTGCGATAAACAACGTACAAACTCCAGTGCAAATATTATCCCAGTGGACAATGCGGTTTTCCTTTTAATTTTTCAGAATTGCTCATTCAAAACGTAGATGATAGACATTACATATGCATAATATTTATGTTTATAAACTACGCTAATCACATGCGTCCATCAATAAAATAATTTGCGCTGCAAAATAATTAATCAATATTAAACAATAAATTGATTCTTCCTTCAGTATTTAATTCATAATATTCTAGCTCACTATTTCAGCAATAAAAATATTAATGCAATAATGAAAAAAAACTTGTCATTTAAATCGACTCCAATTAAAAAAAATTTCTGTTCTTCTGAAATCAGTTCGTGGGTGTATACATAATGAATTCAGCATTACTCAGTGGTTGAATTCGAATACACACCGAGATCAATCGATAATGTAATTAATTCATTTGAGAATGACGCATTGTAAATTGAAAAGTGTGATCGGAAAATAACTGCATTGTTTACGACGAATTGATAGGGCCAGGGTTTCGGGATGTATCGAGTGCATTGTTGCTACTTCAGGGGCAACCTTGACTGATAATATTCGATAACGACTAATCATTTATTGAGATGGGTTACCGGCACAGACGGAGGTCAGCTGGAATCAGGAGTGTCACAACAAGACGTGCTATTGTGAAATCGACCAACAGCTGTTTCACTGGTAGATGATCCGTTTATAACCCGACTATATCTAACTCAATTAGTCACTACTATTACAAGGGAAATATTTAATGATGAATGTACATCGAATGAGTCATTCGCAAATGGTAGAATTTAATTTCTCTTCCTCCATTCACCCGTCGCAACAAAGACTTTTACTTTTACCATTTTACTTTTTTCTTTTCAGTCACGGATTCACTATCAATTTTTTAAAATAATTAAATATCAATGGTCGTAACATTACGAGAATAATTTTATTATTTCTAATTGTTCAATTGCTCAATCATTCATTAGCACGTGCCTGATTTAACCCACAGTGCCATTAATTTTCACACCGAAAACATTGACAGACGGATCCTGCTAATGACGCTAATTGTAGGAGCCTATTAATAATTTAAACTGACACTGTTTTATCGACTGATAAACCCGACTCCAAACAGCTGAGCTAGCTCCAGTGGCGCCGGTCTTGACTCCGCGTTTAGTATTTCAGAAGGCTCTAACCTTCCTAGAATACGAAAATAAAAAATAGTATATCTCCAAAGTCCTCAGTTGTCTCAACGCCAAAGCCAAGTCCCCAGAAAACTCCGATAAAGTGAAAACGTCCTACCCAAACCGGAGATTTTTTTCGTTTGGAAAACTCGCCCCAACAATCGACTATTGTTTCTTGAAAAATTAATTTTCAGGATGGCTCAGCATAATTTTCCACCTCTGAAGAATGACAGGTTCTTACGAGCAGCCAGAGGAGAAGACGTTGATAAAATACCCGTGTGGATAATGAGACAAGCTGGGAGATATCTGCCTGAGTTCAGGGAATTCCGAACGAAACACGATTTTTTCACTATTTGCCAAACACCTGAGTATGCGTGTGAGGTAACACTTCAACCGATAAGAAGATTCGAATTGGATGCGAGTATAATTTTCTCGGATATCCTTGTGATACCACAGGCTATGGGGCTCACTGTAGAAATGCGACCTGGAGTGGTAATTTATTCCATATTACTTAAACATGAGTTTAATTACAAAAAATGTCGAATTTTTACCTAGGGTCCAGTGCTGCCGGAGCCGTTGGCAAATCCATCTGACATGTCAAGATTGAAGCGACCAGATGTCGAGAAAGATCTTGGATACGTTGGAAAGGCTATAACCCTTACGAGGCACAGTTTGGAGGGAAAAGTTCCTCTCATCGGATTCACAGGGGCCCCTGTAAGATTTTCAATATCCTAAACAATTCTACTTTACTTGGAGCTATTATTTTTAACGAGTCTATGTATTAGTATTGTTCGTATGACTCTAGTGGACTCTGATGGGCTACATGATCCAGGGGGGTGGCAGTTCAACAATGGCACAGGCCAGGTCGTGGCTGTACAGATATCCAGAAAAATCCATCGAATTGCTACAACTTATTACTGACATAGTCATTGAATATCTTGTCATGCAAGTCAAAGCTGGAGCTCAGGTAAACGCCGATAATTTATTTACCGAAATTAAATAAATCCAGAAAAATGAAATATCATTGTTGTGAGGGTAGCTCAAGGGAATAATTGTCATTTTAATCACCTACTCATGAGGAAAAAATAGAAAAAAAAACAATTCTCAGGTCAGGTATTGTACAAAAAATGTTTTTAGACTTTTCGCCTACAAACGAGTTCTCCGAAAGATTCTCACGACGATGATACTTCATTTTGAGATATCTTGTGTAATAAAAGATTCGTTTTCAGGCTCTACAAATTTTTGAAAGTCATGCAGATTACCTGAATGATGAATTATTCAAAAAATATTGTTTTCCCTTTGTTAAACAAATCAGTGAGAGAGTCAGGGCTAAATTGGACGAACTGAAGATTGCAAAAGTGCCAATGGTAAGGAAACAACTGAGAATTGAGGAGTTCTGAGGTTTAATGGATATATTAACGAGTGGCTTTCTTGCAGATTGTTTTTCCAAGGGGAGCAACATTGAATTCCTTGGAGCTTCTAGCCAAAGATCATAGCTATGAGGTGATAGGGGTAGATTGGAATGTGGATCCAGTTGAAGCAAGACAGAGATTTGGTCCTGATGTCACTGTACAAGGGAACATGGATCCGTGTGCAATGTATGCTAATGAGAACGAGGTTTTCAAACGGGCGAAGGAGATTGGCGAAAAATTCGGAAAAACCCGTTATATCGCGAATTTAGGTCATGGAATACTTCCGGATACTCCCATCGTTTCGGTGGAGGCATTTATAAAAGGTGTGCATTCCGTTTGATAGGAGAAAATTCAACGGGCAGTTAATAAGGCGTTTGTAATTGATCTGATGAATATTTGGGGATTATTATTGTTGTTGGTGCGGGAGAATCGAGTCTTTCAATAAATTATATTGAAACGAACGAAGAATGTCCTTTTGCTTTTTACTGCTGTATTGAGTAAGTGCTTTTTCTTTGATATCGAGATTTTTTTAATATATACCTTGAGACTATTGTTTATCGTTGCATTGCCCTGACTTGTTCGGTGACATCCTCGAGTTTTGCAGAACTCCTGTCGACTGCGTTCAACTGGTACTCCAGGTGGGACGTAATGAGCATGAGCTTGTTCAGGTTGTTTTCAGCATTTTCCAGTCCATGCTCCTGTTGGGCGAAATTCTTCGCTGCGTGCATTAAAGTCTGCAAATAACGATCAGGGAATTATTGTTAGTGGATATTATAAAATTATTGATGGTATATGAATGAAAAAAATTCCCTACAGAATTTTATTAGTTTATTTTATTGCTGCAAGTTAAATTTATGTCATACAGATGAAATTGTAATCACCTCAGAACTCTTGGATCCCCGTTGAATTTGTCTGGCTAAGGATGCTATGTTGTTCACATTGACTTGTACTTTATCTGCCAAACGAATTTTTGACTCCACAAATAAACTTCGAGCACTGGTACTTGATGCTGAGGCCATAATTCCCTAATTTCAGGATTCAGTTTTACTGGAACTATTTCACTGAATTCTGGACAATCTTTGCACATGTAATAATTCATACAGATGGATTTACTCAGGAATAAACGAACACTAATATAATTCGATAATGCAAACGACGCACTATTAAGGTTGAGTTATTGAAATTTTAAGAGATATATTGAAAGGTTTAATAAATCGATGAAATAATCAGAAAAATGCATTCACTTATGGACAATAGCAGTACGCGGGGGTAGTTTCTTTATTATTTTTTATTTGGGAATCGATCAGCTGTTGGGAAACGGTCGACCAAAGAGGATTGACTAAAGTAGAGGCTTAGTTCTGAGGGTTTGAGTGACCCCAGCGGCATCGTAGTACTGCACCCCAAGAGAGGGAGGGCGCAACACGCAATGCTGGGGTGTTCGTCGATGGGGTGAATTTTATTTCCTGCGGTATGAATGCTTTTTGTTTTTTATTTGTTTAACTGAAATTTAGTCGACTGCAGAACGAGCGGAAGGGAGAAGCAACATCTTGTGGAGTATCAAATGAAAAAAATTATTTAATGTATTGAAGATATACTACTAATGAAAATTTATATTTATAATAAGCGCGTTGTCTACTCGGCAGCGTGCTTGGCTAGCACGCCAACGGCGGGGGTTCGATCCCCGCCAACATTCATTTTTTTTTTAAAATAATTCCTATTTTTTTTTTTTTTGTAATCGCTAATTAATGGAAATATCGTTTAAAAACTTAATAATTGAGAATCGAGAAGATATCCAGTGAAATTGAAAAATTTGACATTTTTGAAAACAATACTTTTTCAATATATATACTCCTAATAAAAAAATATTTTTATAATAATACGTTATCCTAGCGGTAACGTGCTCGGCTAGCACGCCGACGGCCCGGGTTCGATCCCGCCGTCATTCATTTTTTTTTTTAA